AATTTTCCACCATCCAGAGTCTGGAACCTAGATGAGACAGGCGTAACTACTGTCTTATAATCAAAGAAAATAGTTGCTAAAAAGGGGATAAAACAAGTTGACGCTACAGTTTCTGCGGAGCGCGGTATTCTGGTGACTATTGAACTGGGCCACCGCAGCCGGAAACAATACCACCGATGTTTGTATTTCCACGTTTGAAATATACAGATTTATTGCTACGTGGATGGTCGCCCTGAGTCAATCGGAGCAGGAAATAATGAGAATCAGGATGGATGACTTCCGTCGAGTTCATGGTTTATATCATCATTTTATTAGATTCACTAAACTTACCCCAGAGGAACCAGTGCTGCTATTGTTAGATAACCACACATCGCATTAATGTGGTTGAAAAAGCAAAGGCCAATTCAATTATTATGTCATCATTTCCGCCTCACTGTACACATCGCTTGCAACCGCCAGATGTCGGTATAAACGGACCATTCAAATCATACTGTGCAAAAGCCCAAGATTATTGGCTTCGAAACAATCCCGGCAAAACCATGTCCATATATGAAATACCAGGAATCGTAAAAATAGCGTGGCCTCAGGCAGCAACTCCTACGAATATCCTATTAATATTTCTAGAAAAAAGATTATTGTACTTAGGCACAAAAACTGAATACATTCTGATACGCCGATAAACATTCTATCGATATGTTAATAAGCTATCTAACAAGTCCTATTTTTCATGAAGATATTAGGAGAATTAAAAAAATGGGAACTTCCAACCCCGCTCTCCACTATAACTAATTAAATTTGTTGTTATTAATACCTGTAGAACCTCACTTGAGACCAAAAATAATTTTGGCCTGGGAACAAATACGTGTATGTGCGACGTTAAAACACGCGGATAAGGATGTCGTTACCGAAAAATAAATAAGACAACGCCACCTACACCCAAGATGATGCGGAGTTCCAAGATTGTACAATGTCGGTGGATCATGGGACGACATTCGCGCTCTGGGTGGAGTAACCGGAATAAAAGCAAGTGGAGACGCACTTCGAACTACGAAAAATAAGAACAGAGCGCACAAAATTCTTCTACATAGTTACGAAATTGGACCACAGGTATACTGAAGAAGTGAAAGATATTATTGAAAACCATAGCTGGGCTATAACTCGTTAACCGTTAATTAACGAAGTTAACATTTTGATTAACTTTTAAGTTAACTTTTAAAAAAGTAAACGGACACGTTAACTTCAGTTAATAATGCAGAAGTCCGTTAATCGTTAAAAAAGTGCATGGAAAAAAGGTGGAAGATGCTTTACGACAAGAAGCAGTGGAAATTCGAAGGACAGAGATAGTTTAAGTGGCGGAGGGAGCAATGCGAGTAACAACGATGATGACGAGGAAGACTTTTTCAATTCTGTCACTCAGTCTATAGAAAAACCAAAAAAGAAGAAAAAAGCTCCAACTCTTTAAAGAGCAAAGCGAAAAGACTCGTTCAACGATGCTGCATTCCTCGGGGAACAGATAATCATAAATCTATTCATCAAATATAATACTGCTATACCCTCAAGCGCTGCAGTTGAACGTCTGTTTTCTATGGGTAAAGACATTATAACACCAAAACGAGCCGCGCTTTCAGACGAGAACTTCAACTAGTTAATGTTTATGAAGGGGAATATGCACCTTATGGCCGACGATTAAATTACACATTTGAATTATACAAGTATTTTGTTTTGTTCCTAATCTGTTAATTTAGAGAACCTAAACCAACAGGTTTTATAAGTTCACTAATGCAACGATATAAAAATGCAATTTTACACATATTAACGGATTAACGATTAACGTTAACTTGCGTTAATTCTTCTTAGATGTAACGCTTTAACTTAACGAAGCTAACTTTTTTATCAGCTGATTAACGATTAACGAAGTTAACTATTTGATTAACGGTGACCAGCTCTGTTGAAAACCCTCTAACGACGTGCAAATACGACAAAATAAAGTTGGAATTAATAAAAAAATTTTCACATCTCACACATAATGAAAGCGACAATTATTATTCAATAACGGAGATAAGGAGCCGCCGTAACTCTTGAAACACCTCCACGACCTTGACTGAAGATTCAATTACATGGGATTTTTTTGAAAAATTTGTGGGTAGGTAGTTCTCCAATGAATATGCAAATGCTACAGAAAATAGTATAAATTCGGCAGCGCCCAACTTCACGACGCAGCGACGAAACGAATTATTATATCCCCTAATAGAAAGGGTTTCAGTCAACGCAGTACAGCAATAATGCTGACAAAACACAATGATTGTTTATACCCATTGTGCCTTTTGAATTGTAAGAAAAATAAGTTTCCAATACAAGATTCCTTCCTATTAACTCGTGTCTAATTAAAATACCCAATTAATCTAAATATATATAACTCAAAGGTGACTGACATAGTGATCTATCACCGCAACAGCCCAAACCACTAGACGGATCGGGCTGAAATTTGGCATGCAGGTAGATTTTATGACGTAGGCATCCGCTAAGAAAGGATTTTGATTAATTCTACCTCCAAGGGGATAAAATAGGGGATGATAGTTTGTATGAAACTTTGTCAATTTTAAAACGATCGGGCTGAGACTTTGCATACATAAAGCTACTATGACGTAGGCATCCTCTAAAAAAAGATTTTGATAAATTCCTCCCTTAGGGGAGATCCCTAAGGGGCTACAAAAACGCGAGCGAAGCCACGGGCAAAAGCTAGTTTAATAATATAATAAATCTTATTGTTAGTCAAAAACATATTTTTCCCTCTCCTGGACTCAACCAACTAACAGAACGATGTTCGAGCTTGATACGACCAATTCGTCTGAACGCAACATAGAACTTCTGTATAGAGTTGTGCCTACATTTTTAATATTTCTGTCAACACTTGAGACCCTTCCATTACTTTATGTCACTCACTCTCACACTCACATAGATTTAAGAACAGTCCGCTTTACGACTCCGCATTTCTAATAAACGTACTAATGTATATATAGTACAATTATTTCACCTGTGTACTCACTACCTGAATACTAAAATAAACAATATACTAAGTAGCGACACCTCATTACATCACATATATCACTACAATTGGTGACCACGACGAACGTCAGCTTCTGTCATCAATAAATTACAAGTTGTGTGAGCAAGACGACCAGCCAAACTCCACCAGAATCCAGCAGCATCTCAACCGAGCTAACGACCATGTTAAAATAAAGACTTCCTGAATGCGATGTGATTTTAGTACCACAAAAATTAAGTGATGAGTCTAAATTTAACTTAGTTGTGACAAAATTAGGAAAAGAGTTATTAACAGAGATATTCTCGAGAGAGAATAAAGATATTTAGTTTAAGAGGAGATATTTAGTCCACCACTGATAAAGAAAAGAAAGATTCCTTAAAATCTCGTCTTTTAACAATATACGAAGAATCTGAAAGCCTTCAGAAATTATTGAAAGAAATTGATCTCAATCGATCAAAAAATGAAAACTGGCTGCAGTAGCTGATAAAATTTTGGAAACAACTAGACTGAATGGAACCATTCAGTTCCTAATAAACCTTTAGATATAGGATAATATAACCATGACATTGTGTTAGTTCATAAGTAAACATTCATGCAGCCGCACTCTTTTATTTAACAGTATATAGGCAATGATTATCTGATAGATGTCAGCATTAATAATACCAACGGGAGTCATCTACGGTATAAGTACGGTGGGTGCGAGGTGACGATTTTAGGAAAGCGCCGTACTCACCTTGGAGAACTCTTCAGGACGAAGTCGAAGCAACTACACTCGTAGTAAAAACGATTTAGTACAACCCGTATCGAAATTAAAAATACATAGTTCTGGTCCCTATTCCATGGCAATAAAAATATACAATGAATTACCTAATATTATAAAGAATGAGAATGGATATAATAAATTTATTATCCAATTAAAACAAATGTTGACAATAAAGCTTATTACAAAATTGAAGAATACTTGCAATATATTGATTAGTATGATATTTAAAACGTCCGCCTCTCTTCCACGTTGCAGTGCCTAAAGGGAGCATGTTATGTGTATGAATTATTTAATTGATACGATATTGAAACCTTCAAGAAAAGAGCTTATTCCTTTTTAAAAGGCCGACAACGTACTTGCAATTCCCCTGGTGTTGCAGGTGCTCATGGGCGGCGAGCCAGAGCCGAGAAACGCAATTTTTTTTTTATAACAGTGGACAAACGAGCATGCGGCTCACCTGATGATAAGTTATTACCATCAGGTGAGCCGCATGCTCGTTTGTCCACTGTTATAAAAAAAAATTGTATACCATAATTGTGTAAAGCAACATTAATAATAAATATATAAATAAATAGTGATGCCAAACATGATGATCGCGACTCGTACTTACGCCGAAGATGATGATAGATCGACGAGTGTGCATGGCAATAGTTGTTCATGCACTGAATTTTCATTTAATGTTAGACATAGACACCTATATAAATATACATTGTAAATAAACTGGCTTAAAAAAAGTAATTCAATTGAGTTTCTTGCCAGTTCTTCTCAATTGGATCTATATATCGAACTGGACGGTAGGAAAAAAATTAAAATTAGAATATTTAAATTTGACGTTCATAAGCGGCTAAAATGTCCTACATGAATAAATGATTTTTGAATTTGAATTTGAAATTTGATCGCGAAAGACGAAAACAGATAGTTTATTAACCCTTCGAACGTTTTGACACAGATCTATGCACCCCTGTTAAACCGTATTACCGTCTTGTCACAGATCTGTGCCCGCAAAACCGGTACCCCGTTTTAACAAATTTAGTCCTTATTAGAAACAAAATAAGATTGAAGCGTATTTGAAAAAATATCGCCATTCACTTTCGGTCGCTGCGACTGACGACAGATATTCGAAAAGGTTAAATTCTCATAAACAGTTATAAAAAATATTAAGCCAAAAATGAACATAAGTTTTAAGAATGGTAAGCAGGGATTCGGGATATAGTATTCGTCATAGACGATTAGATAACTTTATTCATAGTAAATAGGTAATAAATAGAACAGAATACAGTATTACTATTTTTTCCGTTTCATTTTCTGATGCACGAGTCTAGTGTGTGTGTACAGCGCTGGCCGTTGTTTGAAGGTGTCGCCACAGTCCGAGCACATGAACGTACGCTGTTCTGAATGCGTCAATTGATGTCCACGCAGTATTGCCAATGTCTGAAACAATATGGAAAAAGTAGAAATAATGACGGCCTCTACAATAGAGTTAATGATATTATTATACTGCTGAAAATATACATTACCAAAATATAACTTCACAATAGAAATATAGAAATAGAAATAATCTTTATTCATATAAACTCATTAGAAGCATATAGACTCATTTGAATAGTCATATTTTGATTCTACCACTCATTCGGAATGCAGATTCATCACAAGAAGAATGAGCAAGAAACTTGTGTGTTGCTCTTTTTAATAGATTTGTTTTATATAAATAATTACATTATAACAAGTAAGAGGCATACGATAATCAATATAGAAATCGCTACGCACTCATTATTAATGTAATCAGATAATATTGTCAGTGCTATGGATTTTAAGTTTTTCTATAAAAACATTATTGTCATTAACGAATTCTTCAATTTTATAGTAAGCTTTTTTGCAAAGGAAGTGTTTTATATGACATTGATCTTTTTTCAGGGAGATTTATAACAGACTCTGGTATTTTATTGTAAAACCTTACGCAATTGCCATAAAACGAATTACTAACTTTAGTTAAACGACATATAGGTAAAATCAGTTTGTTATTGTTACGTAAGCTTTTATTAGTGGAATCACTAACTCTTTTTAAATTGTCTATATTCCTCCTGGCATACATGATATTTTCATAAATGTAAATAATAGCATATTTTATTTAAAAAAAAGTTTTCTGTCCGACTATGGTAATGGAGAAATCAAATAAATTACATCTACAGCAGATTTAATGAAAGATTACTTATTGGAATGCTCAAAATATAACATTATACATTCCAAAATATATATGCATAACAGCGTATTTTAGTTTCTACAAGCTATACCCGCAACTTTGTTCGCGTGGAATTTAACTTTATTTTTCTAAAATAATAGTAGCCTAAGTTACTTCTTATTACATCAGCTACCTGCCAAAAAAAGTTCCGTCAAAATCGGTCCGGCCATTTCAGAGATTAGCCGAAACAAACAGATAGACAGACAAAAATTGTAAAAAATGTTATTTTGGTGTATGTACCGTATTTGTATTCATATGCATATAGTAAAAAACGGTTATTTAAAAATTACAAACAGACACTACAATTTTATTTATATGTATAGATAAAATAAGGTTTCTGTTTGACAACGGTAATGAAATAATCAAAGTATACAAAGAGGGCTCTCCAGCTTTTAAAAATAGGTGAGAATGAGATGCTCACGTAAATCTGGCTGATTATCAAGAAACTCACTTTATTGATAGTTTATAAACAGAATGGTACCAAGTAAGTTTTTTTTAGTAATTTATAATTATGTAAACTTACAAAAAATTTCTTTCCACACTCATTGCATTGATGATCTCTCGGTCTATCTAGGCCGTGGTATTTTTGTTTATGGTTCCTTAATCGCCAATCAGATATGAATATCTGAAAAGAAGTTTGTTTACATGTCATTTATATCACAGACTAGCTGTTTCCGCGACTTCGTCCGCGTATAATTTAATTTTATATTTCTAAAATAAAAATAGCCTAAGTTACTCCTTATTACAACAGCTACCTGCCAATAAAAGTCACGTCAAAATCGGTCCAGCCATTTCAGAGCTTAGCCGGAACAAACAGACAGACATTTATATGTATAGATATATTACATTAATAATTTTGTATACAACGCACACCTGGCATTTCAGGCGTCCATAGCCTACGGTAGTCATTTACCATCAGATGGGCCGTATGCTTGTTTGCCACCGTAGTAGTATAAAAAAAAAATCTTTGTAACTAGGTGCTTCTTTAGCTTTATATTAGTGTGAGTATTGCGTCTGAGCATATTACAATAGTTTAACATGTTTATGCTAAACTATTGTAAGATGGTATATGATAAAAAAGGTTGGCAATTTCCAACTACAAACCTGATTAGGTTTGTAGTTGGAAATTGCCAACCTTTTTTACGATTAAAATAGAATAGAATATTATTTATTCAAATAAACCTACATTGAAGCACTTTTAAATAGTCATCACATTTTTTTTAATCTACCACTCATTCGGTAAGCGGCCTCATCACAAAAAGAACGAGCAAGAAACTTGCGTGTTGCTCTTTTAAATAATTTTATTATTAATTTACATTTTTAAGTTTAAGTGCGTGAATACAAACTACCAATTAGCACTAATTCAATTAAATACTCAAATAGTAAAAATATTAAATATACAACTAACTGGTTAAACAATTAATAAGACGGAATCAGTCATAGTGATTAGAGCAGACCAGTCCCTACAAGCAGCACCCGTTCACGAGTATGACGGATGAGCCAGCCATCACTGCGCTCGACCATATTTTAATGACCTGGCCTACCATGCCGTCACATGTCTGGACATTTTAGTGAGCATGATTACGTTACGCAGTCTGGTTTACGTATCTATATATTTTGCCTTGCCACGATCTACTGGACTAACAGCCGCGATATACTGGTCGATCACGATCGACCACCCCTGATCTATAGTAAACTATAATATCCGACAGTTTATTGTCGGATATTATATATTTATTTTAGGTTTACCTAATCCTACTGCTTCTCGTCTCTCGTTATTGTTATATGGTGGCTAAATATTAGTATAAGATATTATTACGCTCTTTATACTGAATGGAACCATTGAGTTCCTAATATGAACATAGAATGTAGAATAATATTACCCTGATATTGTGTTAGTTCATAAGTAAACGTTCAAGCAGACATAGTCTTTTATTTACCAGTTATCAACACAAGCATTAGGTTATAAGGAAAACTCAACTCTGGATTAACAAAATAATGTAAAAGTATATCATTGCATAGTTTAAAACAACCCTGTCGCAGTCTGTCCGTCTGTATGACCGATGGTCGCGGGTACGGCACAAACAATTGTACTCATGAGTATGAGATTATTATTATTATTATAAATAAATAACCCTGAACAATTTACACAGCGCCATCTAGTCCCAAGTTAAGCTAGCTAAAGCTTGTGTTTTGGGTACTAGATAACTGATACATATACATAGTTTTTTTTCTTAAACACATACATATTATACATAGAAAACACCCAGACCAATACAAACAATCATACTTATGAATACAAATGTTTGCACCGTGCCAAGAATCGAACCAGCGACCATCCGAAGTAAAGCGGTGCTAAACCGCTAGACCAGGGAGGCCGTCAATATGTTGTATTATGATTCTTATTACCTTATCACACTGCTCACAGATGAACTGCGACTTCTGTAGATGATAGAAGTTATAATGTTGGATCCAATAGGCCCGCGACGAGAATTTCTTATCGCACTCCACGCATGCGTAACTGTGGAAAAATCCTTGATTTAATACTATTTTGTACTCATAATTCAGTAACTAAATAATCATGAAGATAAATATAATTAATTTTTTAATTATTAAATAGAAAAGCAAATGATCGTATAAATATTAAATGAAATTAACGATTACATCATTATCATTAGCGTACTGCAATCCACTACTGGATATAGGGATCCTCCAAGGCACGATCATGAAGCCCTATTTTATCACTATTACACCTACCATCCTCCCCTCCGATCGATCCCCCGTCCAATTCAAACGGGGATCGAAAATACGACGGCCTGAGCCGAGGTTCTAACACCTAGAGGTACCTGCAGACTATCGTATTCATCAGGCGGGAGTTATCCTTCAGCCGCTCCATAAATCCTTCCGCGGGTTTGAAGTGCCATCTACACTCGCCCCCTATCTTCCAGTGAAGTTGTAAAGGCCAATTGCAGCCAACAGCATTTTCTTATATCTCCTAGTAGGTACACATTTTTAAACCCACGCTACACAAACAAATTCTTCAAAATTAAGTACTGGAGTTAAACCAATTACTGTCAGAAAAGTACATTGACAGAGTCTAATGTTAATATGTTAGTGATGTTGATGAAGAACAATCAAAAAATCAAATATCAGATAAGAAAGCTAATCTTTACATATAAAAATTAGGCGTCACTTTGTTTATCCGCGATGGACTCTTTAACTACTGAACCGATTGCAAATTGATTTGCATATTGTGTGCAATTTGATCCAACTTGAAAGATAGGATAGCTTACATCTCAATTTATAGTCGCAATAATAATAATAATAATAATCTCAGGACAATTCACACAGCGCCATCTAGTCCCAAGTTAAGCTAGCTAAAGCTTGTGTTATGGGTACTAGATAACTGATACAAATACATAGATATTTTTTTTTTCGTAAATACATACATATTATACATAGTAAATACCCAGACCGATACAAACAATCATACTCGTGAATACAAATGTTTGTGCCGTGCGAGGAATCGAACCCGCGACCATTGGACATAAAGCGGTGTACTGGACCGCTATACCACCAAGGTCGTCAAAGTCAAAGTCGCAATATTATTTTATTCAAGAACCTTAGCCGTAGCGACACGTGGCCGGGTCTGCAAGTTTGCTCCGAATATGTCAGAAAAATTATTACCAAGAGGTCACCTGTTAGAGTATTGGTAGATTAACACTGAAAAGTATTTACATTTATTAATTTATGTGATTTCCTGTCTAGAGCTGGCCTAAGTTCTAGATTAGAGGCAAGGGCCCTCTTAAACCTACACCCGGGTCACCACGCGGTGAAGGCGAGTGTTAATGTATGTCGTCAAAGGGCCCCTTATACCTACACCCGGATCACAAGTCCTGGGTGGTTGTGGCTGGGCGGTTTAATTTTAGTATGAACTTGTTAGCATTCAGAAACTCCAACTGCTTGGAGTTTCTCTCTGCCACACGATGTACCCGGCACTGAATGCTTACAAGTTCATCTTATATTAAACCACCTAGTTCGAGTACATCCTAGAAAGAATTAGACCTAAAGCAGCTTATTTCAATAAAATATTGCATTACATGCATTTGATAACTTACTTTCGCTCTGAATGATTCGTGCTATTCCTCAGATGCCCTCTATATATGTATATATTCTTGTACTGTACATTACAAGTGGTGCAGTACGATAATTGTTTGGCTAGGGCGGTATCATGCGTCACCATGTGGGATTCGAGTCTGGATTTCTTCGTAAACGTTTTTGTACACACATCACAAATAAATTCTCGCTTCACTGCGTGTACTCGTCTGTAAATAATTAAGATATTTTATCACCTCTTTTACCAAGTTTTTAAACTTTGTCAACTTTTCTGCGTGGTTACCTCAATGTCACTGGGGGAAGAATATTATTTGTAATGGGTTTTCTGACTCTTATTGCTAGCAATATATATATATACCATGTTAGATTGATGTCCAAATGGTTCCCCTTAAACCACCGTGGTTAAATTCTGTTTTTTTTTTATGTATGATACACCCGCCTGCGCTAACGGTTTACGCTGGCGGGGCACCAGTGGAGGATAAGATGAGTGGAGAAAGGATGGAAAGAATTATTATTAGATAGAAAGACAAAATAAGGAATGAGGGAGTGCATGAAAGAAAAGAGACAGATCACAGATTTTATTGAAATGTTGGGGCACTTGATACGACACGACGAACTAATTAATAATATTATTGAAAGAAAAATAGATGGAAAGAAAGGAAGGGAAAGACCAAAAAACATCTATAACAAACAAGTTAATGAAAAAGTCGGAGTCTGTCGTGTAAACAGCTAAAAAGATTGATAGAGGATCGTAGAAAGTGGCGGGTGGTTCACCGACAAGAGCACAGCTCTTAAATTATGACAAATCATTACTGTAATTATTGTAAAGCATGTAATATAAATAAACATAGTATGTTAGTGAAGTCACTTCCGCTGCTTGTTAGCTTAGATCTTTTGAACTACAGAACGGATTTTAATATAGTTTGTACCAATAGATAGAATGATCCGGGGCCGGTAGCTTATAAATAAACAAATATAGCTAACAAATAGTATGATAGAACTCACATTTTATGCGTTCGCAACGTATTTTTCCCTTTGAACCTGCCGCCACATTCATCGCATTTGAGCGTGTGTTTTGTCTTTATATGCTCAGCCAACTCTTCAGGTGTTCTGCAATAAATATTACTATGTAGCATAATTTAAGATTTTCTTAAAAAAATATGTTAACTTGCTAGTTACATGTATGGCAGCTGGAGGATTGAAAAAAAAAACAGAAAATTATTATAATAAATTAATTAAATCTTAATATATAATATTATTATAAACGCGAAAGTTTTTGAGTATGGATGCATGTTTGTTACTCTTTCATGCAAAATCTACTGAAGAAATATTCATGAAATTTTTAAAGTAACATAGCTTATGCATCGTTCGCATAACTGGCTGCTAGATGGCACTGAAGTAGCAAAATGTTGACATTTTATTTTTTATAAAAAATATTTGTTTTTTTAATAAAAATCCCATATTCATTCTAAGACCTCCAAGAACGTGTGCATAAAATTTCACGATGATCGGTTCAGTAGTTTTTGCGTGAAAGCGTAACAAACATCCCTCCTTTCACATTAATGATATTAGTAAGGATAAGGATTAAGGATAATATTTAGGATAAAGATTGAGGATAATATTTAGGATAAAGATTGAGGATAAGGATTAAGGATAATATTTAGGATAAAGATTGAGGATAATATTTAGGATAAAGATTGAGGATAATATTTAGGATAAAGATTAAGGATATTAAGGGTTAAGATAAGAAGAACAGTTACCTGGCAATAAGTTCACATTGTTTACAGTGTATCCTATCTTTGCTGTCATGACGATGTTTAGACCGACAATGGTTGACCACAGCCCATATCTGTCCAGTCTCATACTTGCAGAGTTTACATCTGTAACACATGTAGTGCTGGCTTCTGTGTCTGATCACATCCAATTTACTAGTGTACCGGACTTTGCATATATCACACTGGTGTTCGCCTATACTCTAAAAATAATTGGATTAATTAGTTACTGTATTCATACATATTTATTCGAATTAGGTGTTATTTTACAGAAGTCCATTTCACTACTGGATTGATTTATATTTCAAATTTTCAGTGTGGAAACTTGACTACCGTTACGACCTTCTCTAATGGCTTTCAAATTCCGACCGTTATTGAATCTACAACCATACTGCGACAAGTGTTTCGCCTCTAAACGAGGCATCATTATGTGTTGAATAGATTTCGGATATAGATTGGAAGCCTAGTGTTGACTCTTCGGCGACAAGAAAAACTTAAAAGCTAATATCGTGCTACGAGCTGAAAGGGCCTCCATTCGGCTGGTGCCACAGCGTGTTACTGCAGCACTGATTTTCAGTGGAGCCACTCGAAAAAAAAGAAATAGTATTCTTGATATTTTTGACTTTAAATATATAAAATTTTATATAAGAGTAAGTTAAATGGATGAATTAGAAGTATGTGTAATTTAGCACCGTAAAAAATACAACGAACAAAATTTTTAGAGTATGAAGGTATAAAGGACAGTCTCTTCAAGACAACTTTTGGGTAGAGGACAAAAGAAAGGTGGTAAATAGCCGGGACTTCTGACCCGGGTGTAGGTTTATGGAACCCCTTTGCCAACGTACATCACCAAACACCTTCACCACTCGTGTTTCTATATTTATAGTAGTAGTAACAGTATCTTAGTTATATATATAGAACCAACTGCAGTTCTAGACAGGCTTAAGATTTCCTTCTAAAAGAAGGTAAAGGTAAGAAGGTAGAGTGATTTCACTGGTATACCTCTCCCTTCAACTTTGACTGCATATAAATTAACTATTTCATTTTAAATCAATGTTTTTTTAGACCAAGTAATAAGCTGCAGATAGTATATAAGTGTAGGCCAGATTGTCAAATATACATATATAAAAAAATTGCTGTGAAGTTTCAATAAAATCTGTTCAGTAGTGTTTGTGTGAAAGAGTAACAAACATCCATATACTCACAAACTTTCGCGTTTATAATATTAATAACATTTAGTTAAATAAGTCATACCTCATCATGTTTTTTCTTCATATGTACATCATAATTTTCTTTCTTCAAAAATCCTAACACACACATATCGCATTTGTACTGTATTTTCTTAAAGTTAGGTTGCATTCTCTTTTCTTCTCTATTTTTTAACAACTCTTCTTCAGTAAAGACAACTGTGGAGAATTTGTCTATAACATTTCCATCTGATTCATCTGAGTCTGTAGCTTCAACTCTATTGTCTATAGATATATCATTAGAACTCACAATCATTTCGCCTTCATCAATATTACGTATCTCCTGTTTTAATATATCAAGATCAGTCTTTTCAATAATATTATTTTCAGTTTGTGTGTCATTTATATTATTATTTCTATTGTCAGATACCAATATCTTTCTTTTGCGTCTTTTTCTTTTAATATTTGCTTTTATACTACTTTTTTCGGTAAACCGAACTGAACAAACATTTTTAATTATTCCTTCATTCATAGTGTCTGTTATTTTATTTTTTGATTGATCATTCTGAACTTCATCATCATCACTATTTGAACTGTACATGTGTGATGAATCAATACTATCTATAGGCAATTCTTCTTTTTTAATTAATATATCCTCAGATACAGTCAGTGGATCATATTTTGGTTGATAGTCGCAATTTATTAATAATTTTGTTTCAAGTCTACTTAAAGATTTTAGATGTTGTATCTAAAAATCAGAGAATTATTTTTTATTACAAACTAGCTATACCTGCGATTTCGTTCACACAGCGCACGCAATGGATGTCTTCAAATATGAATAATTTTCCATATTTTTGCAACATTTTTAAGTGATGCTTTACTTCTATTGGTCGTAGCATAATGTTATATAGCTTAAAGCCTTCCTCGATGAATGAACTATCCAACACAAAAATATTTTTAAATTCGAACCAGTAGTTCCTGAGATTATTGCATTAAAACAGAGAAACAAACTCTTCAGCTTTATACTATTAGTATAGATGTTGCACAATATACTAAGCAAAACGTGCATATGTCCAGTGGCGTGTTCACTACAACATTGACAGTAGATAAGAATGGAATAGAATTTATTGACTCCTATTATAACAAAAAAATATAAACACAATACAAAACAGAATCAATTCGGATTACAACTCTAATGCTGGAAACATGGTTTCGAGTGCTGATTTTCAGTTAGGCTCACAGTATGAAGGCACATGAATTACAATTTTAAAAATAATACTGTCATACTCATGAATGCTTGCTGCTTGTGGGGACTGGTCTGTTTAAATTACGAACACTGATTAGATTGCTTTCGATAAAATTGCAATAGTATATGCTGGTGGGCACTATATTCTCCCTAATTTGAATTTACATATGAATCTTTATTACTGTAAACACATCCAACCTTATTTGAAAAGAATATGAGTTTAGTTTCTTGTTAGTTTTTCTCAATTCGAATGTACTCCATCCTGACAGTAGATTTGACATATCATAAGAGTCTGTAATAGACCTACATGAATAAAGATATTTTGATTTGTATAAAAAGATAATTATGAGTACTAGAAGACTGATATAAATACTTAGATACATTTTTTAAAGTACATACATAATATATATAGTGAACACCCAGACCGACACAACCAATCATACTTACGAATACAAATATTTACACCATGTAAGGAATCAAATCCATTGCCATTGAAAGTAAAGCCGTATGCTAATCCACTAGACCACCAAGGCTAATCGAATTTTGCATTACATTGTATATTTTACCTGTGTAGTATTGCCCAATATCTGCTGTGCTTCATACACTTGCAATTTGAATTTCATGAACCTTGTTAATACATTACGGCATTCCCAGCACACACTGCCACTCAGGTTACCGATCTGAAATAAGACAATCATTTAATTTACCTTTCCCATTTTTCTTGGATGACTGCATTCTGAATGTAGAAGAATAACATTACTATTTATTTATAATTAGACATTAAAAACATATTTAATTATATTTTATTTTATATAAATAAAATATATTTATTATAATTATTTATTTTAAAATATATTTTTTAAAGAGAAGGAAACCAATATGTCTACTTTCTATAAGATAAATGTTGCATAGAGATAGGCTGTTAGTAATAGGTCTATTGGGCATATTGTTGGTAATTGGGCTGCCGGAACCACCTTCAAAATGACATGATGAATTCATCAGGATGGGTGCACTTCATTCTCATCCTACCATTTTCTACTGGTGTAACGACAACGGAAAGCCTTAGCACGGACGGGAACACCATTCCGTCAATCATTCTTCAATACTAAATGTAGGTAGGTACCTATAATACTCGTAAAATTAATGCAGTTTTTTGTTAGTTTCCCGCCAATTTTGATGACATAAAAAAAATAAAGAAAAAACTAACCTGATACAAATTCATGTTGTGTATTGTTTCACGGAATTCGATGAGAGGACAGAGTATGCGGTCTTTACTAAGGCATGTCTGACATATACCGTGTTTTTCGTCCATTTTTTATTCCGTTTGGGATGTAGTTAGTATAGTTATAGTTTAGTAAAAATAGTTAAAATGATAAACGAATTATAAAATAAAGGATTGAATAACATGTATTCATTTTTAATACTGACAATATCACAATTATAATAGAAAAATTGTAGTAAATTGTAACTGAACACGTATATAAAAATACAAAAAAAACACAAGACTTTTTTTAAACTGTATTTTAATATTTTTAATAAAGATCAAGAGACTGACCACAGACAGAGGTTTCTGCACAGAGTACTTTAATATATGGGTTTCTGTCAGTATGTTCTCTATTTTCATATTGTGGCCCTAGATACGGAGGAGATTAATCGGAAAAAAATGCTTTTGTTGGCAACACAAATAGCACAAATTTTCTAATTTATATTGTCAAACTTTAAGTTGGATAAAAAGGACTTCTATCTAAAGCCGTAAAACATATTCATAAAAAAAGTTCATAGATGATTACACTGTGTTCAAATGTTTGGATCTGTGGTGCATTTCTCAATGCTGATTGGTTGATCTGCATATATTGTTTATTGTAAATGTAAACAAACAAATAATTTTACAAAATTCTAAATAAACAAAAGATATTTTATTTCCTTTACAGAAAGAAACTTCATCAATTGTGTAAAAATCGTAGAGAAAAGGGAGCTCAATCATAGATAAATAAAAAATATATTATATCTTGCGACTATGAATGACAATTATTACAATTTTTGTAGAATATGTTTGAAATGCGACAATGTAAAATTATCAAATACTTTCCTGATTATGGAGTTTATAAGACAAATACTTGGTTTAAATGTAAGTATAGTATTTAATATATAAAAAAAATAAAACAAAGTTGTATTCTCCTTCATTGCGTGAGTGAATTCGGTATAATACAGTATATAAGTCTAGAATATAAATTTTCGGAGTACCAAATTTGAATCGAATCTGTCCAGTACTTTTTGTGTGAAAAAGTCACAAAATCTCCAGCGATAAATCGCTGTTTTTTTTTATTCATGACCATGGGTACAAGTATTTTAGTCGGACACATTTTTGTGCACACAACATAAAGATTTAAACAAATACAATTCCTCTGTTACCAAAAGTGTTACCAGCTACTTAATCAGCTTGTTTTTGTAATAAAAATGATTACTGAAATGGCCTTAAGATTCGTTCAGCTATTTAGTCATGAAAGGTTATCAATTCAATTCATTATATCTTTATTCATGTTGGTCTATTACAGACACTTATGACAAGTCATTAATCTATATATTAATATTATAAAAGCGAAAATAAATCTGTCTGTCTGTCTGTTGCGCCTACACGCCTAAACTACTGAACTTATTTAATTGATAGTTTAGCCCTGGAGAAAGGACATAGGCTACTTTTTAATGTGTAAAAAGGGTTGAAAGGGTAGATAAAAGGTTGTATGGAAGTATTATAACTGTGCCCACTTATGCATTTATATTAAAAAAAAAGAAAGAATTCTATTAGTATTTTTCTCTTGCATCTATGTAATATATATTTTTTTAGTTCTTTACTCAAAAAATGTTTTCCTATAACTTTGAAATGTCTGTATACATGTGTTTCTGTGTGTCTGTTTGTGGCTTTTGCTGCTAAACAAAATTACTGATTAGGATGTACTTTTTTGGTTTGAAAGTTGATATGACTGAGATGGGTATGCTATGGAGACCTCCGTATGCATTTTTTTAGAAGATGATAATGGAATGGTGCACCAGCCTGAGCTGACGGTTTACGCTGGCGGGGCACCAGTGGAGGATGATAGGATGAACATGAAGTAAGATCAGTTAGCCCATCGTGACAAATTCACCAGAAATTTATCACGATGGTTTCCAGGGGGAACCGCGTGGAGGTCGACCTGACATGGTACATTGCTAGCAATGGGATTATTAGTCCACATTACTAACAATCTCTTTCCCCCCCTCCGACTGCATTACACTGGTTTAAAACGTGACATGTTCCTAGTTGAGATAAAATCAGTATATGCAGCTAGAATAGCAAAAACGTAAAGACAAGGCATATAGTATGCCTTGTCTTTACGTTTTTGCTATTCTAAGGAAACAATCGGTATAAAAAAACAGAATGACAAAATATAAAATAAATAAATATATTTTCAAATAATGGTTTTACTTAGTTATTAATAGGATTTTGTGATAAAAGTCTCTGATTTGACTAAGATTACTAAAAATTCGAGGATAGTACAGTACTTTGCTCTCCTGATATTATAGGATATACCAGAAGAAGTACATTTATGCTTGTGGTGTAGAGCAGCCATTAAAAGGACCACAACATTGATATCTATCGCAAGGAAATCACAAAAACTATTATTAGAACATAATGAGGTAAGAGAAAAAATTATTATTAACCAAATATAATTTTTATATCTCCTACTATTTTTTTATGTCTTCTACTCTTTTTTAATTCTTATGACGGCCTCGGTGGTCTAGCAGTTTAGCACATTGCTTTATTTCCGATGGTTGCAGGTTCGATTCCTTGCACAGCACCTGACATAGTGCAATCAAAAACTAAACTTTATATCTTTAAAGAATACCATGATGTAACTAAGTCTATATTCTTTTTAGATACACAAAGATCTACAGAAAAATCTCAAAGGGGTTTATGAATTCAATCATTTTTGTAATACACCTGTGAATATTATTCCAAATGAAACAAATACCATAGACAATAATTGTTCTAAAATAAATTCAAATCAAGGAGAATGTTTAGTTACATTAGATAATTTAAAAATAGAACCAGATGATTATGGTACTGATTTCAGTGAAGAGACTGAGACTATACAGCACCAGCAAGAAGAAAATGTAAACAATTTGTGCACAGATAATAGAGAAAATGAAATGAAATTAAAAAAAAAATTAAGTGGTAAAAATAAACAATGTGTCTATGATGAAATGCAATATGATGTCGAATATTTGAATTTAGAACAGCAAATTATGGATATGGAACAAAAGAGAAAGACAGAAAAATATAGCAGAATGGAATTTAAATGCTACTCATGTGGTATAGGATTTTTAACTGATGATGTGTATAAAGAACATGAGTTAAAGCATAAAGAGGTAGTATAGATTTTTTTTTTTTTAATTGGAATGGCTGTTTGCTATTCTATTGTTGGCCTGATGATAATCGTAGAGACTGGATTATATGCATTTGCATATTTTAGCCATTCTCAGAGGTAATAGCATATTTTACCTAAGATCTAGTTATGATGCATATTATCGGTACATTTACAAAATTTTTCACTCACCCTGCGTTCTGAAATGCGATCAAATTAAATATAATAACAGTCACAAATTATAAGGGCTATTTGAGTAATAATTGTGACTTTTTACTGCATTTCGGAACGCAGTCAGTAGCCGCGTGCGTCTTTCGTTTTGACAGTTATGATAATAAAATGAAAGAGACAAAAGAACGTCGAACTCGCCTACTACAAAGTCGTTCTACCTACCTTGTTAATGTTCATACTTGCTTACGTTTACAAAAAATTTAAATAATTTTAATGTCATATAATATTACTGTACCTATTATCGCCTATCAAAAAATAATTTTCTAATTTTATGCTGATTTTGAAATAAAAAAAAAAAAATATTTTTCAATTTTTTTTTTGGGATTCCTAAAATTTATAATTTTGCATATTCTGCCAACTTTCAAGCTTTTTTCATGCATATAACAAGCTTTTTATGTTGCATATAATCCGGTTTCTAGTAATCCGTAATGGTCGCCTATATACATGAAGAGCGCCATAAATATCACGTTATCATCATAACATCCTGTGATACTACTCCTCCATTGCGTTTCTAAAGGACTATATTCCGAAAAGAAATGTCAATTAACCTACTTCTAGAACTTTATACACAGGCTCCTATTCCCCACTGGGCACACTGGGTACGTACCCAGGGCCCCGCGATGGATTGGGGCCCCCTAGTGTAGTCTAGTCCCTACTCCATTACCAATACCGAATGTTGAGATGGATGTGTGGGGTAATCAGGAGTGACAGAATAAGGAATGTATATACGAGGAAGTTTGAAAGTAGCGCCAGTTATAGACAAGTTGCGAGGTCACAGATTGAGCTGGTATGGACATGTTATGCGGAGGAGCGAGGATCATGTCTTAAAGAGAGTGTATAATATGAACGTGGATGGATGGAAAAGGAGGACGACCGAAAAAAAGATGGATGGATTGTGTGAAAGATATGAATAAAAGGAAAGTATGCTCAGATATGACGGCCGATAGAGATCAGTGGAGGAGAGAATGACATACTGCGACCACAAATAATGCGATAAAGGCAAGGCAATGGTGATGATGATGATTACAGTCCTTTAGTTCAAAGGCTACTTACACGGTATCCTCTGTGACTGCATGTCTCACAGCCTCCGCAAGATGTCGTCTCAGTCCTTTCTTAGTTTTGTAACGCGTATCACACTCGACGCAGTAAAATTTCTTGGTCTCTATATGCGTAGAGCGATGGGAACTCAAGCTGGAGTTGGTTGTGAACTTTTTAGAACACTGTTTACATGCGAACAGCTTCAGACCCGTGTGTGTCCTAAAAAAACTTTATTTGTAAGTAACAGTGCCCTCGGTTTAGCTTCTGTGAAATTTATAGCCCATATGTTGTTCTGATGTATATGCTACATTACTGTAAAGTTTCATCAAAGTCTGTTCAGTAGTGTTGTGAACTTTTGCAGGCAGCTGGGCCTCACAAGTGCAAGATATGCGATCTCAGGTTCAAATCTCAGCACGTGTTGTCACAACATAGTTTAGCACACAGACGCAAGTTCACGTGCCGTATATGTAAAAACACATACAAGAGGTGGTACCACTGCATCGCCCACAGATACAAATGCGGAAGTGCTATTGAGTATGTAGCTTGTGAAACATGTCACAAGATATTCAGGTAAATTATATGTTGCGGATATATAGTATATATACGCTGTTGTCGGTTGAGACTAAGGAGTAACTTAGGCTACTTTTATGTTAGAAAAATAAAGTTAAATTCCATTTGATGTATATTACAGACTAGCTGTACACGCTACTTCGTCCGTGTGGAATTTAACTTTATTTTTCTAAAATATAAGTAGCCTAAATTACTCCTTATTACATCAGCTACCTGGCAATAAAATTCACGTCAAAATCGGTCCAGCCATTTCAGAGATTAGCCGGAACAAACAGACAGACGGACAAAAATTGTAAAAAGTCATTTTGGTGTATGTATCGTATTTATATTCGTATATTCATATGTAGTAAGAAACGATTATTTCAATATTACAAACAGTGTCTGTGTCTGCAGTGCTTATTTATTTATTTAATTCAGACAACATGGCCCGTATTATAAATAACTTATTATATTATTATTAGTAATGTGGACTGTTAATATCATTGTTAACAACGTACCATATCAGGTTGACAACTATCATGCTAAATTCCTAATGAATTTGTTACGATGAGCTAACTGACCTGACCTCATGCTCATTTTATCATACTCCACTGGTGCCTCGCCAGCGTATACTAGAAATGAAACAGATATCCGGTAACTATCCGGTATCTGGCCTATCCGGCAGCATAGCTATTCTTACAATTCGGCAGAAATAAAAAAAAAATTATAGTTATTTATTCAGTTTGTCTTAGTATTACATAAGAAATAAAATTAGTTTTAGTTTTAAATTTTTAATCACTCAATATTAAATGAATGTTATAGAAAGAAAATGAATTTATTACTTAGCTAAGTTCCGCCGGATATCCGGCTATTCGGTCACTGTTGGCCGAATATTCGGTATCCGGTGTTCGACCGAACTGCTATCCGTTTCATCTGTAGCGTATACCGTCAGAGCAGGCGGGGACACCATTCCATTATCATCGATTAAAAAAATATTGTTTTCAGTGACAGACATTCCTATAAGATACACGCAAAACGCGTTCACAACAACGAAAAGAAATATCATTGCAATGAATGTGACCATAAGTTCACTAGCAAACAGCGGCTCACTATACATATGAGGTATGTATCAAAGTATAGAATTTCACCCTCGGTTCGGTCTAATACCCATAATACAAGCTCTGCTATTTTAGAACTAGATGGCGCTGTGTGAATGTCCTGAGTTATTATTGCTACCTGATGGTAAGTGGTGACCGTCGCTAATATATACACGTATTCGACATGCGCAACAATGTCACCCGAGGCACGTTCCTATTGATCTTGACGACCCCATAACAACATTTTCTCTACAAGTCCACCTGTACAGTCCCGACCACACTTTCACACACACTCGACACCGTCCTCGCCGGCGAAAACGATGACCTCAACCACATCGTACCGCGCAATCAATCAAACGGCTACGTGCGCCCAGACGCTCCATATTGGTACCCTCAGTTCCTCCTGCGGTCGGGCCCCGTCCAATTCAAATGGGAATCGAAATTACGACGGCCTGAGCCGAAGTTTAAACTCCTAGCGGTACCCTCAGACTAGTCGTATCCGTCAGGCGGGAGTTGGCCTTCAGCCGCTCCCCAAGTCCTTCCTTTGGTTGGAGTGCCATCTGCACTCGCCTCCTATCATCCTGTATCTAATTTATAGGACAAAAAAGCTATATGATGATTGACGTAGAATTCCCATGATGTTGAGGGTGCTCATGGGTAGCGGTAATCACTTACCCATCAGGTGAGCCGCATGCTCGTTTGTCCCCTGTGTTATAAAAAACTGTGACAGGATCACTGATATTGTATTGCTCACGACAAAAGACTTGACATCAATATTGCCATAAGAAATAATCCATAAGTTATGAAATTTATGGATTATTTCCTATGGCAATATTGACTCCCAATTTTTTTAGGATGTCTTTACATAACTATGTTGAAAAATCTTATTATTATTATTAATATTATAAACGCGAAAGTTTGTGAGTATGGATGTAAGTTTGTTATTCTTTCACGCAAACACTACTGAACAGACTTTGATGAAACTTTACAGTAATGTAGCATATATATCAGAATAACATATAGGCTATAAATTTCGGACGGGCTAAACCGTGGGCCCAGTTACTTACAAATAAAGTTTTTTTTAGGACACACACGGGTCTGAAGCTGTTCGCATGTAAACAATGTTCTAAAAAGTTCACAACCAACTCCAGCTTGATTTCCCATCGCTCTACGCATATAGAGACCAAGAAATTTTACTGCGTCGAGTGTGACACGCGATATAAAACTAAGAAAGGACTGAGACGACATCTTGCGGAGGCTGTGAGACATGCAGTCACAGAGGATACCGTGTAAGTAGCCTGTGAACTAAGGGACTGTAATCATCATCATCATCACCATTGCCTTGCCTTTATCGCATTATTTGTGGTCGCAGTATGTCATTCTCCTCCACTGATCTCTATCAGGCCGTCATATCTGAGCATACTTTCCTTTTATTCATATCTTTCACACAATCCATCCATCTTTTTTTCGGTCGTCCTCCGTTTCCATCCATCCACGTTCATATTATACACTCTCTTTAAGACTAGATCCTCACTCCTCCACATAACATGTCCATACCAGCTCAATCTGTTGCCTCGCAACTTGTCTATAACTGGCGCTACTTTCAAACTTCCTCGTATAATTACACATTCCTGGTCACCCCAACAACTATCAACAAGACTGTCAAATTCCTAGTGAACAGGTGATATGCTCATCTTATTATCAGATTGAACAGAGAATAAATATTTTTTAATTGATGGTTTATTTATTATATTATTATACTGTTTTAAATTTGACGCAGTCATTATTTATACGTATAATTAGTAAAAATCACGGGATCTTACCACGTTTTATATTTATTTACTGAGTTCCCGATATTTCGGCAGTGTTTCAATCGCCATGATCACAATCAGTTATATATATAAAACCTGGTAAGATCTCGTGATTATTACTAATTATACGGTTTATCTATTCTTATTATTATACCTTGACGTCTCCTTTTTTCTCGTACACGTATGCATGGGTGATTTAGTGTTTACGTTATCCTATAACATTTTATAGGTTTGATTTTGTAAGAAATCTCTTTTTAGATACAAGGTCGCTGGTGGTACATTTCATTTACCTTATTATGGACGGCATCGGTGATCTAGCGGTTTAGCACACCGCTTTACTTTCGATGGTCGCAGGTTCGAATCCTTGCACAGTTTAAACATTTGTATTCATGAGTATGATCTATGTATATTATGTATGTATTTAGGTATTTATATCAGTTGTCTAGTACCTATAACACAAGCTCTGTTTACCACGGGACTAGATGGCGCTGTGTTAATTGTCCAGGGTTATTTATTACTGTTATTTTTTCCTATGTGTGTACAATAAAGAATAAATAATAAAAGATTTAAATGTCAAATAAAACACTTCCTTTGCAAAAAAGCTTACTATAAAATTGAAGAATTCGTAAACGATAATAATGTTTTTGTAGAAAAAATTTAAATACATAGCACTGACAATATTATCTGATTACACTAATAATGCGTAGCGATTTCTATATTGATTATCGCATGCCTCTTACTGGTTACACTGTAATTATTTATATAAAAAAACATCTATTAAAAAGAGCAACACACAAGTTTCTTGCTCATTCTTCTTGTGATGAATCTGCATTCCGAATGAGTGGTAGAATCAAAATATGACTATTCAAAAGTGCTTGTAATGAGTTTATTTGAATAAAGATTATTTCTATTCTATTCTATTCTAAAAATTGCTTAACGGTAGAAATAGACAGAGACGCCTACGCAGACGTCTTTTTACATATTTATATAATATATTATGTAGAATGTATATGTTTATAATATATATTAATATTATTACTGCTTCTTCTACTCCATCATCCGCCATCCACCACCACGCCTTTTGTACCCATATATTGTTTTCTTTTGTATATTTGTTTTTTTGTTATTATGGTGCAATAAAGAATAATAACTATCGCAGTTACCTATGTTACATCAAATTGGTTACAGCTTTTACTGCCCGGACTGTAACAAGACATTTCCTACAAAGAAACAATTGTATGGCCATATAAATTCAAGGCACACGAAATCATTTAAATGTGATTTATGCAGTAAGGTATATAATGGTTTAAAATATATATATATTTTATTTTAAGAACATTTTTTCAATAATTCTCTTGCTCGCTATCTATTTACATTCAGCCGCTTCTCCTGCCACTCGCGCTGCCGGAAATATTGCCGGGTGACAACTGACCGAGAGGGCTGTATGTAAAAACAGGCTGCCACTCGCGCTGCCAGTCCTTTGACTCGCGCACGAAACACCGACAATCGAGGGAAGTGGCAGCGCCAATGGCATGGGAAGTATCGTGTTTACACTCTCGCGCTGCTCACTTCCGTTCTCACTTCCCTGCCCACTTGGGCTGAGTGTAAATTGGGCATTAGCGTCGTAATTATACAGTCAATACAACTGCATCGAGTATATCAGTTGTTTTTTATGACAGTTTTTTTATAACTGTAGGCTCTTTTTTAATCGCATAGATAATTGACATTATCTTGCCAGCTTTTAGTAATTTTTAAATAGGATTGTAGCACTACCAGAACTTAATATTAATTACCCATTTTTATACATTTACGATCCCTAGTCCAATTCAAACGGGGATCGAAATTACTACGGCCTGAGCTGAGGTTCGAACTCTTAGCGGTACAATCAGGCTAAAGTCGTATCGGTCAGACGGGTGTTGTCCTTCAGCCGCTCCATAAGTCCTTCCTTTGGTTTGGAGTGCCATCTGCACTCGCCCCATAACGTCCGGTGAAGCTGTAAAGGCCAGCTGCGACCAACAGCATTAGAGTAGTCCAAAAAAAAAGTTTAACAATCCAACATCACTGGTTGTTTTATTTATTTAACACGAGAGGATGCTGTGGATGTACAGTAAGATCAATAAAATATTTTCTTTTTCAGATATTTTCAACTAATACAAACTTAAGGAAACACAAAAGATGTGTCCATTCGACATTTTAGAACAACTGTATATGGCGCCATCTTGAATATTTTGGCGGGAATACAAGAGAAAAATCAGGTCAATTTAACAACTTTAAAAACTGTATAAGGCGCCATTTTGAATATTTTTGGCGGGAATACAAGAGAAAAATCAGGTCAATGCAACAACTTTAACAATTGTAAAAAAGCGCCATTTTGAAAATTTTTGGCGGGAAAACATTGTTGCCATTACAACAGAAATAAGTCAATCCATCCAAAAAGTTTATTGTACGTCGTTGACAATAAAAGAATATGAAAATTATAATGTTTTTTTTTTGTTATTGTAATTGAAGAGATTTAAGAAATATTTATTTATTTATTTCAGACATCTGTTTTAAGTCATCTCGTGACCACGTCTAGGCCCACCTACTCGAAACCTCGAGAGGTAAATGCGTTTATCCTTATTAATGTAAGAAATAAATTATATCTTATATATAAAATTCTCGTGTCACAATATTAGTTACCATACTCCTCCGAAACGTCTTGACCAATTATTATGAAATTTTATACGCAAATACAGTAGGTTTGAGAATCGGCTACCATTTATTATTCATATCCCTAATTGATAAGGGTTGTCCACCCCTAACATCTTTTTTTATTTTTTTTTAGCAATTTTTAATTTTTTATAGCATCAAATTTTAAAAATTACATACAACCCTTTTTTACAATTTTTATCCGTCTATCACTAACTAACCCCTATTTTTAATAGCCATTTTAATTTATGGCAAAACAACGTTTCCGGGGTCAGCTAGTGTCTGTATTCTCTTTATTAGAATATTAAACAGGAAACTGTTCAAGTATTGTACTGTATACCTATACAGCGCCATCTTACGATCAGTTAAAATAAGTACATTCGTGATTATTTTCATAACTTATAATATAAAATTGTAATAATGATTCGTGATTATTTTCATATAATAAATAAAATAGTGTCTGTTTGTAATATTGAAATAACCATTTTTTACTACATGCATATGAATATAGACACCAAAATAATTTTTTTACAATTTTTGTCTGTATGTCTGTTTGTTCCGGCTAATCTCTGAAATGGCTGGATTTTGACGGGACTTTTATTGGCAGGTAGCCGATGTATAATAAGTAGTAACTTAGGCTACTTTTATTTTAGAAAAATTAAGTTGAATTCCACGCCGACAAAGTCGCGGATACAGCTAGTGTATAATATTTCTAATATATATATTTAAGTACTTAAAAAAATGTACCGTACATACATCAAAAAAACACTTTTTATAATTTTTGTGTCTGTCTGTAGATCTATTTGTGCCGGTTAATCTCTAAAATGGCTGGACCGATTTTAACGGGACTTTTTTTGGCAGGTAGCTGATGTAATAAGGAGTAACATAGGCTACTTTTATTTTAGAAAATAAAGTTAAATTCCATGCGGACAAAGTCGTGTGTACAGCTAGTATTATAAATATATTACAAAGAAAACACCCAAATTGATACAAACAATCATATTCAATAGAAATATCTCGTATTTATTCAGTATGTATATTTATTTAGTATGTACTCATTTATTCGACTATTTATTTATAATAATGTGAATCTTTAGTAAGGTGGACTAATGTAATAAAAACAACCTTTCCATTAAAACCCTTTATTCTTATTAAAAAGTAGTCTATGTCCTTTCTCAGGGTCCTGACAATCTGTCTACCAAATTTCATTTAAATCGGTTCAGTAGTTTTGCGGTGAAAGCGTGACAGACAGTTACTTTCGCATTTATAATATCAGTAAGGAAGTAAGGATTTTCATTAGTTCCCGCCATAAGCAAACATAGTAAAAATTCTATTTTTAAAAGTCCCGTTGGCTAGAAAAGTCGTTTACTATGGAATTTATAACCTCACACGTTGACAAATGCATCTTGACCTATAAAAATACGTAAAATCCTGTTTATTTCGTATTGGAATTTATATATCGAAGGAGGGAAGGGATAAGTCAAGATATTTTGGTCACGAAACGCTATAACGTCATGGTCCTCACACACCTCCGTAATGTTGGCAATAAAGCGATTGAAGCGCTGACTGCTTTAATTAAAACTTATGCATTTAAAAAATTTGAATAGTTTACTAAATACACATGATACGGTTCGGTGGTCTAGCGGTCTAGCACACTGATTTACTTCCGATGGTCGCAGGTTCGATTCCTCGCACGGTGCAAACTTTTATATTCATGAGTATTATTATTTATATACAGACAGTATCGGTCTGGGTAGTTTTTATGTTATATTTCTTTGTTAGTTGTAGTTTATAACTTAACTTAATATGCTATCGTCGTCGTTGATCTCATATTGTATTATTTTACTGATAAAGGCTATAACAGAATAGCAGAGAGGGTGGACTCACTGCCCTCACTGAGTTATAGACCGTTTTGTCTCATTCATTAGTCTTAAATTATATTATTGTATGGGCAACAGTTGTATTGTGTGAAAAGTTTTTGTTTGAGACAAATAAAGATTATTATTGTTATTATATTATGTATGTATTTACAAGATAAATATATCTCAGTATTTACATTAGTCCGCTAGTACCCATCGTCAAGTCTGCTTACCGTGGCAGTAGATGGCGCTGTTAACTGTCCAGGGGTATTTATTTATTATTCAATCTTATTGAAGTATTTTTTTACTTTTTTATATAGCATAGGGGTCAATGAGCTTGTGGATCACCTGATGGTAAATACTACTAAAAATTACGATATGGTAGTTATAGTATTCGCACTTTACATAAGAACGCATACGGCAATTAATATAAAAACCGCTACGATATGCAACATCAAGAAAGCAATAAGAAAAAGAAACAGAAATAGAAATAATCTTTATTCAAATAAACTCATTACAAGCACTTTTGAATGGTCATATTTTGAATCTACAACTCCTTCGGAACGCAGATTCATCACAAGAAGAATGAGTAAGAAACTTGTGTGTTGCTCTTTTGAATAGATTTATTTTTATATAAATAATAATTACAGTATTGTCATTACATAGTATAAAAGAAAGTCGCTGTCGCTATCTGCCCGTCTCTATGTATACTTAAATCTTTAAAACTACGCAACGGATTTTGAAGCGGTTTTTTTAAACAGATAGAGTGATTCAAGAGGAAGTTTTATATGTGTAATACACGTACACCTGTGCGAAGCCGGGGTGGGTAGCTAGTTAAATTATAATTTAATAATTTTAAATAAGTCCGCAAATAAACATATTTTTTACTATTCTATTCTAATTACACCTAGCTCCCTTTCAGATTTAACTTTCTGTTTAAGTAGCTAAACAATAAAGATATTTTTACTTTGCTTATAAATTTATTTGCTACTTGTTAAAACAATTTTATTTATATCTAGATTCTTTGGCATGGAAGCGCTGTACTGACGCGCTTTAACGCTGTTTACATGTCTATATAGAACCGGTTATTGTGACGTCACTTAACCAAACACCGCTTCAGTTCCATTTCTTGATCGTGCGCCCAGCGTTCGGTCAACGCACGCTTCGTATTTTAAAATTCGAACTAAAGTTTGAAATTCGAATCGCACTATCGAGTGTTCCCGCGAACTGACCGGAAAATGTGTGCTACATAATTTCTATTTTAATAATTACATAATGAATTGAGTGATTTTTCTTTAATAACTGTTGTTTATTATTAAAATACTTTGCGTGAAATATACAGTTATTGTATGTTAATTTTTATAGAGTGTGTTGAACAAGTTACGACTCAGTTGTCATTGGGATTGAGATTCTACGGAACTTGTTGTCATTTCGTGAAGCGCCGGCAGAATGGCGGTAATAACTTTGTTTATTTTTTTAAATGCACATGTGTTCAGTATATCCAGCTTTATATTGGGAATTTGGGACAATGTTCACTCATTAGTTTCGTATGTCAGTGACTATTATTTTGCATTTAGAAATCTGTTTATAATCTTATTAATATTATAAACGAGATAGTTTGAGAGTAGGTCTAGCGATTTAGCACACAGGGGGTACAGGGGTACAGATGGTCGCGGGTTCGAAGAATCGAACATCGCACTATGCAAACATTTTTGAGTATCTTGCCAGTTCTTTTCAATTGAATCTGTATGTTAAACTGGAGCTTAGAGAAGAATAATAATACTAACATAATAAAAAAAAATGAAGAAATAACCTGACAATGAAACTGAAAACTGAAAACAGCTGAGCGGAAGTAGAAAATAGCAAAATAGCCGATACTGAAACTTCACGCGAAGGCGCCACGTCTTATATCTGGATAACAGATTAATCTGCAAACAAGATTGTTTAGTTTGGACTAAAAATAGATTATACTCTATGTCAAATTACTAGAAAATTTATGTTGGAAATGAATGCAAAAATGTGTCTGTCAGTCTGTCTGTGGATTTTAATGAAAATAATTGAATAAATTGATTTAATGAATAAATATTAAATTATTTATATAATATTATTTATTATTATTAAAATAGATTTAATAATTAATTGAATTAATGAATACTAAATTTTATTTAAATCGGTTTAGCAGTTTTGGCGTTAAAGCAAGACTAACAGACAGAGTTACTTTCGCATTTATAATATTAGTAAGGATAGTATGTACCACGCGGACGGCGCCGCGGAATTCAGCTAGTTAAGAAGAGATTAAAAAATGATCATACCATATTATATTTCTAACTACTGATTTAATTCGCAACTAGAAGGTAATGATATATGAATATATGATGACGTGATGTCAGTGTCGCTGCTCATGTTTACTTACATAGACAATAGCTTAGGGTTGTCAACGTTTGGTTTTATATCCTGGATACCAGTTCGATCCTTTTGACTCGGTTCAGAAACGTGCTATGAGAATTGTCGATGATCCCAATCTCTCTGGCGGTATCGAGCCACTTGAGACGAGACTTCGCTTCGCTTTGTGCGTTCTACTGAATATACAACGGACTGTGTTCTGAGGAATTGTTTGACATGATGCCCACGGCTACCTTGTACCACCTCACCCCTCGCCATCGACAGGGAATTCAGTCCCACAAGCTGGAACCTAGGTGGTCTCGGACAGTGCAGTTTCAGAAGAGCTTCCTCCCGCGTACACTTAGATTGTTGAATGAACATCCTCCCGAGGTTTCGTCACGAGACTACAGTATGGGGTTTTTCAAGAAGGGTATATTAAGGTTTCTTAAGGGTTGGCAACGTGCAAGCAACAGTGTTTGAGCCATCTATGCTACTTTGATAGTTTATCATCAGATGGGTCGTATGTTTGTTTGTGACCGTAGTGGAGAGATCATCAGACATCGTTGATGATTTATCTTTTACGTATAAAACAAACGTAGGTAACCTTTATTTTTATCGAACATGCCCTTGCAGGTTGCGTGAATTTCTCTTGGAGCAATCTTTTTACAGTGTTGATGAATTTTTTAACAACAAAAATTGTATAATTTCAGACACAATATAAATTGTTACTGAATAAATTCAATAAAAAAAATCTATTCTATTCTATTCTAAATATATCTAAAAGAAATTTCTGTCTACCAAATTCAAATTCAAAAATCATTTATTCATGTACGTCAAATTTTTACTTTTATAATTTTAATTTTTCCATACCGTCCAGTTCGGTATTTAGATTCAATTGAGAAGAACTGGCAAGAAACTCAATTGAATTACTTTTGTTTTTTAAAAGCCAGTTTATTTACAATGTATATTTATATAGGTGTCTATGTCTAACATTAAATGAAAATCCAGTGCATGAACAACTATTGCCATGCACGCTCGTCACAAATATATCAGGTTACAACTAAAGTATGTTACTTGACGAATGTAATAATCATAATAGTTTGCAAACACTAAATATGCATACCAGTAAAACATATCTCTTACAAAAAGCCACAATACTCACCGACACGGGCCTTAGCTAAATGTGGGAGAGGTTGCGCTATATTAAGTTATTATAATTGCGGAAGTCAGAAAATTTCATGCAATACAGGGAGGAAATCAGAAATTTTCATGCAATTGCATGAAAATTTCTGACTTCCTCAATTATAATAATTTCATATAGCGCAACCTCTCCCACATTTCGCTAAGGCCCGTGTCGGTGAGTACCTTTTAATCCAAATAAAGAAGAGATAAGAAACCTAATAATGATATAACTTTTCCGAGGGAAAAGGTTATTGTTAGTAATGTGGACTCCCATTGCTAGCAATGCACCATGCTGTCATGGTTGACCTCCTCGCGGTTCCTCCTGAAATCGTGATAAATCCTGGTGAATTTATCACGATGTGCAAACTTACCTGACCTCATGCTCATCTTATTCATTCTCCACTGATGCCCGCGAGCGTAAACTGTTACCAAAGGCGTGAGTATCAACATTTTAAACGGATAAAAGAAGTTAAAACAAAAGAAACATAATTATGACTCTTTATTGTGCACAGAAAAAACATTTCCAAAAAGAGAACTTAACTAACAAACGGTGGCCTTATCGCTTAAAACTACATCTCGCAGACAACCTGGTAATGAACTTGTGAGTGACACACTTTTATCTTTACGTAATTAAGCAAAAAAAGTGAATTGATATCATCTAAAATTATTCCATTTATACTTTAGAGTAACCAATCTATATCATATTAACATTATAAACGCGAAAGTTTGTGAGTATGGATGGATGTTTGTTACTCTTTCACGCAAAACTACTGAACGGATTGTGATGAAACTTGATAGTAATTTAGCTTATACATCAGAATAACAAATAGGCTATATTTTGATTGAAGTTTAACGCGGGTACAGATAGTAATATTATAAATCCGAAAGTTTGTGAGTATGGATGGATATTTATTACTCTTTCAAGCAAAAACTGTTGAACGGATTTTGATGAAACTTTACAGTAATATAGCTTAGACATCAGAATAACACATAGGCTATAATTTTAAAAGATATTATGTGCATTGGGCGAAATATAATGATAAATGTCATGTAAGTATGATGCAGACGAAGGCGCGCGGGTCAGCTAGGACTTAGTAATAATATTGAAGTTTGTAATTTAAGTACTTTAGAGGAAAGTAAATACTTTTATAAACTCTTTATTGCACCAAACATTTTACATATATGTATATATGATTCCAGTAACTTCGTCCGCGTGGAATTTAACTTTATTTTTCTAAAAAAAGAAAAAAAGAATTTTTCGAAAATAAAAGTAGCCTAAGTTATTCCTTCTTACAACAGCTACCTGCCAAAAAAAGTTCCGCCATAATCAGTCCAGCCATTTTAGTGATTAGCCGGAACAAATAGACAGACAGACAAAAATTGTAAAATTTTATTTTGGTGTACGGTACATACACCAAAATAACATTTTTCAATTTATATTAATTCAATCCAATTTTATTTATATATATAGATGTATAGATAAAATACTTACCTAGGTACATAATAACTAGTTGTACCCGCGACTTCGTCTACGTAAATTAGTGATCTTAACTAAAAATGATGATTATTCCATACAACATTACATCTACTCTTTCGACCCCACTTTAAAAAGTAACCTATGTCTAAAATCGGTTCAGTAGTTTTGGAGCGCAACCGAGACAGACAGACAGACAGAGTTGCTTTTGCATTTATAATATTAGTAAGGATTAATATAAAAACCAACACCGTATTCAGTGACCATAAAAATATTCTTACATATTCATGGACAAGAATAAGAGATATATAGTCAAGAAAGAATACAATCTTAAGTAGCAATAATTAGACAGCGTAATATAAACTTTAAATTATAAGAATTAAGGTTGATTATATAACAAATGGATTCGTTTATCTGTTGTATATAATTACTTGAACATTTTACATACAAACGGTTACGCTCTAATTTTCACGACGGACTTGCACGCTTTAAATTAGGGTTGCCAACAATAAAATACGTGTAGGAATTTACTTAGTCATAACTACCGTAACTTCGACTGCGTATGTTTTTTTTTCTTTTTTGTTACATACCTTATATATAAATTAAGGAATAATTATACTTTTTGTCCCCTCCGATCGATCTCCAATTCAAACGGGGATCGAAATTACAACAGCCTGAGCCGACGCTGAGGTTCGAACCCCTAGCGGTGCCCTCAGACTAAAGTATCTGTCAGGTTGGCCTTCAGCCACTCCATAAGTTTAGTCGAGTAGTTCGAAAAAAAAGGTTGAGGCCACCGAGACTCTAGCGAACTCCCCGCTCTCACAATGGCTGAGTACACGCCTCTGAAACTCTAGCGGACTCCCCACTCTCATAATGGCTGAGTACACGCCGTCGAGACTCTAGCGGACTCCCCACTTTCATAATGGCTGAGTACACGCCGCCGAGACTCTAGCGGACTCCCCGCTCTCACAACGGCTGATTACACGCCGCCGAGACTCTAGCAGACTCCCCACTTTCATAATGGCTGAGTACACGCCGTCGAGACTCTAGCGGACTCCCCACTCTCATAATGGCTGAGTACACGCCGTCGAGACTCTAGCGGACTCCCCACTCTCATAATGGCTGAGTACACGCCGTCGAGACTCTAGCGGACTCCCCGCTCTCACAATGGCTGAGTACACGCCCCTGAAACTCTAGCGGACTGCCCACTCTCATAATGGCTGAGTACACGCCGTCGAGACTCTAGCGAATTTCCCACTCTCATAACGGCTGAGTACATGCCGTCGAGACTCTAGCGGACTCCCCGCTCTCACAAGCGCTGATTACACGCCGCCGAGACTCTAGCGGACTCCCCGCTCTCACAAGCGCTGGTTACACGCCGCCGAGACTCTAGCGGACTCCCCGCTCTCACAAGCGCTGGTTACACGCCGCCGAGACTCTAGCAGACTCCCCACTTTCATAATGGCTGAGTACACGCCGTCGAGACTCTAGCGGACACCCCGCTGTCCGCATGCTGATACCCACGCTTCGCCGTCACCAGCCTAAAATCCTAAGTCTATATAGATGTTTCATTTCAAAAACTCGTTAATTCATCTTTATCTTAGATATCTTTATTAGTTTATTTTACCAACCAACAGTCATACATTTATTTGTATAACTATGACTCAATACCAAACAGAATTAAATTATAATCATGTTATCCTATACCTATACATATGTATATTGACAGTCTCAGTGGTCAAGTACACCTTACTTCCGTTGCTCACGGGTTCGACTCTTCGCACGGCACAAACGTTTGCATTCATGAGTATGATTGTTTATATTTGTCTGGGTGTTTTCTATGAATAATATGTATATCTTTAAAAAAATGTATAACTTTTTCTTTAAATTTATACATATGATATAAATTTTATTTACAATTTTTGTGTTTATGCGTACTAATCTCTGAAACGGTTGTCGGACGGGACTGTCACTCGCAGATAGCTAATATTGTAAAGAGTAACTTATACTATTTTTATTTTACAAAAAATATTTATTTTATTAAAAGAAGAGTTAATTTCTACACGGAAACAGTTCATAAATCAACCATATTTGAAGTTACGAACATTTGGATTTAATTTTTGGGCTGTAGGCCAGGGCCCCGAGTATACAAAGGGCCCCCAGTCCCCACTGAAACAGTATTTAGTATATAAAAAAAATATCAACCCATGCAAGTGCGCGTCTATCGAAAGGAACGAGATTTTCTGGTCGCTTGTTTTTGATCGGTGTGTTTTTTAGTTGAGTAATATAATTAGCTACTAAGTAGATTTAGTCCAGGGCCCCACAAATTCACGATCCGCCCCTGGTGACCACCACTAAATACATGTTGTTTTTTATATTTATGACTTAAAAACGGTAACGGTCGCTTGTGTGGGACATGTTTTAGGCGCGGCCATTCTTTGATGACTCACGATTTGAGATAAATTGTTATATCAGTTGCCTACTCATGCATAAGCATAATATCTCCTTTGGAAAGTTTACACTCTATCCTGAGGAGATAAAAACCATCGCTCCTAAGAATATCCTTCAATTCTTGTCCCTGACGGGTCTGGGTCTAGATAGCGAACTCTGAAAAGGCCGAGCACAATGTAGGTCGCAGTGCTACAGGTCCAAGCACCTGACTACAGCCCAAACTCTCCAATAAAAAATAAATTAGTTGTACACATAATAGATTTAAAGACAAACTTACTGTTCCTAAGTATCGTTTAGAAAAAGCAATGGGTCCTTTACGGGAATGGGTATAAAAATTTACAGGAATGTAGCTTTATCTTTAAATAAATTTAAAACATCTGTAAAATCATATTTATGGAGCAAAGCTCAATTACTCACTAAGCGATTACTTAATTGACATAGGATTTTCATTTAATTTTAGACATAGACTCTTATATAAGCATAAAATAAATAAACTGGTTTTAAAAAAGAAAGTAATTCAGTTGAGTTTCTTGCCAGTTCTCCTCAATTGAATCTGTGTACAGAAGGTGGACCGACGATCTGGTCAAGATCGCTGGAAGGCATTGGATGCGAGCAGCGCAGGACCGATCGTCGTGGAGATCTTTTCATATATATATACCTAATAAACTTATGTCCAACATTGGACGTCTTCATATGGATCCCATGCGATGATGATGATGATGATGAATCTGTGTACTGAACTGGACGGTAGGGAAAAAATAAGTTAAAAAAACTTGATGTTCATAAGTGGCTAAAATGTCTTACATGGTATATGATTTCTGAATATATGAATTAATTACATGAATAAATGATTTTTGAATTTGAATTAATTTAATTTTGACAGCCTCGGGGATCTTGTAGTTTAGCATATCGCTTTACTATTCGATGATCGCGGGTTCGATTCCTCGCACGGTACAAACATTTGTATTGGAATATTTGTATCGATAGAAAACACCCATTTCTATGTACTATATAATCTAAAAAAAATTGTTTTTTATTTAATTGTTGTTTAGTACTCATATCACAAGCTCTGCTCAGCTTGAGGTTGGGATTTGGGGTTTCTCAAGAAGGGTATATTAAGATTTCTTAAGGGTCAGCAACGCGCACGTGACTCCCCTGATGTTTCATGCGTCCATAGGGTACGGTAACCTTTTACCATCAGATGGGCGTTTACCACCATAGTATTATAAAAAACATGGGGTTTCCCAAGAAGGGTACATTAAGGTATCTTAAGGCTCAGCAACGCGCACATGACTCCCCTGGTGTTTCATGCGTCCATAGGCTACGCTAACATTTTACCATCAGACGAGCCGTATGTTTACCACCATAGTAATATTATAAAAAAAACATGGGGTTTCTCAAGAAGGGTACATTAAGGTTTCTTAAGGCTCGGCAACGCGCACGTGACTCCCCCCTGATGTTTCATGCGTACCTAGCGTACGGTGACGTTTTACTATCAGATGAGCCATATGCTTACCACCATATATATAATAGTATAAAAAAATGGAATTTCTCAAGAAGGGTACATTCAGGTTTCTTAAGGGTTGGCAACATGCACGCGACACCTGGTATTTCAGGCATCCATACCTTTTACCATCAAATGGTCAGTATGACAGTTTGCAACCAACGTAGTCTAAAAAAAAGTGTAGTATCGCTAACAAACAGGAAAATGTAATATTTGTGTTTAATTAATAATTTATTATTATTATATATAAATTAATAATTGATTTGGTATTCAAATTATTTTACCCGTTCACATTAAGACAGGGATTTTCCTGCAGGAACTAAATATAAATTTAGTTAGGCCATTGGGCTCCCTAAAATATGGTCGAGCGCAGTGATGGATGGCTCATCCGTCATATTCGTGAACGGGTGCTGCTTGTAGGGACTGGTCTGCTCTAATCACTATGACTGATTTCCTCTTAGTCATTATTTAACCAGTTGGTTGTATATTTAATATTTTTTCTTTCTAGTATTTAATTGAATTAGTGCTAATTGGTAGTTTGTATTCACGCACTTAAACTTAAAAATGTAAAGTAACAATAAAATAATTTAAAAGAGCAACACGCAAGTTTCTTGCTCATTCTTCAGCAGTGAAGAAACTGGGTGCTAACTTCATTTAGCCTAAATAATTAAAAATTCTATCCAATCTCACTATTCCACGCGGACGAAGTCGCGGCCACAGCTAGTCATATACGCGGACAGGGATTTTCCTGCAGGAACTAAATATAAATTTAGTTAGGTCATTGGGCTCCCTAAAATATGGTCGAGCGCAGTGATGGATAGCTCATCCGTCATATTCGTGAACGGGTGCTGCTTGTAGGGACTGGTCTGCTCTAATCACTATGACTGATTTCCTCTTATTCATTATTTAATCAGTTGGTTATGGTATTTAATGGTATTTAAAACTGAGAACTGAAACTGAGAACTGGCCAAGTTAGACCTTAGGCTACAGTATATTATCCTAAGTTATAAGAAGATATGATATTTTATATTGTTATAAATACATTTCAGGACAGACCATTGAACTTGACACCCATTTAGATCTCACCTCTTTTGTCGTAGAAGTCAACAATCAAGGCATATATCATAATATTAAACTCGGCTATCATTTCACATTTATGTTTTTGATGGGATATATATATATAAAGAAATCTTTATTTCATTCACATGAACAATTAAGTAGATACAAATATTTTTAAAAGGCGCAAGACATTGAAATTATAATTAATCTTCGGAATAAAGAAAAAATACCTTTGTATTTAATGTAATAATAGAGTAACCGAGTAGAGGGGAACGTAAATATTTACGGCAAAATTTCGATTGGAAGTATTGCTATCTCGCTTGGGTGAGGGGAGACGCATGGTCTCTGAATAGAGACAGAATGAATACAGATCTTCATCGTAATTTTATAATGTGGTGGATACAGTCTTATAAATACAATGGACAATTCAATACGCTTAACACTACTCTACTACATAATTGCTTATGAATATTTTTAAACTGTAAATTTTATGATTGTTCATATAGTAATAATAATCTCAGGACAATTCACACAACGCCATCTAGACCCAAGTTACGTTAGCTAAAGCTTGTGTTATGGGTACTACATAATTGCTATAAATACATAGATATATATTTTTTCGTATATATATACATACATAGTAAACACCCAGACCGATACAAACCAGCATACTCATGAATATAAATGTTTGTGCCGTACGAGGAATCAAACCCGAGACCATCGGAACTAAGGCGGAGTGCTAAACCACTAGACCACCGAGGCCAAATATACTTAGTTCGTTGACTTTGTTTTTTTTAAGTAGTCGGAATGTTTCCGGCTTACCTTGATTGTAAGCAGTTGTACCACATCTAGGAGTTTTTTTTATGGATGATAATGAAATGATGCACTTGCCTGCGCTAACGGTTTACGCTGGCTGGGCGCCAGTGGAGGATGATAAGATGAGCATAGGGTCAGGTCAGTTAGCCCATCATGGTAAATTCACCAGGAGATTATCACGATGCTGGTAAACAGCACTACGGATATTACAGTATCATATGACACCCGTGATATCACTCATGCGTTGTCATTCTAAAGGATTAAGATGTCACGCCTCTTATCTTGTAATTTCACTGCCTAATCTCAACCCTACAACCGAAATATATCTTACAAACAAGCTGCTTGTTACTACAATGTATAAGATCGTGCCTTGAGAGAAGCTTATGCCCAGAAGTGGTCTGCAGTGGGCTGACGATGATGATGATGATGGAGATGGTACCAGTTTCGTGTCAATAACAATATGTTTTTGTATATTTCCAGGATTTAAACGCAAAGTTGGCATTTGCCGTGATCTCCTCAGCGTGCTGGTCTGCATTCCAACATGGATACAACACCGGTGTACTGAACGCTCCTCAAGCTGTAAGTTATGTTTTGTACACACACACACACACACACACATACACACATGTTCCCTTTTTTTGTTTTATAATGGTGTCCTTGATAAGTTTCAGTATTTTACCCTGGCTTCTGCGACACAAGTCTTGCAATTCACACAACATCATCTAGTCTATTCTAGTCCCAAATAAACGGAGCTCTGGGTACTAGACAACTGACATAAATACTTACGTAGATTTTTTTTCTTAAATTGGTAATAAATCAAAATAAGTAATATCATACATACATAGAAAACAGACAGATACAAACAATCATACTCATGAATACAAATGTTTGTACCGTGCGAAGAATGGAATCCACGACGATCCAGTAACCATCGGAACTAAAACACCTAGACCACCGAGACCGATAAACATAAATAGTTATATAAATATGTATATATATAAATAATACATATAATTATGATATAAATAATTCAATGGTATCTAGGTAGAATATTTTAAACTTTTCTTGAAGGAAGTTAATGGCAGTCCATGCCACAACCGAGCAGTAGGGAAAGAAATGGATTTTCTCATAAAATAAAAATAGAATTATTCAATTAAACTTCATATAATATAAGCACTTTTAAATAGTCATATATTTTTTATTCCACCACTCATTCGGAACGCAGACTCATCACAAGAAGAATAAGCAAGAAACTTGCGTGTTGTTCTTTTTAATAAATATAGTTAATAATTACATTTATAAGAATTATATTTTGAATTGTGAATACAAATAGTAAAGTTGGCATAAATGATTTACTTTAAAATCAGTCATAGTTATCAGACCAGTCCCTACAAGGAACACCCATTCACTAATATAACTTGCATGCCAGCCATTACTGCTCTCCAATGTTAGAGAAAAGTTTTTATTATTATTCTTTATTGCACTAGAACTATAAAATAATACGAAAAAAAAAACAATATTTAGAGTATATGGGTACAAAAGTCGGTTAAGCGATCTCGCGAACCTTTCAGTAGAGGAGAAAATACAGAAGGTGGTGGACGGCGCATGATAGAATGAAAGAAACATAAATATTAATAGTAATATATCAAATATATACACATATTATAAACATATATATAATACACAATATAGGTACTCCTTTTAATATTTTAGTTATACATATATTATCTTTTTTAAGGTTTTTAGTTTTAGGTTAATTGTTTTAATTTAATAATTATGTCACTTCAGTTATATTCGCTAATTAGTGCGATTATTATCACTTTTTTATTCACTGTTCATTTATATTGGTAATTACATCTAGTAGTTTAAATGTAAGAGTATAAGCCGGTAAACAGAGAGATCATAACATCAATCAGTTATATCTTATATACATATACGTTTTATTATGTACTGTTTATTTTCAGGTAATGTCCGACTGGCTTCATAAATACGCACTGTCAGACACAAATCTGACCATAAACGCCAATGCTGACCCTAAAGTAACATCAATATGGTCTATAGCTGTATCAATTTATTGTGTGGGAGGCATGATTGGTGGACTCCTTACTGGATTTATAGCTGACAGGTACATATATTTCAATATAGATATATCTTGAACTAATTTTTAATCTATACTTCATTACATAGTATAAAACAAAGTCGCTGTCGCTGTCTGTCCGTACCTATGTATGCTTAAAATTTTAAAACTACGCAACGGATTTTGAAGCTGTTCTTTTAATAGATAGAGTGATTCTAGAGGATGGTTTATATATATATATAATATGTACACCCGTGTGAAGCCGAGGCGAGTAGCTAGTAATATTATAAAGCTGAAGAGTTTGTTTGTTTGAACGCGCTAATCTCAAGAACTACTGGTTCGAATTGAAAAATTATGTTTGTGCTGGATAGTCCATTTGTTGAGGAAGACTTTAAGCTATATTACATTACGCTACAACCAATAAGAGCGGAGTTGTAGCTGCTGCTGGACCAATGAAAAATATTGCAAAAGGTGGCAAAATGAAACGCAGACGAAGTTGCGCGCATCAGCTAGTTATTCAATATGATTGGCCTTAGAGGACCTTTACAGCTTTACAACGAAAAACGGTCGAAAATGGGCGTAAATGTAGAAGGCACTCCATACTCTAAATCCGCGTTAGGACTTATGGAGCGGCTGAAGATCAACACCTGCCTGACGGATACAGTTTTACTACCGACTCAGTCCATTTTTTTTTAATGCTGTTGGCCGAAGCCGGCTTTTACTGTTTCACTGAATGATAGGAAACGAGTGCAGATGAACTTTTTTTTTTATTAATAATGGGATTGCGCTTGGTCTTACCTCATCTGATGATAAATGATGGCAAGACCTTGGATGTAGCGCGCTTACCCAGAAGATATCTATGATATCTCTATACTTCAAACCTGCGAAAGGACTTGTGGAGCGGCTGAAGACCAACTCCTGCCTGACAGATATGACTTTCGTCTGAGGGCTACTGCTAGGAGTTCTATCGTCGGCCCAGGCCATCGTATTTTTAATCTCATCAATAAATTACACGGAAAGTTATTTGGTGTGATATTCGAACTCGCGACCTTTGCTATCTAAGTCGGTAATACCTGAACCGCAACTGTATTTAAATATTTTTTACAGGGTGGGCAGAAAAAACGGTTTGCTATTGAATAATGCACTTGTATTCTTTGCGGCTATTTTGGAAGGATTCTCAAAGCCCGCCAATTCAGCTGAAATGCTAATTATGGGAAGGTAAGTGTTTTAATTAATCTATACTATTGACATCCATTAACTAGTAAGAAAAAACTTATACCTTCTTAAAAGGAAGGCAACGCACTCGCAATTCCCATGGATTTTTTTTTGTGGATGATAATGGAATGGTGCACCCGCCTGCGCTAACGGTTTACGCTGGCGGGGCACCAGTGGAGGATGATAAGATGAACATGAGGTCAGGGCAATTTGTCCATCGTAAATAACCAGGAATTAACTACGATGGTTTCCAGGGGGAACCGCGTGGAGGTCAACCTGACATGTACATTGCTAGTAATGGGTTCATTAGTCCACATTACTAACAATCCCATTTCTCCTCATTCCCATGGAGTGCGAGTGCTCATGGGCGGGGGTGATCTCCATATAAAACGTGCTACGATGAAATTTTATTCATAGCACAAGGCAATTAATATTAACGTTTTACACTAGTTAGATTTTCTTTAAACAAGTATGTTTTCTAATTACACATATCTGTATAAGTTTAAGAACGCAAGAACAATCCAAGACAGTATAGAAAATTTGAAAATGTGCATATCATTGGAATCATCATCATTACATAGTATAAAACAAAGTCGCTGTCGCTGTCTGTCCGTTCCTATGTATACTTAAATCTTTAAAACTACGCAACGGATTTTTTTATAGATAGAGTGATTCAAGAGGAAGCTTTATATGTATAATACATGTACACCCGGCCGAAGTCGGGGCGAGTAGCTAGTTTTTTTTTTATAACACAGGGGACAAACGAGCATGCGGCTCACCTGATGGTAAGTGATTACCGCCGCCCATGAGCACCCGCAACACCAGGGGAATTGCAAGTACGTTGTAGTAGTATAGTGTAATATAATAAATAAATTTTCAGAAACACAAAATATAGAGTTGTATTTAATGTAATAATAGAGTAAGCCGAGTAGAGGGGAACGTAAATATTTACGGCAAAATTTCGATTGGAAGTATTGCTATCTCGCTTGGGTGAGGGGAGACGCATGGTCTCTGAATAGAGATAGAACGAATATAGAAGAATATCTACATCGTGACTACAGCATGGGGTTTTTCAAGAACGGTATATTAAGGTTTAATAAGGGTCGGCAACGTGCACGTCATACTCCTGGTGTTTCAGGCGTTCATAGGCTACGATAACCGTTTACCATCAGATCATCACCCGCCAGAAACTGAAATACCATCTTGATCATCTGGATGAATGGCGGTCTTCCACAGTACGGTTTTCTAGAAACTTTTTGCCTCACACAACCACATTGTGGAATCACCTTCCAGCAATGGTATTTCCGAACCGATACGATATTGAAACCTTCAGAAAAAGGGCTTATTCATTTTTAAAAGGCCGGCCGACAACGTACTTGCAATTCCCCTGGTGTTGCGGGTGCTCATGGGCGGCGGTAATCACTTACCATCAAGTGAGCCGCATGCTCGTTTGTCCCCTGTGTTATAAAAAAAAACATTCATCCATACTCACAAACTTTCGCATATATGATATTAGTATTTTTTTTTTACAGACTTCTCATAGGAATCAACAGTGGTCTCAATGCCGGATTGGTACCTATATACCTGGCGGAAATATCACCACTATCCTTACGTGGATCCGTAAGTATATTTATATTTTATACTAGCTTTTACCCGCGTCTTCGCTTCCATTATATAACTTCATTACTGCTGCTAGATGGCGCTGGAGTAACAATATTTCGATATTTTATTTTTTTGTTTTTAATAAAAAAAATTTTTTTTTTTTTAAATTACGAATATCCTATGTTCATTCTAATACCTCCAAGAACATGTGTACAAATTTCATGATGATCGGTTCAGTAGTTTTTGCGTGAAAGCGTAACAAACATCGCTACTTTCACATTTATAATTAGTAAGTATGTAACTAAAATGGCAAACAATCTACCGTCCACCTGGTGGTATGTGGTAACCGCGTATGTAGGAGGAAAGGGGATTGAAAGTAATGTGGACTGATGATCTCATTGCCAGCAATGTACCAAGTCAGTTTGACCTCTGCGCGGTTCCCCTGGAAACCATCGTGATAAATTCTTGGTGAATTTGTCACGATGAGCTAACTGACTTGACTATCTGGTCAATCGCCGTAGGCCACTGCTGCTTCAGGAGTTCAGGACAGTGTAGACCACACACTGCACAACAGACAGTTACCAAACTAGAAGAGTTTCAATTCTATTCTATTCGTACTCCCCGGACCTTGCTCCAACAGATTACCATTTTTTTTTCGAAATTTGGATAACTCTTGCAAGGGAAAAAAATCAACTCCGATGGGGCAGGCCAAAGTGCCTTCAAAGATTTTATTGATTCCCGTCCGAATGGTTTTTTAATAAAGGGATCAATGAACTACCTATGAGATGGCAAAAGTGTATAAATTGCAATGGTACATATTTTGATTAATAAATATATTATATTTTGAAAAAATCCACTTATGGTTATTCACTTACAAAACGCCAATATCATATGTTATGACCTAATATTTATATCAGTTGTCTAGTACTCATAACACAAGCTTACCGTGTGACTAGATGGCGCTGTGTTTATTGTCCGGAGTTATTTATTTATTATTATAATCCTTCATTAAAAAAATCTGTAACTTGTAAACTTCCAGATCGGAACAGTCTACCAACTTGTGATCACCATCACCATTCTTCTCTCTCAAATCCTGGGTCTGGAGTCGATTCTGGGCACACCAAACGGCTGGCCGTATCTGCTAGCGCTGACGGCAATTCCAGCTGCTATACAATTAGCAACGTTGCCATTCTGTCCTGAATCTCCCAAGTTCTTACTTCTAAATAGAGGAAGAGACTCAGATGCTCAGAGCGGTAAGTACACACAAAAAAAAACTCGGTGTACATATTCAAATTCTAATTAAAAAATAATTTATTTATGTAGGACATTTTAGTCTCTTATTAACGACCGTCCAGTTCAGTATATAGATCCAATTGAGAAGAACTGGCAAGAAACTTAATTGAATATTTTTTTCAAACCAAGGTTATTTACATGCCATGCATGCTCGTCCTCAAGTAATCGTTTAGCGAGTAATAGGCTTTATTAAGTAAATATGATTTAACAGTTGTTTTATATATTTATTTTATTTATTAATTATTCCAGAATATTCTTTTCCAGGTATTTTATTGTAAATTTTTTTATTACCTATTGACCTAAACGATACTCGGGGACCTATTCTCTTTAAATATATCATAATAATCAATCTGGTGTTTTGAGTAGTCATGCTCACTAAAATGTCCAGACTTGTGGCGGCGTGGTGGGCTCCCTAAAATATGGTCGAACGCAGTGATGGCTGGCTCATCCGTCATACTCGTGAACGGGTGCTGCTTGTAGGGACTGGTCTGCTCTAATCACTATGACTGATTATTAATTGTTTAACCAGTTGGTTATGTATTCAATATTTTTTTCTTTTTGAGTATTTAATTGAATTAGTGCTAATTGGTGGTTTGTATTCACACACTTAAACTTAAATTGTAAGTAAGAATAAATTATTTAAAAGAGCAACACACAAGTTTCTTGCTTGTTCTTCTTGTGATGAGCAGGAATCCGAATGAGCGGTAGATTAAAAAAAAAAAGTTATGACTATTCAAAAGTGCTTCAATGTAGGTTTATTTGAATAAATGATTTTCTATTCTATTCTATTCACACACAGAAAATTATAAACTTGCAACTCGCCCCGGCTTCGCGCGGTTATACATGTATTATATATATGTAAACCTTCCTCTTGAATCACTCTATCTATTAAAAAAACCGCTTCAAAATCCGTTGTGTAGTTTTAAAGATTTAAGCATACATAGGGACTTTGTTTACTATGTAATGATTTAGTTATTTATTTAGTAATGACATGCTGTAATTTGAATAAGGTAAAATAAATATTGTAATTGGCAAAAACTGGGATTGTTACAGCCCATGCTGTAATTACTATAAATGACGTATTAAAGTAACTTGAAATAGTCATGCTCGCTATAGAGTTCAAACTTGTGGCGGCGTGGTGAGCTGTCTTAAAGTGCTCGCTAATATGATTGAGTGCAATGATGGCTGACTCATTCGTCATACTCGTGATCGGGTGCTGCTTGTGGGGACTGGTCTGTACGGGTTACGAACACTGATTAGACTTTTTGCTTTTGCATCAGCATATGCTGGTGGTCACTCTATTCTCCAAAATTTGAATTTGAAAATGAATCTGTATTATTGTAAATATGTGCAACATTTATTTGAAAAGAATACGAGCTGAGTTTCTTGTCAGTTCTCCTAATCTGGAAATCACCCCGAACTGACGGTATATTTGACATATCAAAAGAGTCTGTACATGAATAAAGATATTAGGATTTTTTTTATTTGAATTAAAATATGTCCAGCTATTCAATAGTATGTAAATTCAGTCATATAACAATAATTAGAAAGCAGCAATATTAAATAAATCTTTGGCAAATGCACCAACGTGCCAAGCTACAAAAAGAAAAAAAAATAGAGGTTGGGAGAAGTCTATGTCCAGCAGTGGACTGCAGTGGGCTGGTGATGAATATACATAATACAGAAAGACAAATTAAATTAAACATATAATATAATATCTGTCTGTAATACAAATAAATGACTTACAACTTTGTTTTGGGTCTGTTCCAGCTCTTAACTGGCTTCGTGGTAACGTTGCTGTTCGTGGGGAAATGGAAGAAATGCACCAAGTAAGTAACATTATATATACAAATACAACGACCTGGAGAGCGGAGGGAAGGGGGGGGGGGTCAATATACACACGAATATGACGACCTGGAGAGGGGGGAGGGGATAGTAACAGAGACCAGTGGTCTCATTACTAGCACCAGCATTACCCGATCGATCCGGCGTCTAATTCAAACGGGTATCGAAATTACCACGGCCTGAGTCGAGTGCCCTCAGACTAACCTTCAGCCGCTCTATAAGTCATTCCTTAGGTTTGGAGTGCCATCTGCACTCGCCCCCTATCGATGAAGCTGTACAGGCCAGCTACGACTAATTTAAAGAAATTAAGAATAGTTCGAAAAAGAGGGTCTTAGTTAAAGTTCGAACCTGTGGAGATGACCTTAGAGTATATGCGATTCCGTCAGGCAGGAGTTGACCTTCACCAGCTCTGAAAAACCGCGGGGTTGGAGTGCCATCTGCCCTCGCCCCCTATCGTTCGGTGAAGCTGTAATAGCCAGCTGCGGCCAACAGCATCATAATAGTTCGAAAAAGAGGGCCTGAGTTGAGGTTTTTTTTTTTTTTAAAGGATTATAATGGAATGGTGCACCCGCCTGCGCTAACGGTTTACGCTGGCGGGGCACCAGTGGAGGATGATAAGATGAGCATGAGACCTTCACAAGCTCTGAATTTGTCACGAAGGGGGAACCGCGTGGAGGGATGGTACATTGTTAGCAATGGGGTTATCAATGCACTAACCCCTTATCGGCCTGAGTTGAGGTTCAAACCTCTGAAGAAGACCTTAGAGTAAACGCGATTCCATCAGGCAGGAGTTGACCTTCACCAGCTCTGTAAATCCGCGGGGTTGGAGTGCCATCTGCACACGCCCCTTATCGTCCGGTGAAGCTGTAAAGCTAGCTGGTCTCCTGGGTACCATGTTTATTATTACTGAACTTCAGGCTTATCTTTTTGTCCTCCACTGGTGAATATCCTGGTTGATTGATCACGATGTGCTAACTGACCTGACCTCATACTCACCTTATCATCCTCCACTGGTGCCCCGCCAGTGTATACCGTTAGCGCAGGCGGGTGCACTATATCATGCAGTAAAAAAAACATATATTATTTGAAACCTTAACATATAAACAGACATAGTCACAGCTACTTCACTATTATATGTTTTTATGAATATGTCGGTATTCTTATTCTTCTCTATTCATTCTTCTTATGATGAGACAGATTTCCAAATGAGCTGTAGATTAAAAAAATATAACTATGACTATTCAAAAGTGCTTAAACTAAGTTATTCACATAAAGGATTTATATTCTATTATATTAAAATTATCACTAAAAACTTCTCCAGGAAGCGGAGAAGAACAAAGTGAGTAAGAAGGTGACACTCCGGGAGTTATTCAGCAACCGTCAGCTCCGGCAGCCGCTCATCATTGCAATGATCGTGATGATTGCTCAGCAGCTGTCAGGAATCAACGTGGTCATATTCTTCTCCACTGATATATTCCTCAACGCAAATATCAGTGACCGGTATTCACAATATGCAACATTAGGTAAGTAATATAAAAATACCTGTTTTTACACTTTAACACGTTACTCGCCATCTTAGTCATATGTATATATATCATATATATTAGTCGACGTTCACGACAACAGATGTGCAAACGAAATTTAATCAACGATAATTACATGTAAGATTGATACGGCTTGTCGAGAAATATATAGATAATTCTCTTAATCATGGTGGTTTTTAAACTTATAATCGGCGCAACGTGTCCCCTCGGATAGATTCCCCGTCTAATTCAAACGGGGATCGATATTACAGTTATCATGCCTGAAATAGCCGAGGTTTATTTTTTTCAGTATTTCTATCAGTTGTCTAATAACCCCTAGTGGTAGGTCCTTTGTAATAGCTCAGACTTTTATAAATCGATTTATCCGTCAGGTGGACTGGGCGTGGCTTATAGTAATGCTTCAGCCGCTCCATAAGTCTTTTCTTTGGTATGAAGTGCAATCTAATATCGATCCTCCGTTTGCCCCCTAACGTCCGGTGAAGCTGTAAAGGCCTAAGTTATTATCATTGATTAAATTTAATATTCTTCCGTTTCATTTCATTCGTTGGTTTGTATTCGCACGCTGCGGCTAATTATTGGTTCACATCGATATTGTCGAGCATTATCGTTAAATAGTCATATAACCCCCAAAAAAAAATCCGCGGCATTTGGTGTTTGAGCACAGGATGTGCTGGTTGTATTTTAAACGCTAAAGTGAATTGTGTTAGAGACATAGTTAATTTAATGTTATATAGTTGTAATTTTATTATAATACATACTTTTACTAGTACACAGAATTGATATAACTGACATTATTTATAAGGGCTACACGCAAGTTTCTTGCTCGTTTTTCTTGTGATGAGACTTCCGAATGAGCGGTAAATTAAAATAATTATAACTATGACTATTCAAAAGTGCTTAAATTAAGTTTATTGGAATAAATGATTTTCTATTATATTCTATTCATCACCAGGTATGGGTGCTATGAATGTTGTGATGACGGTGGTAAGCCTGATACTAGTCGAATGTGCTGGTCGGAAGACGCTACTCCTAACTGGGTTCATCGGCATGTTCATCACCACAGTAGGGCTGTTCATCACCAATCAATACGTGAGTATACATCATTTATTAACTAGATGGCGCTGTGTAAACTGTCCACAGTTAATGTTTTTGATATGACGTATTTACAACAAGCTGTTCCTGCTGTTTCTAGCCTATATATGTATTATTCTGCTGTATAAGCTATATACTGTACGGCAATTAGCTGTAAGTTTAGATTGTATTAGCTGTGTCCGTGGCTTCGCCCGTGTCAAATTTATAGCCTATATATTATTATGATGTATAAGTTATATTACTATATGTTTGGGAAACTACCCTGCTACCAAAATGTTAGGGAAACGTCAGTCACGTACCTTTATGGTTCTGCGGATTTCTTGGGCTTCAGGGTCTCGAAGGTATCTTCGCTAGCTTTCACAGTTTCACAGTAGGTTTAACACAGTTCTAATTTATTTCAATTCACAACACAATGCGCGCGCGCGTCAAGGCCGCTGTACGGTCCGTTTGTTACTAGTTAGGGAGGGGAAGGGAACGCGCGGGAACAGAAAACTAACGGACTCTAATATAATATAATATCTGTGCTTACGATGATACAGGGTAGATTTTGAACACTATAGTTTTATCAAAATCCGTTCAGTACTTTTGCGTGAAAGAGTAACAAACATCCATACATACTCGCAAATTGCGTTTACAGTCATAGTAAGCTTAAGGTTATATTTCAAAGACTATACTATAAATCAATATAGTAATATCTTCTCATCTCGATATCATTCCGAACTGACGGTAGATTTGACATATCATAAGAGTCTGTAATAGACCTACATGAATAAAGATATTTTGAATTTGAATTTGAATAGTTAATATTCTATAAATCAATAATCACAGATTTATTTTTTAATAAATGAATTTATCATGATTATGTTTTGATAACCATATTTTTTTTTTAATTTTTTATACCACTTAGGTGGCAAACACGGCCCATCTGATGGTAAACGGTTACCCTAGCCTATGGACGCCTGAAACACCAGGGGTGTCACGTGCGCGTTGCCGACCCTTAAGGAACCTTAATATATTAATTCTTGAAAACCCCATGCTGTAGTCTCTCGAGAAAACCTCGGCAGGTAGTTCATTCCACAATCTAAGTGTACGCGGTAGGAAGCTCCTCTGAAACCGCACTGTCCGAGACCACTTAGGTTCCAGCGTGTGGGGATGAATTCCCTATCGTCGGCTGGCGGTGCGATGGTAAAAATAATAAATTTAGGAAGATTATTGACAATTTTAACTTTGACTATAGACAAAAGAGTATGTATGTGTGTGTCAAATATAGGGTAGTATAACGTTTTTTTTTAAATTTTAATATTAGCATAAATATATAAATTCATATTACGAGAGATGTTTATAAGGTTATAAGGGCAGAGGTCTGTCCGAAAAAGAGTGTGGATGGACTGTGTGAAAGATGATATATTAAGAAAGGAATATATAACGAGATGTATATAATATCAGAGATAAAAATGGAACAAATAATAATATTAACGACAACAAATAAATGGGATAAGCAAGCAGATGATGTTTTGCATTGACAATATAAATATATAAACTTTATTTATCATTACATAGTATAAAATAAAGTCGCTGTCGCTGTCTGTCCGTCCCTATTGTTGTATGTGTATCGAATCAAACAGCGACTTTTTTTGGATGACGACTGATTTATATATATTAATGTAGACCTACCTTCAAGTTCTACAATAATAGTTATATGTGAATGTACAACATACCCACTACATAAATCTTTAAAACTACGCAACGGATTTTGAAGCGGTCTTTTTTAATAGATAGAGTGATTCAAGAGGAAGGTTTATATATATAATACATGTACACCCGTGCGAAGCCGGGACGAGTAGCTAGTTGCAAATATACTATGCTTATAAAAATTAATCAGACGAAGTCGCGCGTGACAAAATAAGACTATACTGGTTAGATAAGACTATATTGAAAGTATATTGAAGATTGACTTAACGTGTATAATTAGGGTACAGGTAAGGTACATTAAATAGTATAATAAAAAAAATTATTAAAAAAAACAAGATGTACATATACTTACAGGATGACAACAATAAGACTATACTGGTTAGATAAGACTGTATTGAAGGTATATTGAAGATTGGCTTAACGTGTATAATTAAGGTACAGGTAAGGTACATTAAATAGTATAATAAAAAAAAAAACAAGATATACATACCTACAGGATGACAACAATAAGACTATAACCTGGTTACTTGTCACTGGTGAGTATTTAAGGACTAGTCTGTTCAACCGGATCTTAAAATATATAATTAGTGTATTACAAATAACTTACATTAAATAGTATAAAAAAAAAATAAAAAAAAACTGAGGGGTACCTACCTATGTACCTACAGGATGACAATAATAAGACATAGGACAAAAGGAAGTCGACACAAAGGAAGCGACAGATATTACTTTAAACATTAAAAAAAAACACGAATAATTTTATGGTAAATGAAGTTAAACCTCTCTCGAAGTTTCGACTAGGTTGCACTAGCCGTGGTCACGAGCTGACAGAAATATTACAAGTGTACACTTGTAATTAATTATTTATTAATTTTGTGTTAATCCGTTTTAAATAATCACCCACATATTATTTCTGAATAATCTTTAAGATGTTAAAATAATAGTTTCCGATTGAACAAATCGGTATCACAGGTACACCACTACCCCGCTATAGGTGGTAACATTATTTGAAAATTTGACATTTATACCTGTCAATTTACGCTCCCGGAAAAACAGACTATATTTACAGAAAACAGATTAAGTAGGAGCTCCTGATCACATCATAGAATAGAATAGAATAGAAAATCATTTATACAAATAAACTTACATTGAAGCACTTTTGAATAGTCATTACATTTTTTTAATCTACCGCTCATTCGGAAAGCTGTCTCATCACAAGAAGAAGGAGCAAGAAACTTGCGTGTTGCTCTTTTAAATAATTTTACTATTACTTTACATTATTATGTTTAAGTGTGTGAATACAAACTACAAATAGATACAATATATATATATAAATATACACTAATTCAATTAAATACTTAAATAGAAAAAATATTAAATATACAACCAACTGGTTAAACAACTAAATAAGAGGAAATCAGTCGTAGTGATTAAAGCAGAGCAGTCCCTACAAGCAGCACCCGTTCACGAGTATGACGAATGAGCCAGCCATCACTCGCTCGACCATATTTTAGGGAGCCCAATGACACGGCCCACCACGCCGCCACAAGTCTGGACATTTTAGTGAGCATGACTACTCAAAACACTAGACTACGTCAAAGCTACTTACAATTGCTATCTGATAGTTATAGTATTCACATTTTATATAAAAATGTACGCGGCAATCAATACAAAAACCGCTACGCTTTCATATTTCTAAAATATTTAAATCAGGAAAGTAATGAAATAAATAAATTATAACGTTGTATACATAATGCTACAGTGGTGAGGTGATAACTATCACGCTTCTTTTTTGTTTTTCGGACTACTCTAATGCTGTTGGCCGCAGCTGGCCTTTACAGCTTCACCGGACGTTAGGGGGCGAGTGCAGATGACATTCCAAACCCGCGGAAGGACTTATGGAGCGGCTGAAGGCCAACTCCTGTCTGACGGATACGACTTTAGTCTGAGGGCACCACTAGGGGTTCGAACCTCGGCTCAGGCCATCGTAATATCAATCCCCGTTTGAATTGGACGGGGGATCGATCGGAGGGGACCTATCACGTTACAATAGGGGCCGTTCAAGTATTATGTAAGCACTATAGGGGAGCGGGGGGGTCTTTTCTTTGCTTATTTTGGATGACATGGGGGTGGGGGAGTCTGTATGATGATTACGTCATCGGTCGTAATTTAATTTTTTTACACGAATGGCAACCCTCACATTGTCTTTGCTAAAAAAACAATACATTAATTGAGAAATGTTTACGTAAGCATGGGGGGAGGGGGTAAGAGCTTTGCTTACTTTTGCTGACAACGGGGATGGGGGTAAATAATTGTGATAAATCTGCTTACGTAATACTTGAACAGCCCCATATACATTTTATTGTCTATTTACAGAGTTATTCAACCAGTCAGCGCGGCCGGCGGCAACAGCGGTCGCAGTTACCGTCAACTGGACAGCCAATTTTATAGTTGGGCTGAGTTTCTTGCCGTTATCGGTAAGTATCATTTTGTTTTGTCTGGAATGGTGAAGCTTACGGCCCACCTGATGGTAAGTGGTAACGGTTGCCTATATATGTACGGACTTCATCGACAGGGTCTACCGGAAAGAACACTTTTCTTCGCGGGTTCGATTCCTGGCACGGTACAAACATTTGTATTCATGAGTATGACTGTTTGTGTCGATCTGGGTGTTTTCTAAGTATCATATGTATTTACGAAAAAAAAATCTATGTATTTGTATGTTATGTAGTGACCATAACATAAGCTATGCTTAGCTTTGGATTAGATAGCGCGTTAATTGTCCACATATATTATTATTAATTATTAGTGTAATTAAAATTATCTATACATTCTGTTTGTAATATTGAAATAACTGTTTTTTACTACATGCATATGAATATAAATACGGTACATACACCAAAATAACATTGTTAACAATTTATGTCTGTCTGTCTGTCGGTCTGTTTGTTCTGGCTAATCTCTGAAATGGCTGGACCGATTTTGACAGGATTTTTATTGGCAGGTAGCTGATGTAATATGGAGTAACATAGGCCACTTGTATTTTAGAAACATTAAGTTATATTCCACGCGGACGAGGTCGCGGGAACAGCTAGTGGATAAATTAAAAATATATAGTTGTTTAGTACTCAAATTGATTTTATCATTGCAGCTCGCGCTTGGCTCCTACACCTTCATTATATTTGCGGTGCTGCAACTGATCTTCATAGTATTCATAGCCTTCAAGGTTCCAGAAACAAAGAACAAAACTATCGAAGAAATCACCGCTATGTTTAGGCAGCAAATGTGAAAAGTCTGTTTCTTACCGAACTAGTTACATATACAAATAACATACGTAAACAACGAACATACAAAACAGTTATATGTAACTATTTTGTACCCATAACTAGTAACGGGTAAACCGGTACTGTACCGGTTTGTAAACCGATTGATATATATATACAAACATAAAATTGTGCTAATTTCTTTCCCCCTTTTCTAGTTATGGGTACAAAAAAGTTATATGTAATTTTATCGTTTGTAAACTAAAAGAAATACAAACACAAAATTGTACAAATTTGGTTCTCATTGAACCCTTTACTACCATAGTTAAGGGTAGAAAAAAAAAAATTTAACTGTTTTGTTTGTAAACCGATTGATAGAAAAACAAACACATCATTGTGCTAATTTGGTTCTCATTGAACCCTTTACTCTACTTATGGCTATAAAAAAGTTATATGTAACTTTTCTGTACCCATTACTAGTAACGGGTATCTAAACCGATACTGTACCGGTTTGTAAACCAATTGACAGAAAATCAAACACAAAATTATGTTAATTATTAGTTTCTAACTGAACCCTTTACTATTTATGGGTTAAAAAAGTTATATGTAACTTTATTATTTGTAAACTGATAGAAAACAAACAAAAAATTCTAAACTAATTTGATACTGTACTTATTTTGTAAATTAATTGAAGAAAATCAAACACAAAATTATGCTCATTTGTTTCTAACTGATACGTTTTGTATTTATGACATGCAAAAAAGTTATATGTAACTTTATTATTTGTAAACTGATAGAAAACAAACAAAAAATTGTGCTAATTTGTTACGTTACTTATTTTGAAATTAATTTAATATTTATTGTTCAAAATATGGTACATATGTGGTTTTTATATATCTTTACCTTTTTTATTTAGGTTTCAAATATATATTTATTGTTTGTCATTTCTGACATGCAACAGACATAAACAAATGTATTAAAAAAAATTTTGATAGATTTATTATAAAACAAAGTCGCGATAGCGCTTTGTCTGTTCGTCCCAATGTATGCATTAAATCTTTATAAAATATAGCATATGGATTTTGAAGCTTTTTTAATAGATACAATCCGTTAAGTAGTTTTTCGTGAAGAGTAACAAACATCCAGGTTAATATTAAGATTGAACAAAGCTTTTGTTCAACAGCCGAGCTTAATGCCGTATAGCATTCTCTTCTTGTTTTTGGGGATAGATTGATTCCTGATATACAGCTCACGCTAGTCCATCATCAGTCAGTCAGTCTGTCAGGCATCAGTGAACAGTTGGTCGGTCCTGACACAAAAAGTCAGGACTGGCGAATAATACACTGGTGATGGTTTGAATAATTATTATTATTAATAAAACGCAGAGTGATAGAAAATCGCTATGTTAATAGAAAATCATTTATTCAAATAAAATTACATTGAAGCACTTCTGAATAGTCATCACATTTTTTTTTAATCTACCGCTCATTCGGAAAGCTGTCTCATCACAAGAAGAACAAACAAGAATCTCGTGTGTTGCTCTTTTAAATAATTTTATTCTTACTTTACAATTTTAAGTAAGTACAAGTTTAAGTGTGTGAATACAAACTACCAATTAATACTAATTCAATTAAGTAATCAAATAGAAAAAATATTGAATACACAACAACTGGTTAAACAATTAATAAGAGGAAATCAGTCATAGTGATGAGCCAGCCATCACTGCGCTCGACCATATTTTAGGGAGCCCAATGACCCGGCCCACCACGCCGCCACAAGTAATACACAATAATTATAATAATATCCCCAAATAATATACATTTGTTATATTATTACGTAGGCCTTAACACAAATAATTTATGGTAAACTAGCTGACCCAGCAAATGTTTTGCTCTAGAAATTAAAGTATTAATATCGCTATTAAAAATAGGGGCTGGTTCTAAAAGAGTGAAGATTTAAGATTGTATGTATTTTTAATGCAACATTATATAAAAAATAAACAAAAAATTGTACAAAAAATAAAAAAAATTGTTAGGTGTGGACAACCCTTATAACTTAAGGGTATGAAAAATAGATGGTACCCGATTCTCAGACCTACTGAGCATATAAAATATCATAAAAATCGGTGCAGCCGTTTCAGAGGAGTATGGTAACTAACATTGTGACACGAGAATTTTATATATAGTTAATAAAGATATTTACCTCTCTCATTTCCACTAGGTTGAAAATTGCCGGTTAACAATATAAATAATGTATATTAAACACTACAGTCTCACAATAATACTTTTTCTTATATATATTCAACGTTCAGACAGCAATCCGGTATTTTTTTATGAAAGATATCACAACTATTTCAAAACACACAACAATAAACAGCAAATATAAAAAATATTTCTATATTTAGCTACTCTGTACGGCTTATTCACCTACCTATACTATTCAAGATGGCGGAATAAAAAATGTATTATTCTGTAATTTTTCATTAAATATAGAGCCATCGCAGTAAAGACACCAATAATCTAACAAGCATCACATTAAAAACAAATGTTCATGGAATTTGTTTTAATTTTAAGGTAAATCAAGTCTAATTATATACCATACATATAACAAATATTGTAACTACGTAACATTCCAAAATTTCCGAATATTATCACAGCCAAATTGTGCCACTGTACTTAAATCTGTATAAAATAGGGCCTATGCATAAATTATGGTATGAAAAAAGTATAACAAGAAAATGTTACAATTTATTTCTTGTCAGTTCTTCTAATTTCAAAATAACTAGCTGATCTGTACTGATGATAACCAATTACATAACATGTGGCTGGAAGTGTTTTATAATGAAATTATTGTAATTATGACTAAACACACGAATTTCATGATTCACGTTTTTGACTCCTTCGTCCTTGTCACAGGTGGTCACATATGTAACACTCCTACCTGATGTGACGTTACATATTTCATATATAGAAATGATTGAATTAACAAACAGTAATCGAAATTAATTTTATCTTTTCAAATATTTATTAACGCATAAAGTATCCTGATAACGTGATGTCCATGATACTGTATGTGTATAATTTATTTTATTTATTTATTGACATCAAAACGAAGTGAGCCTTACTTGTTAATAGAAATAGAAATAATCTTTATTCAAATAAATTCATTACAAGCACTTTTGAATAGTCATATTTTGATTCTACTACTCATTCACAACACAAAAATACAATATGATCACTTTGAAAAATTACACAAAATACATTAACAATTACAAAAAAATATATATTAAAACAATAATATAAAGACGACTGTTACGGCTTACCATCAGGTAAACCGTCAGCATTTATGTCATTATAATTGCAAGAAAAAACTGAAATGTTATGTCACGAAAATCATGACTCCTCAGACCACTTATCGTATAATGTCACACTTCGCACCACTCTCCTCGCCCTAACATGTGACGTAATTTATGTATGGGCCCTTATAGTACGTAAATTGAAGTGTAATATGCCAATTATGTTATCAATTGCGTATAAGAATTATTGTAAATGTAAATTTAATTTTTAATTTGTGTTTAGTATTACCTAACAAATTAAAAATTAAATTTTCGTCATTTCATATCTCTACCGATGTCGTACAATGTCACACTTCGTCACCACTCTCCCCGCCCTAACATGTGACGTAATTTATGTATGGGCCCTTATGATACGTAAATTGTAGTGTAATATGCCAATTATATTGTGCCTTGTCTATAAGAACGATTGTAAACGTACATTAATTTTTAATATGACAAAAGAACAATGTTCTAATATAAATGATGTTGTATTAGGATTTATGTTCAGTCACTTAAAAGACTTAATCGATGTTTAGATTATAAATTTAGTGGTAAATAAATTATTTTCTATAAATATAAGGTTTTTATATTGCACACCACAACCACACATACGAATTGCAACAAGAAATTGTAAAGACTTTTAAATATAAAATATAATATATGTAGGTATATTGTTTTAAAAAATGTGACCAATTGATTTAAACTTTCCAAATAAGCAATATTTCAAATATTAATAATGTAAATATGTATTTGATAATTATGTACAATATTATTCCGTTGTTTCAAGCAATTTGGACTGATTTTGTAAGATAAATAATGTATTTTTATGTTCCTGCAATACAGTCTACATTCTTGTAAAATTTATTTTTTAGTCTTGCAACAAACAGTAAGGATACGTCTGCACAAACAGGCAGCTTGCTTAGCGCCTAGAGCTTGGTGACTTACAATCTGGCTACTGGTTAGGATACACGGTGGCAGCAGGAGAGGTGGTTTGAGTGGTGGGTTGCTAAGTGCCTTGGTCATTTACTGGTCGGCACGTTGACGAGATGTCACTTTCGAAAATAGCTCTTAAACTGTTGCTTACAGAAAATTCATCTTAAAAATATAGGTAATATTTCCCGGCGTTATCCGTCATGTTGGGTTCATGACATAAATAAGTCATTGTGTTCTTTATACAGAACATTAAACTCCCCATGACTTGAACGTTTAATAATTTTACCGTGAAATATAATAAAATATATATATTTTAAAGATGAATTTATTGTAAGTGAATTGCGTAATTTTGATGTAAAAATTTATGAATATCTGCGTATGACCAGAGAAAGATTTGATCTACTTCTCTATAAGGTTCAAGGAAAATTAACTCATTCAGATACTCATCTTAGAAAAAGCATATCAGCCGAAGAACGAATTTTATGGAGTTCATTAGCTGAATTCCACAGAGGTTCTCTTTTAAAAACTGATGTAATTAATATATCATCCATTGTTTTTTTTAAAATGTGTGCCTCGTGACAAAAACCACATCTTTGTTTACTTGGTTGCAAGCTAAGCGACTAGGTAGGCGCGAAGCAGGCAGGGCGGCCGGCTGCGAAGATTCTAGAATGTTCGTTTTATTAAGCTAGGTACTCGCAAGCTGACTCGCTAGGCTCTTGGCGCTAAGCAAGCCGCCTGCCTGTGCGGACGTAGTCTTAGTCTGTCTGTCTTCAAAATATCTTTATTCATGTAGGTCTATTACAGACTTATGATATGTCAAATCTACCGTCAGTTTGCAATGATTTAGATGAATGAAATGAATACCTAATGAATGATTAGAGCTAAGAAGAACTGACAAGAAACTCAGCCCGTATTCTTTTCAAATAAATGTTGTACATGTTTACAATAATACAGATTCATTTTTAAATTCAAATTTAGGAGAATATAATAACCACCCGCATATACTATAGCAAAAGCAAAAAGTGTAATCAGTGTTCGTAACCTGAACAGACCAGACCCCCAGGGTGCTTCTTGCACCCGTTCACGAGTATGATGGACACACTTTCGAATTTACGTACATACTTACCTTACTTAGGTGGACCTAAGGACAACTTGCCTCTACAAATTCACGGTGTGCATAAAGTGGCCCGCCACATTGATGAACACATAAAATCTGTTAAAAATTACGATCCGCGTAAATTAGCACTGGATTGAAATGCACCAACCAAAGAACATCAGAGCGACATTATATTCAAACTATGACGATTATATGTATATACGAACCAAAAGTTACTTGACATTGAGGGTGATACAGCTGGAGTTACAACGCGAGTTTCAAGGTTGTGGCCCGGGTCCACGCCAACATACTGTCCACCTTCATGATGGAGGACTATTGGCCGAAGTGTGTGGTATATCGTCGCTACCGTGGCAGATTGCCGTCGTCACTGCCGTGACCACACATACAATTTCAATATATTATTTTTATAATATTAACTCATAAGTATGTTAGAAGATATTTGTAATATGGGCCTAGTAGCCTGAAGTAAATAAATAAAAATAAAATATCACAAGAATGGTCCGAAAGACTATTTTATAGAAATATATAAATTTCAATTGGGAAGACGGTTATAGGCTCTCTAATGCCTGGCATTCAGTGATTGGTTCAATTAATCAATAATAAAAATCGCGATCAGACAGTGTATTAAGATGAAAAGTTAGAGTCATCGCGCTCGAAGGAGTATACAGCAGGAGATTAGAAGAAGAGCGAAGATAGGAAACCATTTCTTATTTGTCTTTTATTCCTATACTAGCGGCCCGTCCCGTCCCGGCTTCGCACGGTTGGATATTTTTACATTTTTATCTAATCTTCTAGCAAACCTCTATCTTGGCAAGTAGCTTTGTAAGTTTCTTTAACAATTCCAGAGAAAATATCACTCAGCGCACGCGACGAAAGATATTTTATAGCATTTCTTTTACACATTGAGTTACGTTAATAAAGTTTTAGTAAGGATCCCTAGCATTTTCTAGCAATATATATAGCCTATATGACTCATGGTGAATGTAGCTTTCCAATGGTAAAGGAATTTTTAGAATCGGCGTTTTTGAGTTTATTCATTACCACTGCCGGGCCGGTGATAATTGTTACTACAATTGAATTGTTCTTCAATTCCTTAGTAAGCAGCCTCGTCCCATTGCACAGGTGGGCTTATTTCAAAAGCCTGATTGGAATTCCGATTTTTAACGTCAATTCGTGTTGGGGCAGTCCAGAAGGGTTTAGTGAATTTAAGAATTCCGGTGAATAACTGAACTGCTTCTTCAATATTACCCACGGTGTCGGTTGATTTGTAATTTTTGTTTATTTAATTTCATATTCAGTATCATTCCTAAGGGACACTATTAAAATGACCCCTACCACCACCTAGAAACTAACCAATGAAAGCCTTTTTCGAGCAAATTCTCGTGGTCAAGGTATACAGCATCTATCAAAATTTCTGAATTATGGACCATTTGACCTAAAGACACATCCAGAAAAATATCACATTTTTGTTTAAATTTGGAGTGAGAAAAATTATTTCCTCAAGTCTGAGCAGTTGTTGTGGGAAATCACTATCTGTAATTCTGTGAAGATGAGCTTTTATATTCATCCGTAATTTTAAACTTTCAATTAAAGACCATAAGGGAATCGATTTCAAGCATGCTGTTATGATATCTGCTCGCGTCCCTATGTTAATGAGAGTCTATCCGAAATCTCCAGCAAATACAAAAGTAATCCCGCCCATGAGAGCAGAAGTATTTCTAAGATCTTTTAAGGTACTATGCACGACCTCTATATATGCTCTATGGCTCATGGTGCATTCATCCCACAAAGGCATCTTGTAGTAATTTACCAAGAGGCCCATTTTTGTGGATGGAACATGTAGATTTACGGTTCGGCTCAAGATTTACGGATAGCGGAAGTTTAAAAGTAAAATGAGCAGTTTCCATCATTTAAGAGGTGCAGCAATTCCTGACGAAGTTACTGCTATAGCTATCTTCCTTGATTATCTTAGCAAGTATCCCCTCCCGTACCACAGTGACACCCCTACACATACATACATTTGGTTTATAGCTAACCGAGCGGGGTTTTTTTCTAATATAATACTTACATTTTTAAATACGTGATATTTTTCGAATGGAATGTCGTGAATATGAAGTAATTTATTTTGATAAGGGTTAATAGCAAGATTTTAATAAAGGGCTTATTCTAGCGGCGGAATTTCAATTAAATTTATAAATTAAAAAAACACTTATGTGAAATAACTATAATAGTTGGACACATGCCGTCGCGACACCTTTTGTAGATAATGATGTGTTCTACAAAGTCGTAGTACATCATTTTGTTCTATTATCAATACTTTTTGCAGCGCACGCGGTGTTAGGTATTTTTTATATAATATTTTTACACCTTGGGTTACATTATTAGAGTTTTAGTAAGGTATCCTATTTTTTTTGGAAATATAATATAGCATATGTTACTCAGAGATAGTGTAACTTCCTAATGGTGAAGTATTTTTCAAATTGGTCCAGTAGTTTCAGAGTCTATTCAATACAAACATACACACAAAAATACAAATCTTTCCACTTTATAATATTAGTACCTATAGATAAAAATATTAGTTTTAATATACGAATCTTTATCTAGCATTAATTTCAATTTGCGAGATACTACGTAGGTTTATAGCCTTAGTCTGAATCATACACTAGAAATATGTCAACTTGAGTTAAGTCAAGTTGGGCTGTTTTTGAGTTAAGTCGTTGAATTCTCCCAACTCGAGTTGGGAGAGTCAAACAAAATATAGAGAAACATCGAGAGCGTGACTCGATTATTCGGTTCGAAGTTTTCGGATCATATCATACTATTTTCACTCGTAAGGCCGGGTCTTAATTAATTTTAAATATGTAGGAAAAGAAAGAAAGAAAGAAAGAAAAATATTTTATTCAGTGCAATGTAAACAATGTAAAAGCGTGTTCGTTAATGAAAATTATTAATACAAAATAAACAAGATACTACATACGCTACTATACTGCATAGTATTGTATGTTTATTTTATTAATCAGCGCTCTCTATCGGATTTTAATATGACCGATATTAAACACTTACATACTACTTTACACACTAGCAAGTGACCTAGCGCCACTTGCTACATCATAGAGATTCTCTTTGGTATATAATGTTCCTTGGATTAGCGATGGGTCGTCGACAATTTTCCAGTCGACGCAACGAGACCGTTTACCGTCGACTATAGACTATGTTAATAGTAGTTTAAATATCAGTTTAACTTTCGACTAGTTTACGTCGTCGTCGAAAAGACAATTTCTTCACGTAAACGACTGGTAAACGCAAACGAACGAATATTTTCAGAGATCTGACCAGTGATGGGATGAATGTGTTCCCCTCCGATCGATCGCTCGTCAAATTCAAACGAGGATCGAAGTTACGACGACCAGAGCAGAGACGGCTTTCGGACCCCTAGCAGGAAACATGTGTATATTATTATAAATAGTATTAGTGCTTATCTGTGAGATGCGCGGCGCATTATACAAGGCTTTTTCTTACTTTGTACTAATTTTTCAGTTGACAAGATACTACATACGCTACTATACTACATAATATTGTATGTTTATTTTATTAATCAGCGCTCTCTATCGGTTTTTAGTATGAACACTTGCTAGATCCTTGGATTAGTGATGGGTCGTCGACGATTTACCAGTCGATAAACTATAATAATTTAAATATCAGTCTAATTCGACTAGTTTACGTCGCGTCGTCGTCGAGAAGACAACTTCACGTAGACGAACTAAAATTTTCAGAGATCTGACCAGTGATGGGATGAGTGTGTGCCCCTCCGATCGATCGCCCGTCAAATTCAAACGAGGATCGAAATTACGACGACCTGAGCAGAGACGGCCTTCGAACCCCTAGCAGGAAACATGTGTATTATATTATTATAAATAGTATTAGTGCTTATCTGTGAGTTACGCGCAGCGCATTGTACAAGACTTTTTCTTACTTTGTACTAATTTTTCAGTCGACAACGAACCAAATTAGTTTATATTTTTTGTGGCTAAAAAACAGCAGATAATGAAAAAATTAAGAGAATCTATTTTGTGCAGAATTTTTATTTCAAAATGTTTTCATATTTCTTACCGTCATCGCGTTATTTTGAAAAAAAAAAGTTAATTAATTGTTACTATATTATTTATAGTTAATTGAATCGTTTTCGCACAAAAAACAGTTCAACGATACAGTTCATTTTTTGTATACCCATCTCTATCTGGCAAATTGTATCCAATCGAAAGTGTCCTCATAATCGCAATGTCCTTTTTTACAACTCTAGTAATCAGTGTGCACAGTGTCTTCATTGCAAGGTATTAAGAAATCTTTTTTTTTATTATTAATGGGATTGCGCTTGGTCTTATCTCATCTGTTGGTAAATGATGGCAAGACCTAGGATGTAGTGCGCTTACCAAGAAGATATCTTCACCATAGACTTGAAGAATCCGGGGTTGTATTTCTCCGGGAACACAAAAGCTGGAAGTGTGTTCCACTCTTTGGCAGTGCGTATTAGGAAGGACGATGCGAACTGCTCAGTGCGAATGTGAAGAATTTTAGAAAAAAAAAAAGAAAAAAAAAAAAAAAAAAAAAAAAAAACAAATCAAGTGATTAAGAAGTAATTTTAATTGTGTGATTACAACAATACATTTATTCTCATATCTGGTACTTTATAGTCAATAGCTTTTTGAAACTTGTTGTCTGAAATATAAAAAATAAATTGTTGTCTGTAGTGCGCTTACAGAAATCAGCTATATCTCCTTTTCAAGAATCGAAGGTGGTCGTGCTAGTGACTTGTAGAAAATGATGGAACAGCTTGATCAGCTTGTAGACAATGGATGGGCATCAATAACTTCTCGCAGCGCTGCTCTTCGTGTAAAAGTAAAGATTTCCTATACTATTTTTATGCAAATGTTCGTAGTGCATGTTCGAACCTGTGTAATTTTGACAAGTGTGATCGGCGATCACACTTGTCATAAAAAATTGTTTCGGTTCATTATGTACTAACATTTTATATTATAATTCATTTTATAACAATACATTGATGGGAAAAGGTGGAAATATAAATTCATTTATACAAAAGCTTGGCCGGCGGTATAATATTTTTAACAAAACCGTCATCCCCTATCGAAGTGAATATTCGGCCGCCATTGTATGACGTAATCATTATATTAAAAATAGCACGCAATAAGTATTAATTATGTATATATGCTGAATATAACTAATTGAATGTGCTAGATATTCTTCTAAATCGGCTTATTGAGTAAATAGCCAAAATGCTTGATGGATTTGTGTTGGTATGTTTATTTTATTATAATACAACAATAATAGAAGTGGTTAAGTGAATTAACCTGAATCGCCGAGATGTAAAAAATCATAAAAAGTAACAAAACAATACCAATGTATTGATCATTGTTATTTACGCATGGGCGTGAAGTGCTATTTACAATTTTTTAAATTTTATTTTCGAATACTCTTTGCTGGAGTAATTTTGCTGTGATTAAGTTAATATAAGAATGAAATTAAAAATGGTTAGAATTGACTGTGAACTGAATTTAATAGCGACACACACTGGGATTACAATTGTTTTGAATTTACAATTTTCAAAAAGTTTCTTAAGAATCGACAACGCGCACGTGACGCCCCCTGGTGTTTCAAGCGTCCATAGGCAGTACAGCAGATGAATTGTATGCTTGTTTACCACCATATAATAGATGACTACGAAATCATAACATACAAAATATTAATTAATTATTTATAATGAAGTAATATTTTGATTTACAAACTGTTTACCTGTTCACATTAATGTTGATACTTAGGTATACTAGGCAGGGATTTTCATGCAGGAACCAGATATGAATTTGCATCCATGTTTGAGAACATTAAACCTGTAATACAAATATTTATGATTTATTATAATAAGATTATCAGTAATTCTCTAAGTTGTTCGTCCTATAGAATTATTCTTGTTAATATACATACAAAATAGAATCATACATAAACGCATAATTTATATGTATGACTTTTATGTATTATATTATAACTAGAGGATTCGATTCCGGTCGATTTTTCTAATCCTGGGATTTCGGGATTATCTACAGTTAATCCCGGGATAGCGGGTCAGTCCCGAGATTTTATTGATAATAGAAAGTGGTAACATCAAAGACAGTAGAACATATCAAAATCAACTTTTTATTTTGAATCTTTTTTTAAACATATAGATAGAGTCTTTACAGGCATTTCTGCTCTTCCGTTGCTTTTGACTACAATGACAAATTAAGTACAATCAATATTCTTTCCAATTTATCAACTCAAGTGGCTTCCCATTCGTCTTCGCAGGAATTTTCATATATTATCGCTCCTTTATTCTATTCTTTTCCACCCCTCCACCCCTGAATATATAAAAAAACAAAGTTCCAATTTCATACTAAATCCCCAGGTTCTACTGTCGTAGTACCAGAAGCCTATGTTTGACGATCCCTGCTCACTCCTCCACATATTATTCCAACTCCTTCACTGTCCAAGCCATTCGCCTCTGGAACTCTCTACCACTCTCCATTCGATCAGCTCAAACACAAGCATCATTTAAAAATAGACTAAGATCTCATTATCTCTCTTCATAGTACATGTTTTTATTTGTTTTTTATCATTTCTTCCAATATGTAGTATGTATATATGTAGGTTTATATATTTATCTCTAATGTAAGTATGCATATTTAGTAATATAGTAAATAGTGTCTTATGTGTGCCACCTACCTATTCCATGTACATAAGTCCTGTATTCTAGGTTGTCTGTAAGAGATTGCTATTAGCGATAAGACCGCCTTTTGTAATTATTTTACTATTTACTGTATTTTCTCATTATTTCATCTGTGTACACAATAAAGAGTATTTTTATTATTATTATAGACAGAGAAGTATGTCTAATTATATTCTATAATTTACTAAATTCTCTGTCTATCTATATGTTTAAAAAGCATAATCTTTTTAAATATATAATTTTAAATCTCTAGTTTAATAATAAAAAAAAATCAATATTTTACTTAAAATAAATGTAAAACTTCTGTAAAACGTTAAATGTAAAAATACGTTCAAAAACATATATCAATCCCGAAAATCTCGGGATTCATCCAATTTAATCACGAAAATTTCGGGAATGATATATGCCCGGGATTCCGGGTTCCGGGCTCCAGAGTCTTGGGATCGAATCCTCTAATTGTAACGTAATTTACTAATTATATTCACCCGATCCTGTTCTTTAACATTGGTATTACCCTGTTGAACTGTATCGTTTTTAAATAACCAACTTAAATATAGAATAGAATAGAATAGAAAATCATTTAATCAAATAAACTTCAATGTAAGTTTTCACTTTTGAATAGTCATTACATTTTTTTTAATCTACCTAATTAATATATTATATATATGTTTAACATTGAAGATAATTTAATGAGGTATCTATTATTGGCTTTACTAATCATGAAATACTATATATTGTGTATAAATTGTATGTAAGCTGTTGTGTATAACCTGTTGATTGCCTAAAATAAATTGTATGGTCCATCTGTTTCAAGAATAATTAATGAATTATAATATACTAGCTAGCCACCCCGACTTCGCACGGGTATAAATGTATTGTACATATAAACCTTCCCCTTGAATCACTCTATCTATTAAAAATAACCGCTTCAAAATCCGTTGCGTAATTTTAAAGATTTAAGCATACATAGGGACAGACAGCGACACCGACTATTTTATACTATGTAATGATAATGACAACCAGTGTTGGATATATAATTACCTACACTAAACTCTGCTAAGGCATGTTGTCACAAATTTGTTGTAAGAATTCCTAGTGTACAATTATATTTTCATTAATAGAAATAGAATAGAATAGAAAATTCTTAATTTAAATAAACTTAAATTTAAGCTCTTTTGAATAGTCATACTATTTTTTAATCTACCGTTCAGTTGGAAAGCTGCCTCATCACAAGAGGAACGAGCAAGATACTTGCGTGTTGCTCTTTCAAATAATTGTTGTTACTTTACATTTTTAAGTTGAAGTGTGTAAATACAAACTACCAACTAGCACTAATTCATTAAAGTCAAAATATTTGACTACCATTTTATATTAATTAATTTTATAAGAATACTAACTACTCGCCCCGGATTCGCACGGGTGTACATGTATTATATATATATAAACCTTCCTCTAAAATAAACCGCTTCAAAATCCGTTGCGTAGTTTTAAAGATTTAAGCGTACATAGGGACAGACAGCGACACCGACTATTTTATACTATGTAATGATAATGACAACCAGTGTTGGATATATAATTACCTACACTAAACTCTGCTAAGGCATGTTGTCACAAATTTGCTTTTTGAAGGTGTTGAGGCATCCTACTTCTCGGAGATGAATTAAAGCAATATTGACTGTATCAATATATCAGTTTCAACTATTGCAATATTTAAATTATAATGCGTTAGAAATAGGCGGTAACGGTAGACTCTAGTAGCAATGCTAGTAATTAGAAGTAAGTCGGTACGAGGTACCGTTCCCCGGCCGTGCACGGTCGCTCAGTCACTTCGCCTCCTTTTTTTGAGCAGTGGTCGCGTGAACATACTCCCTGGGTTGAAGTCTTGTATCTTCAATAGAATAGAATACAATAGAATAGAAAATCATTTATTCAAATAAACTTAATTTAAGCATTTTAGTGAGCATGAGTACTCATTCCACTAGACCTCGTCATAGCTACTTATTTATTTATAATAGATAAGTAGATTGATAAAAGAGGTTACAATAGATTGGTAGTGGGCAGCTATTGTTGTACGCCTCTTTTCTTCTTCTTGCCCTTGTCTCAGCCCTTACGACGCCATCCACTACTGGAAAACTTCTGACGACGCGCCAACCAATAACATAAGAGTAGGAAGAGTTTTGTCCCGGACAAGAACCAGTGATCCTTCTACCTGTTGAACCCATTTTGTCTTCTTCTGAAGCATGTTATACATTGTTGCCAGAAATGTTGTTGTATATACCTGGACTTGACAATATCCTAAGGTTAACATTAGCTTCTGTCACCTGTGGATTAGGGATAGACGTGAGAGTTCGAGATTCTTGTCTCAAATAGAGACATAGATATCTTCCATACACCTATATATATATAGACGACCTTGGTGGTATAGCGGTCCAGCACACCGCTTTATATCCGATTGTACGCTCATTTCAATTAAATAATTACGAGTTTATTGGGAGTATTTTTATCAATTACCCTAAAATATCCAATGGTCGCGGGTTCGATTCCTCGCACGGCACAAACATTTGTATTCACGAGTATGATTGTTTGTATCGGTCTGGGTATTTTCTATATATAATATGTATGTATTTACGAAAAAAAAATATCTATGTATTTGTATCAGTTATCTAGTACCCATAACACAAGCTTAAGCTAGCTTAACTTGGGACTAGATGGCGCTGTGTGAATTGTCCTGAGATTATTATTATTATACAACACAGGTCCAGTTCCGGAGATAGTAGAAGTTCCACCGTATACAGTCTAATTGAGTGCTGTCAAACTATATTTAATTTTGTACTTATATATTTTTTTATATCTTATATACAAAATTCTCGCATCACAATGTTAGTTACCATACTCCTCCCAAACTGGCTTGATCGATTTTTATGAAATTTTATATGCATATTCACTAGGTCTGAGAATCGGCTACTATCTATTTTTCATGCCCCTAAGTGATAAGGGTTGTCCACCCCTAATGATAAAAAAAAATATTATGTGTCATTAAAAAATACTAAATATTCACCCTTCTATCACCAACCCCTATTTTTAATAGCGTTATTAATTTATATGGCAAAACAACGTTTGCCGGGACAGCTAGTACTAGATTTTATCTAGCGTATATTTAATGCGTCTATATAATTTATCTTTTAGGCAATATTAAATATTAAATACATATAATAATCAGAATAAAGATTACAACCAACAAGATGCTAAGCAAATGACATCGTCATGGATACACAGACAGTTAGGTCGTATATCTACAACTCATACTCCTAACAAACACATAGGCTATAAGGCTGTCGAAGTGTTAGTACTACCACAGATAACATAATATTACATGTACTACCATTATATTATCTGTGGCACTACAACGGCTGGACTGCGTATATATATGGTATGCCGTAACAATATTGCGTCCTATACAATGAGTATGTAATAATTATGTTCAGCGATAAACGGAATTTTTATATAGTAATGCAGGTTCGAATGTGTCTATCTATATTAATAATATCGTTAAGGGGCGGCTAATCTCTGAAATGGCTGGACCTATTTTGACGAAACTTTTTTTGGCAGCTATTTTTATTTTTAAAAAATCGTTTATTTTAGAAAAATAATGTCGATTTCTACGCGAAGTCGCGGGTACAGCTAGTTATATAATAATAATTCATCTGTCATTTATAATTGACGGCATCGGTGGTCTAGCTGTTTAGCATACCGCCTTACTTCCGATTGTCGCGGGTTCGATTCCTTGCACGACACAAACATGTGACAACAATACCCACAAAGTCAGTTAGTGCCTTGAGAGAGGCATGTTCATCAGATGACTGATGATGTTGATGGTGCAGTGATTATGATGATGAGGACAGTGTAGTGTTAATATATGTTTATGTAAATTTATGTTTTAGAACAAGAACGTAAAATTGGCTTTATGTGTGGTCACCTCGGCATACCTGTCTATACTCCGGGAGGGATTCAGCATCGGCGTGCAAGAATATCTGACAGCTGTAAGTAATAATAATAATAGTAATCTCAGGACAATTCACACAGCGCCCACTAGACCCAAGTTAAGCTAGCTAAAGCTTGTGTTATGGGTACTAGATAATTGATATAAATACATAGATATTTTTTTTCGTAAATACATACATATTATACATAGAAAACATCCAGACCGATACAAACAATCATACTCATGAATATAAAAGTTTGTGCCGTGCGAGGAATCGGATCCGCGACCATCGGTCGTAAAGCGGTGTGCTAGACCGCTAGACCACCGAGGTCGTCAAGTAATGTTTTGTACACACACTCACTTATTTAGAATAGAATAGAATAGAATAATATTTATTACAATCACACATCACATCAGAACAATTTTGATGCTCACATCAGAAGTATATAAATTATTATAACATAAAAATATAAATAACAGAATACAAATCATTACATAAAAAAATAGAACAAGAAAATCAAACAAAAGAAAATAGAAAAATAAACACATGCACCAAAACAATAATAACAAAGCAAATAATGACGACCTCGGTGGTCTAGCGGTCTAACACACCGCTTTACGACCGATGGTCGCGGGTTCGATTCCTCGCATGCCACAAACATTTGTATTCATGAGTATGATTGCTTGTATCGGCCTGGGTATTTTCTATGTATAATATGTATATATTTACAAATATATATATATATCTATGTATATGTATCAGTTATCTACTACCCATAACACAAGCTTTAACTAGCTTAACTTGGGTCTAGATGGCGCTGTGTGAATATTATTATTAAATAAACCAGAGAAAAAAAAATACATATACAAATTTTTATTCATGTAGGTCTATTACAGACTCTTAGATATGATATGTCAAATCTACCGTCAGTTCGGAATGATTTCGAGATAGAAGAACTGACACGAAACTCAGCTCGTATTCTTTTCAAATAAATGTTGTACATGTTTACAATAATACAGATTCATTATAAATTCAAATTTGAGAGAATAGAGTGACCACCAGCACATGTTAACTATAAAATGTACCTTTCTTGGTGCGGATGAAAAACAGTTATTTCAATATTACAAACAGACACTCCAATTTTATATATATGTATAGAGTATAGAGTATACACAAACAGTACGCTAAGATATATTTGACAGCCTCGGAGGTCTAGTGGTGTAGCATACCGCTCTACTATCAGATGGTCGCGGGTTCGAAACTCGTTTCTATCGGTCTGGGTGTTATAAGTATTTATTTACAATAAAATATCCATGTATTTATTTATTTTGTACACATTACATCAATGGTTGTAGACAAGACAATTAACAGCAATCCCTACACTTAGCTCAAGGCTTGTGTCAGGAATCAGAAATCCTTAATTACAGAAACATTAACTTAAAACAGGCTCCAGTTCAACGACGTACAAAGTTAACCAATGTTATATCGGTACTTTACAAAGAATAATAATAACTAAAATAAAGGTAAAGTTTGCGTGTAGGCTGGGTAGGTATATGAGCGTGCGCTTTATCTCAGTTGTTTAGTAACACAAGAACCCATAACACAAGCTCTGCTTAGCTTGAGATTAGATGGTGCTGTGAAAGTGTCTCGAGATAGTATTATTATATAGATACAATGCCACATCCTACTGAAACTTCAGTCAGAATTTCGTAAGGGACGTAGTACAGTGACTGCGCTTAACCATATTATAGGAATAAGTTTTATTATATTAAAACTGTTATGTACTGATTCTTTTCAGAATATGTCTAACAACATTCATAACAATACATTACACAATACAACTCTAACCTTACACGCAAATTTCGACGCTAAATCAAACTATAATGTGGGCAGCATGATTGGTGGACTCCTAGCTGGATACATAACTAACAGGTACATATTTTAAAAAAGTATTTTTTATTATTCTAATACAATTAGCAATAAGTAATAAAAAAAATAATCGTTAAAAATCTTCTTGCAAAACCTATGCTATAGTCTCGTGAGAGAACCTCGGCAGGAAGTCCATTCCACAATCTTCTATATATATATATAACTCAAAGGTGACTGACACAGTCATCTATCAACGCACAACCCAAACCATTGGACGGATCGGGCTGAAATTTGGTATGCAGGTAGATGTTATGACCCCGGCTTCGCACGGGTGGTTATATGTACATGTATTGTACATATAAATCTTCCTCTTGAATCATTCTATCTATTAAAAAAAACCGCTTCAAAATCCGTTGCGTAGTTTTTAATTGTATTTAAATTATTTTTCACAGGATGGGCAGAAAAAAAGGCTTGCTTTGGAGTAACTGTTTTGTAATATTCGGTTTTGTTTTACAAGCATGCTCGAAGATCACCAACTATGCTGTACTGCTAATAATGGAAAGGTAAGTGTCGCTAGCAACAAATAATTATTTTATGTTTGAGTCTATAGTAATGGCAATACATAAGTACCAGAGGTACCATTGATTCTCTTTATGTAAATTTTCAACGATTTTGACCGTCGATTAAATAGAAAAATGACATTATTCGAAATTAGAAGCTAGATTTGCCTCTTTATCATTATCTAAATACTTTTAAAATGATATACAGATTGTCCCAGTACTCAACGTCAAGCCGAAACGGGGTAACGAGATTGATTGTAACCATTATGAGAAAAATCAGAAAAAATATCTATCCCATGCAGTTTGAAAATGGGCATTTAAGAAAAACCAAGAAATTTGGTCAAACTAACCATTTTTCGGTTATTGTGGTTAACTTTTATTATTTTTGTTCATTTAAACTTTAGAACCGTAATCTTAATCTTCTAGAAGCACAGTAAAAAATAATGACACAATTGCCCCAAGTTTTCTCGCGCATTTAATAAGGATTGTAAAATGGTGGAATACTTGTTAGTTTCATACTAAAAAAACCGAGTAAAAAAATAAAAACCTCATGTAACCCGATTTTTGCTAACCCATTTTACTCAGTTTAAATTCTTTTTTATTCGTACAAGGTCTTTGTAGAGAGATGGATAGTGATGTAAATGATGAGAGAGATGGATAGTGGACATGTTTGCCATAAGTGAGCGAAACAGATAGTGACGCCTATTTTACCAAAGTCAACAGAAGTAAGTAAGTAAGTAAGAATTAATAAGTGTTTGGGAAACTACTCTGCTACCAAAATGTTAGGGAATTTACTCTCTGTATATATATAGTAAAAAATGAGTGGAAGCGTCAGTCACGTACCTGTATGGTTCTGCGGATTTCTTGGGCTTCAGGGTCTCGAAGATCGCTAGCTTTCCAGTTTCACAGTAGGTTTCACAGTAGGTTTCACAGTAGGTTTCACAGTTCTAATTTATTTTAATTCACAACACAATGCGCGCGCGTTGTGGTCGCCGTACAGTACTAGGTAAGGGAGGGGAAGTGAAAGCGGGGGAACAGAAAACCAACGGACTCCAATATAATAATCTGTGCTTACGATGATACAGGGTAGATTCTGAACAATAAGATTATGAAAAATGTTGACCTAGTTTAGGTTTATTGCAATAAAATGGTTGAATGAAAAGTTGTATGGAAGAATGGTCATTTTTGAAGCTAGAATCTTCAAAATTATTTGAGGCTGTTGATTAAATTTATTGGTTTAATTAACATAACATAACTTAATTGTACAACTAAGAACCTAAAATTAAAAACCTTAAAAAATATAATATAGTAACTAAAATATATTATCAAAAGTTCCTTTAGGCAAGGTTCCAAAGATATTTGCAGCGTTCCCTCTTTGAATGGCTAGACTAATTAATTGATTGAATAAATATAAATGAGTTGATTAAATATAAATAAATATGATATTCAAAGTTTGTAAAAAAATACCCTTAAGGGGGTAAAAGTTTTTATGTAAATTCGTTATATTTGAAGTTAGAACGATGAAACTTTTTTCTTTGGCTTTTTTGGGTTAGTTTATTAAATACCTTACTAATATCATAAATGTGAAAGTAACTGTTTGTCAGTCTCACTTACACGACAAAACTACTGAACCAATTTACATGAAATTTGGTACACAGTTATTCTAGAACCTGAGAAAGGACATAGACTAGTTTTGAATGGGAAGAAAGGGTTGTAAGGGGCTTGAAAGGGTATGTAAGAATCGTCGGTATCGTAATCGGTAATGGTCACACTTCGTCTTCTTCTTTCGTTTCTTCTTCTTTCGTTTCTTCTTCGTTCGTAATGACAACTAAATACATATATGTATTTAAATATATTTTCCCCAGAACGCCGCGACGACCCTTGCGCATTACGTCGCAACTTATACTTAGGCTTATTATTAAATACGAATAAATATAAAATTATAAGTTTGTAAAAAAATCCTTAACGGGGGTAAAATAATATAGGGATGAAAGGTATTATGTAAATTGGTCATTTTTGGAGGTAGAACGATGAAACTTTTTTCATTGATTTTTTGGGTTACTTAATTAAATATAAATATAGGAAAATGGATTTTAAGGGATTTAATGGAGAGACATGTTTATATAGAAATATTGTCATTTTTAAAGTTAGGAACTTGAAGTTTATAAACCCATTGATTAAATAAACAAAATGGGCTGTAAGGTGATCAAAGAGAGAAGAAAGATTATATGAAAGTGTCGACATTTTGAAAGCTATGTGCTTGAAACTTCTTTATTTTAGGCTTTTGATTGAATTGTATGGAATTCTGTGTCGTCATTTTTTAAGCTAAAACGGTGAAGCTTTTTTATTTGGCTTTTATTGGGTTAGGTCGTTAAATATTTTTTCATTATTTGGTCAAGGTCACTTTACGCGGACGAAGTCGCGGGTACAGCTATAATAATAATCTCAGAAGAATTCACACAGCGTTATCTAGTCCCAAGTTAAGCTAGCTAAAGCGTGTATTATGGGTACTAGATAACTGATAAAAAAACATTTTTTTATTCGTATATACATACATATTATACATAGAAAACACATAGACCAATAAAAACAATCATACTCAAGAATACTAATGATTGTGCGTGCGAGGAATCGAACCCGCGACCATCGGAAGTACGGAGGTGTGCTAAGCCCCTAGACCAATGAGGCCGTCAATTTTGTTAGCAGTTCTTTGTGTTAACACGATCTATCATTTATTATACATTTTTTTTATTTTAAATGCATTATAAATAGATCACAGTTAGAAACACAAACAAAGTTGTTTTTTTACAGAAAGAAAAAAAAATATTTATTTTTAATTACTATAATTTTATGGCTTTTATACAAGAAGAGGTTTCATGTGCTAACTAAATTTGTTACAGATTTTATATGGAATTCTGCTATAGTATATACGACAGAGTGGTAGCTTTATACCTGGCAGAACAATTTACATCCAAATCCATACGTGCAATCGTAAGTATATATTTTTTTTTATGTAATTGAAATAGAATAGAATAGAATAACATTTATTACATCACACATCACAACACAATAAAAACGATGCTGACAGCTGCATATAAATTATTATATAAGATAAACGTAAATAAAAAACAATACATTAAATTAGATATGAAGTCATTATATACAGAAAAAAAAGAACAACAGAATAACAAATAAATAAATAATAATAGTAATAATAATAAACCAATACTAAATAATAATAATAAAGTAAAGATGATGAAAGATGCATTTCACATCCTTCCATCGTCAAAATGATAAATGATAAATCATCTGCCGCTCACCTGATATCATACCTATATGATAAATATTCATAAATTCAAATACAAAAATCATTTATTCATGTAGGTCATTTTGGTTTGTGGCAAGCGTAATATCTCCTATAGAAAGTTTATACTCTATCCTGAGGAGATAAAAACCATCGCTCCTAAGAATATTCTTCAATTCTTGTCCCTGACGGGTTTTTTTTGTGTATGATAATGGAATGGTGCACCCGCCTGCGCTAACGGTTTACGCTGGCGGGGTACCAGTGGAGGATAATAAGATGAGTATGAGGTCAAGTCAGTTAGCCCATCGTGACAAATTCACCAAGAATTCATCACGATAGTTTCCAGGGAGAACCGCGTGGAGGAGGACCTAACATGGTACATTGCTAGCAATGGGAGTTACTAGTTCCCATTACTAACAATCCCCTTCCCCCCGTCCCAGACGGGTGTAGGTAGCGAACTTTGAAAAAGGGCGAGCACAATAGATCTATGTAAGTCGCAGTGCTACAGGTCTAAGTACCTAAAAATAGCCCAAACAAACACAGCATTTTAGAATCCAGAAGCCGAACATGTCAACAGGTTTTTTAAACATGATGTAATAAAAACAGTTAAAAATGTCAGAAAATACCTTGTTAGTTATTTTCAGACCTTAAAATTAAATGTATTAATTTTATATCATTTTAGATGTACCTAACAAAATCTTACTACAGTTTGTTACAAATTGTTTTATTAATCAATTCGATTTTTTTTGTTCTTAAAATAAAACACTAATTGTTAATATACTTTATATTAAAGCTAAAAAAATTACATTACTCCGGACGTTCCCCGGATGACTAAACTAGGAGAAATCCGGGGATACCCGGACGGATGACAACCCTAGCTATGCACCCTCATGTGTTGCCATTCTAAAGGATTAACATATCACGTCTCTTATCCTGTAATTTCACACCCTACAACCGAAACCCATCTTACAAAGCATGCTGCTTGGCGGCTGAAATAGGCGTGACTTGACAATAATGGAGTAGCATATGCTGGTGGTCACCACATTATCCGATTTAAAAATGAATCTGTATTTTTGTAATCACGTACAAGCCCATTTTAAAAAGATAAGTGCCTAGTTTCATGTCCCTTCTCCTTAACTCGAAAGCACTCTGAACTGACGATAGATTTGACATATCATAAGAGTCTGTAATAGAACTACTTGAATGAAGATATTTTCATTTGTTTTTGATAGACTTGACACCGGTGAAAACTTGTTGTGGCTTCGCCAATGGGCTAAGTAACCTGACTTCAAGCTCATCCTCCACTGGTGCCTCGCCTGCGTATATCGTTAGCGCAGGCAGGTGCACCATTACATTATCATCCATAGAAAAGTCTTAAACTTTTCTTTACTTACCTCTGCTTAGCTTAGGACTAAATATCGCAATGGACTAAATTATTATTATTGTTTTACTAATACATATTATAAACGCGGAGTTTGTGAGTGTGGATGAACGAATGCTTGTTACTCTTTCACACAAAAATTGCTGAATTTTCTTTATATTAAAAAATTGAACGCGTTTGACCGCAATCTCACCTGATGTTTGGATTGGATTTTAATGAATAATAATGATGATGTGGTTGATTGCCGCATGCATCCTGTTAAAGTGCGAATACTGTAACTCAAATAATGCCTATTCACTCTTGACTTGAAAGACCCAATGTTGTAAGAGGCAGGAAAAATAGACGCTCTTATCACTACGACTGATTTAATCTTATTGCATGATTATATTTGAGTTCCACGTTTCGACTTGTAAATGTAAACTTAGAAGGATTATTTAAAAGAGCAACATAAAAGTTTCTTCTTCGTTCTTATTGTGATGAGACAAAACGAGTGGTAGATAAAAAACAAATTGTTGTGTGTGTTTGAATAAATGATTTTCTATTTAATGATAATGTTATTTGTAAATGTTTACAATAAAATACACTGTTGTTTATAATAATCACTTCTTTAATACTTTACTTATATATTCTGATACAATTTACTTTGTAACTTAATTCCTAGACATTTTAACTCTTTAACAGCAAAAATACAGAGATCCATTTACTTATGCCATTTTTAACCAAAGACAATAATCATAAAGCTTACATCTATATTTTACAGAGACAATACCATAAATAAGAAAATTATAAAGGTTGAGTCTGTTCTTTACCTCAACAAATGAAACAACAATAATATAGCTCAGAGCATCAGAATAACACATAGGCTATGAATTTCACGAGGCTTTTCAGCCGGTTTCCCGGCTAGTTTTTAGTGTTAGTTATTTTTATTAAGTGAACTTGAAATCTTCCAGATCGGATTATTTTACCGACATTTAATCACCATCCTTCTGTCGCGACACCTGCGTTGGGAGTCAATTTTTGGTACACCAAATTACTGGCCATATCTACTGATGCTGATGATAATTCTATCTGCTATACAATGGGTATCAGGAGAGGACAAAAACGAAGTAAGTAGTAAGTCTTTTATTTGTAGGGAGTAGGTAGGTCAAGTAGGGAGGGTGGACCACCATGCTTGCATGCTTTCACCATGCACCCTGGCCCTTCCGATGGGAGAATCCATTGGGAATTTAAACGGGGATCGAAAAATATTTACTTCAATTACAAAAATCTTAAACGTAGCAGATAAATACAGTAGTATATGTAAATAAATGCAATAATATATATATTAAACAGCATATATATATAAATGCAGTAAAAACAAGGTTTGCCGGGTCAGCAACTCTAAGATATTTTATTTTTATTTACTTAAAACAGAAAACATGTGTACTAATTTACTGATGAAACAATGATATTCACAGAAGTAAATTTACAAAAACAAAGAAAATTTAACTTATAAACAAAAAGAAAGAAACCATATAAAATTCTTGTTTCACTTCTTAGAAATGGCTTAACCGATTTTGATTGAATTTTACATATATGTATACTTAGTCTTAGAATAGGTTGTTACCTATTTATCATATCTGTAGATAATTAGGGTGGCTCACCCCAGAATGCTTTTTTGTTATTTTTTTATAATTTGCCATTAAAAAATACAGACAACCCAAAAATTTCGCTCTTTTACCATCAACCCCTGCGATATTCATTTATATTGTAAAACAACACTTGCTGCGAGCCAGTTAATATGTAAAATCAATAACAATGAAAATGTCATAAAAAAAATTCTAGGAAGCGGAGAAGAATGTAACTCTCTGGACACTGCTCAGCAACCATCCTCTTCGGCAGCACCTTATCATCCCCATGATGGTAATAATAGCACTGGAGCCGCTAGAAATCTGCAGCAAAAAAATCTTCATCACTGATATCGATGGAGAAGAATCTCTCGCAAATGTCCAACAATATATAAGATATTTAAATGTTGGTAAGTGATAATAGAAGATACATAGAATATAATAAAAATAAAAAAGATCAAAATATCTTTATTAATTTAGGTCTATTGGTCTATTAGTACTCTCCTTATCAACATCATCATCTGCTTCTTCCTTATCCCATTTATTTGTGGTCGTCGTAATATGTTTTTCTCTTTCATTCATCCCTGTTCGCAGTCATCTCGTTATGTTATCAAATCGCTCCTATTGCCAACTTTCTATGTTATTATTTATTTCTCTTACCATATCATCTTTCACACAGTCCATCCATCTCTTTTTCGGCCTTCCTCTGCCATATGTAACAGCTTCCTTAGGATATGATCTTCATTCCTACGCATTACAGATCCATACCACGATAGTCGATTACTCTTCATCCTCTCCGACACCGGCGCCACTTTCATACTTCCTCTAATGTATTCAATCTTTATCTTATCCATTCTTGTCACACCACACATCCACCTCAACATTCGCATTTCAGTTGCATGCAGTCGTCTTTCATTCGTCGCTTTTACGGGCCAGCACTCTGATCCATACAAGACAGCAGGTCGGATCATGATCTTAAAAATTCGTCCTGGAAGCCGTCGTGATAAATTCCTAGTGAATTTGTCACGATGGGCTAACTGATCTGACTTCGTGTTCATCTTATCATCCTCCACTGGTGTCCCGCCAGCTTGAACCGTTAGCGCAGGCAAGAGCACCATTTCATTATCATACACAAAAAATAAAATAAAAATAATAATCTTAGGACAATTCACACAGTGATAACTAATTGAAATACAGAGATATATATATATTTTTTGTAAATACATATGTACATATTATACATAGAAAACACCCAGACCGATACAAACAATCATACTCATGAACACAAATGTTTGTACCGTGCGAGGAATCGAACCTGCGACCTATAGCTATATTATATATGTGTATATACATATATTATATTAATAAAATATCTTCCTACATAACAGTGATGACGCTGGTATCTGGGTTATTAGTGGAAAAATTCGGTCGGAAGACACTGTTGCTGACTGGGTTCATCGGCATGTTCATCACCACAGTAGGACTGTTCATCACCAATCAATACGTAAGTATACATCATTTGTTTACTAGATGGCGTTTGTAAATACATACATAACACCTAGACCGATAAAAACAATCGTACTAAGGAATAAAAATGTATGTACCGTACGATCCGATCGATCCCCGTCCAATTCAAACGGGGATCGAAATTCGGCCTGTGCTGAGGTTCGAACCCTTAGCAGTGCCCTCAGACTAAAGTCGTAACCGTCAGGCGGTAGTTGGCCTTCAGCCGCTCCATAAGTCCTTCCTTTGGTTTGGAGTGCCATCTGCACTCGCCCTCTATCGTCCAGTGAAGCTGTAAGGCCAGCTGCGGCTAACAGCATTAGAGTAGTCCGAAAAAGAAACTGTTCGAGAAATCCCACGACTATCGGAAGTAAAGCGGTGTGCTCAACCGCTAGACCACCGAGGCCGTCTATTGTCAAAGAGTATTAAGGTTATCAAAGACTATACTTCTATAATATCAGATTTATATTGTAATAAATTAATTTATTATAGTCATGTTTCAAATTCAGTAAGACTATGTAATATTATATTATCTGTGGTGTGGTAAGACTATAGACAAATAATTTAAAGTTTTTGGACATTAATCTTTTGTCAACTTGACCACAGACTAATAATAAGCAAAAGAGTATAAATGCGTGTGTGTGTCAAATACATGGTACACACTACCAACGATAATATTATATATAGATATATGTATTCTGTGTCTGTCTGAGCGTCTGTTTGTAATATTGAAATAACAGTTTTTACTACATCCATATGAATATACACGGTACATACACCAAAATAACACATTTACAATTTTTGTCTGTTTGTTCTGGCTAATCTCTAAAATAGCTGCCGTTCCCGCGACATCGCCCGCATGGATGGCGTGGAATTTAATATTATTTTTCTAAAATAAATGTAGCCTAAGTTACTCATTATTACATATATGCTAGCTGCCAATAAAAGTCTGTCAAAATCGGTCCAGCCATTTCAGAGATTAGCCGGAACAAACAGACAAAAATTGTAAATGTATTATTTTGGTGTATGTACCGTATTTATATTCTTATGCATGTAGTTAAAACGGTTATTTCAATATTACAAACAGACACTATAATTTTATTTATATGTATAGATAATATGTCCGTTGTCTCACTTGTAGACGCATGTCCCTTCCTTGCACTTCGCTCTGGTGATCCTGTTCATGATGAGCTCCGCAATAGCTCCCTGCACTATAATCTGGTCCCTCTTCCGCGGTGAGTATTATATTATACTAGGGACCCGCCCCGGCTTCGCACCGGTGCAATGCTGATACTAAAATATAAATATAGCTACATACTACAGAGGAGGGCGGGGGGCGGCTAGCCATGTATCATATCAGGTTGGCCTCCACGAGGTTCCCCCTGGAAACAATCATGTTAAATTTCTGGTGAATTTGCCAAGATGGGGCAACTGACTTGATCTCACGCACATCTTATCATCCTCCACTTTATCATCCATAAGATACCTACTACAGAATGTCCTTATAAACAACGATTACAGCAAATGTTCTCCATGAATAAATGATTTTTGATTTGATTTGATTGTCTATTTCCATCAAATTATTCATACAAAATACTTAACGTTCATAAGAGACTAAAATGTTGTCCATGAATAGATGATTTTTGTTTTGATCTGATTTAATTGTCTATTTACAAACGTTCATAAGCGACTAAAATGTTCTAAATGAATAAATGATTTGATTTGATTGTCTATTTACAGAGTTATTCAAGAAATTGACGTGTACGGAGGCGGTAACTGTCAATATAGCTCTCTTCCAGTTATCCAGCTTGAGTTTGTTGCTATTACCGGTAAGTACATTTAGTTTTAGTTATTTTAAACGTGATTCCAAAATGTATATACAAAATAATATATTTCTGTAACTATATCAGTTGCCTAGTATTCATAACACAAGCTCTGCTTATCTTGATACTAGTAAGCGGTGTGAATTCTGAAACTACTCTAACGCTGTTGGCCGCTAGGCCTTCAGCTAATGATAGAGTTTTTTTTGTGGATAAGGAAATGGTGTATCCGCCTGCGCTAACGGTTTACGCTGGCGGGACACTAGTGGAGGATGATAAGATGAACATGAGGTCAGATCAGTTAGCACATCGTGACAAATTCAATAGGAATTTATCACGATGGTTTCCAGAAGGAACCGCGTGGAGGTCGACCTAACATGGTACTATATACTGCCAACTACAGAAGGCTGTAGTTCTAAACACATGCCGCATTGTTAGAAAGTTTCTACAGACAGATTAGACCTACATTTGTATTATGGTATATCCATCTAAGATAGAACATTGTTATGTACCTGGCTTAGGCCCGTACATACCAAGATTACTGGCGAAAGTTGAGAAAAAATAATATAAAAAAAAAAAAATAATCATTTATTAAACATCATATTAAAAAGTACAAATATATAAAACTTAAAAATTAATATTTCACTATGAGCTGAAAGGGCCTCCACTCAGCTGGTGCCGCAGTGGTCCACTGCAGCGCTGATTTTCAGTGGAGCCACTCGAAAGAAAGAAATAGCATTTATGATGATTATTTTATTGACTTTAAATATATAAAATGTAGAGTGAAAATTACTAGTTCCCATTACTAACAATCCCACCACCCCGAACGATAGGGTTTCTACTGTCTGATTAGAAAGTCTCTGGAAGGCGGTGTTTGGAGTTACAATTTAAGGGGGTGAAGGTTGAGATCTCGAACCTCTATACCCTGGCATCAATTCCGGGGGTAACAACCCCTGGGTTTGAAACTTATTAATACCGTATTTGGGGACTATAGTCAGTTTTTTAATGCCGGAAAAAAATTTGACATTTGTTAAATAAAAAAAAATAACGTTTTGTAAGTTGTCATATTTCATAAAACATACAGTTATTTAAAATATTTTCTTTAGTTTGAATGAAAAAAAATATCGTACCTATTGTAATACTTTTTGTACATTTATGATCACGGCCTCGATCAAGCACGCCGCCTTACCTTCGATGGTCGCGGGTTCGATTCCCCGCACGGCACAAACATTTGTATTCATGAGCATGATTGTTTGTAGCGGTCTGCAAGTTTTCTATGTATGTATTTAAGAAACAAAAATATCTATGTATTTGTATCAGTTATCACTCACCCATTCCGAGGCCCCGGGCGACTGGACTTTACGAGGCCCCGGGCGGAAGGTCTTTGCGAGGCCCCGAACGGTAGGTCTTTGCGAGGCCCCGGACGATAGGTCTTTGCGAGGCCCCGGACGATAGGTCTTTGCGAGGCCCCGGGCTGAAGGTCCTTGCGAGGCCCCGGGCGGAAGGTGTTTGCGGCCCTTTGTCCTTCGTGAAGGTGTGTGACACGACATCAGTGATTTTGTTTAACATATCAATACTAATACCATAATACCATAAATATCAAATTAATGTAAATTTTCCGTTGATTCAGTAAAACTTGATGTCTTGTCTGCCTTATTTTGCATTGTTTTATTGTGTTTTTTTTGTTTGTACTTGTTATTTCTGGTAAATTTGTTTTTTGTGATTAAATGCCTACATCTGGAAGTTTCCGCAACTCGCCACTCGTCGTTTAAAATTTGCTTTGGTTATTTGTTACGCGAGGCCCCTGCAAGCGCGAGGCCTCGGGCGATTGCCTCGTTCGCCACACTAAGGCCGCCACTGCTAGTAGTTAGTACCAATAACACAAACTTTAGCTAGCTTAACTTGAGTTTATATGGCGCTGTTTGAATTGTCCTTATATTATTATTTAGTAAAAATTAGTAAATGTACAAAAACTACAAAAAAAAAATGTTGTGTTATATTATACGACAGTAATAGAAACACTAGTATACGTACGTATTATTTTAAAAAATATTGTTGAAAATTCGTATAAATTTTAAAAGTTAATATACTAAAGTAAAAACTTTTACATACGATTAAACAATCGGAATCGCAGTTACAGCACTATCCCGCTACAGATTATCGCTACGTAACGTCAAAATGTCATTATTTGAAAATTTGACATTTACACCTGTCATTGTAGTATCCGAGATTAAAAAACCGACTATAATTATTTTATTTTATTGTTTTTCGTTTTGTATTTTTGACTGATTTTATAATTTATTTGTGTTATTGCTTTTTTTTCTTTTGTTGCTTAGAAAAATGTTTCTATGCATTTATATCAGTTGTCTAGTACCCATAACATAAGGGACAAGCTGACACTGTATGAATTGTGTAGTGATATTATTATTACTCTGATCAACACAACTCTTGTATTCTTCATTTTTTTTTTGTGATATTTTTGTGGTTCTGAGTTCTGAAGAAAACACTGGGAGATTGCTAATATCTTAAATTTTTGATATACACAGTTGTATCATTTTGACGAATATAGAAAATTAGACATTACGTTAACAATATTTCTATTGACCACTTGTCAATATCACTAGGTACAAATATAGCAAAAACAATCGGGATTATACCATGTGCGCTGTGGCATGGTGCGGGTGACAGTTTCAGTATCATTAAAAAAAAAATAATAATAATGTCAGTGAAACAAATAAAATAAAAATAAAAAAAGTTTCAGTATCATTTCATTCCTATTTCTACTTTACTAATAAAGACAACTCTCACACGCACCATGCTACAGCGCACATGGTATAATTACAACATCTTGTTGATGAAGCCATACAGAGAACAACAACATAATATATTTCAGTGTTCAAATCTAAGTTGAACATAGTAAACGAGGGAACAAAAGCTGTGAGAGAAAAATGATTGCTATATTCAAACAATACGCGTTAATTCGGGCACAGATGACCTAATAATTCGGGGTAGAAACGGAAATAAAATGGAAATAAACAAATAGTTGACCAGTGTTATTAGTGTTGCCAAATTATAAATAATTTAAAAAATATATCTTTGTTTTAACCTGTTTTTTTTATATAATTGCAGCAAGCGTTTGGAGGCATCCTCATAATATTTGCGGTGCTACTGATCTTCATGCAATTCATAGCGTTTAAACTTCCGGAACCAAAGAACAATACTATAGACAAAATCACCACCATGTTCCTACAGCTAATACCATAACATATATATTTATATAATTAATCCTTTTTTATATGTAAATTTTAAATATCTTTTATTTGTTTTATTAAAAAATATATAATTATTCAAACTTACAATGAACTTATTAGTTTTAGGCTAAAATTATATAATTATTAACCACTTAATAAATATAAAAACAACTGTTTGGACTCCAGTTAAGTTGTAACATCACGTTTCGTTTGACTCTAAAAAGTTGCCGCGATTTACTATTTATAACTTAGTATTTCAGCTGTACGACTTTCGTAATATATTAAATCATTAATAACTGTATTAACTTAAATATACCTAGCAATTGTTAAATGTAAAATTAGTAACTGTCACACGCATCATTTTTTAAGAAGAGTATATTAAGGTTTCTTAAGGGGCGGCAACGCGCTTGTGACACCCCTGGTGTTACAGGAGTCCATAGTCTACGGTGACCGTTTACCATCAGATGAGCCGTTGACAATATCGCGCATTCAACCGGGCGCCTGCGCGCGCTCGGGCGTACCACACCGCCGCCCCCGGGCGCCCCTCCAATCGATCCCCCGTACAATTCAAACGGGGATCGAAATTACGACGGCCTGAGCCGAGGTTCGAATCCCTAGTGGGTTCGAAGCCCTCAGACTAAAGTCGTATCCGTCAGGCAGGAGTTGGCCTTCAGCCGCTCCATAAGTCCTTCCGCGGGTTTGGAGTGCCATCTGCACTCGCCCCCTATCGTCCGGTGAAGCTGTAAAGGCCAGCTGCGGCCAACAACATTAGAGTAGTCCGAAAAAAAAAAAGATGAGCCGTATGCTTGTTTGCCACCTACGTGGTATAAAAAAAAGCATGCTACATCACACAGTAATGTAACTACTTAACAAATATAAAAACAACTGTTTGGATCTCGGACCCCTTTGCCCCGGCATCAATTCCGGGGGTAACAATCCCTGGGTAGCATTTAAAACTCTTAGTAATGCCGTATTTGGGGACTATACTCAGTTTTCTAATGCCGGAAACAAATTTGATATTTGTTAAATTAAAAAAAAATTACGTTTTGTAAGTTGTCATATTTCATAAAACATACAGTTATTTAAATTATTTAGCTTTAGTTTAAATGAAAAAAAAAATATCGATTTATAATACTTTTTGTACATTTACTATGACGGTCGCGAGTTCGATTCCTCGCGCGGCACAAACATTTGTATTCATTTGCATGATTGTTTGTATCGGTCTCGGTGTTTTCTATGTATAATCCTTATCCTTACTAATATTATAATCGCGAAAGTAACTCTGTCCGTCTGTCTCGCTTTCACGAAATTTGGTACACAGATAGTCTAGACCCTGAGAAAGGATTTTATAATGCGAAAAAGGGTTGTAAGGGGTTGAAATTGGGGATGAAAGATTGTATGAAATAATCGTCATTTTAGAAGCTAAAAGCTTGAAACTTATAAAAAGTAATCTATGTTCTTTCTCAGGGTCTAGGCTATCTGTGTACCAAATTTCATTTAAATCGGTTCAGTAGGTTTGACGTGAAAGCGAGACAGACAGACAGAGTTACTTTCGCGTTTATAATATTATTATAACAAATAATAATGTAATGAAAATAATAAATAATAGTAAAATTGTAAAAGTAATTATAGTAAATAGTAAAATATAGTAAATAGTAAGGAGTAAGGATTAAACTTTTCAAGATGGCGGAATATAAATGTATTATTCTATATTTTTTTCGTTAATTTGTTTATTTTAAAGATACCTGTAATTTACTAAGCATCACATCTAAAACAAATTATCATCGAACATGTTTTGTTTTTGAGGTAAATCAAGTCTTAATAATAGACCATATAACAAGATCTGTAACTACATAACATTGCAAAATAATCGTTATTATCACCGCCGAATTGTACTTAGAACTGTATCTAAACACTATTATTATATTATTATACATATTGTTTTATTTACAAGTGTAACAAATCTCGTTACACAATAACACGTCAATAGTAATTAATATTTTTAAGATAATTATGTCACAATTACAATTTTAAATATTTATAATAATATATAACATAGTAATAAAAGTCACTTAATTGAAAATGTCATAATTTTACATTGGAACTCAGATATTCCGTCACATTGTAAAAAGGATGTTGCTCGAAATATGATTTTATCTTGTTCTTCAATTCTGTTGATGTCAATTCCATTGTTTTATTTAATAGTTTATTGTACATTTTTGCCATACATAAATTATTATAGAATAAATTAACAATCAAATCATCCATTTTTGTTTCTTGTCCATTCTTATAGCTAGCTAGCTAGATTAGGATAGCGATAAAAAATTATGACATCCTCGAGTGACCGAAAGTGTACTCTATAATTAAATACTTTTAACAATTAACTAAGACTAAACACACGAATTTCATGACATTTGACTTCTCCGGTTTTGTCACAGTTGGTCATATGTGACACCTCTCTATTAGTATGCCACTAATTTTACATAAAGAATTTATTAAATTTTGTTGTTTATTAAATGTTTAAAAATACCAATACTCGAAGTGCTGTCATGGGCGTCACATGATAACGTGATGTCCGTAGTCCTGTCAATGTTTTTTTAGGTAAATCTAGTGTAATTATAGACCATATTATATAACAAGAATTGTAAGTACATAACATTACAAAATGGTAATTTATCACCACCAAATTGTGTCACTGTACTTAAAGCTGTATCTAAATGGGAACCATGCGTAAAATATAATATTATATAAAAAATAACAATTAAAATCCATTTTAGTACAATAAGTATCCATTTTAGTACAATAAGTATCCATTTTAGTACAATTAGTATCCATTTTAGTATAATTAGTATCCATTTTAGTACAATTAAATGATTCGTTTTAGTTTCATGCCAGTTCTTCTCGGCTGAAATATTGACTGTTACCACTTACCGTCTAGTGCCCGTCAGCTTGTTTGCCATTCTATTTACAAAAAAAGTATATTTAACATGTCACCAAATTCATATATATATACCAATATATCGCACAATGTCACACTTTGTCACCACTCATCCGCCCTAACGTGTGACGTAATTTATGGATGGGCCATTTAATATAATGTTTTAATGTAAATTATAGTGTAATATGCCAATTATGTTGTCAACTGCGTATAAAAATTATTGTAATTGTAAATTTAATTTTTAATTTGTGTTTAGTATTACCTAACCACAAATTAAAAATTAAATTTTCGTCATTTCATATCTCCACTGATGTCGTACAATGTCACACTTTGTCACCACTCTCTCTGCCTTGTAACATGTAACGTAATTTATGTATGGGGCCTTATAGTACGTAACTTATAGTGTAATGTCAATTAAGTTGCCTATTAATTGCCTATTGAGTATTATAGTAATAGTAAATTTAAAATTGCATGCTGAAAATCTAGCAATATATATTGGTTGTTCTTTTCAAATAAATATTGTAGGTATATATAATATTAATAAGAATAAGAGCTGAATTTCTTTTCAGTACTCAGCTCGAAATCACTCCGAACTGACTTTTTATAAATATAAGGTTTTTATATATTGGCTGTGATGTTGAACGCAGTGATGGCTGGCTCATCCGTCATACTCGTGAACGAGTGCTGCCTGTAGGGACTGGTCTGCTCTTATCACTACGACTGATTTATTCTTATTGTGTTCTTATATTTGACCCTAATAAAGTAGAGCTGGTTGGTAGTTTGTATTCACACTTTTCGACTTGTAAATGTAAACTTATATTAACTTAAATTTAAAGATATTTAAAAGAGCAACACACAAGTTTCTTGCTCGTTCCTCATGTGATGAGACAGCTTTCCAAATAAATGAGCGGTAGATTAAAAAAAATTATGACTATTTATACAAAAGTGTTTAAATTAAGTTTATTTGAATAAATGTTTGTTCCTATTTCTATTTGAAAAATAAAATAAAATATATATTAATTAAATAAAAAACTTTGCAAATAAGCAATATTTCAAATAAGACAGTCCTCGATTTACGTCGTTTCAAGTTACGTCTAACAATGTTTTGACACTACTCCTCAAACATACATCAATTGTTTTGATTTCCGGCATAAGAGGATTCACTTATCGCGAGGTCAATAGAATAGAATAGAAAATCATTTATTCAAATAAACTTACATTGAAGCACTTTTGAATAGTCATTACATTTTTTAATCTACCGCTCGTTCGGAAAGCTGTCTCATCACAAGAAGAACGAGCAATGTCCGTGGGGCCAGCGGGGCGCGGTGTCCGCGAGCAGGAATCACCCTGCATATGCTTGTTTAGTTAGTTCTTTCGATTAGTTTGGATCCTAACACATGAGTCGCATATTTCGGGAACCTAACATGCCGTAAATACGAGGACTGTGTGTATAGTATAATAATAAATATGTATATATCCAAATGTATTTAATATTTTTCAATTGTTTCAAGAGACTTCAACTGCTTTTATAAGATAAAATGTCCGTTTTTATTCTCATAATGCAATCTACATTCCTATAAAATTTCTTTATTGTTCAGTTTCGCAAACAGATAGACATACTTTCGAATTAATAGTAATAATGTTGTAATACTAGTTTTACAAAATTAATAATATTCTAATTGTATAGATGGAAACTCTCTCTGTTCATCCTTTTTGTGACATACCATCATACATTTCAATGTTATTGCCAGAATAAATAAGTTTCGAATTTATAATATTAGTGTTGGTAACACTACAGGTATATTAAATTTAGCAGTAATGTAAAGACATACACACTTTCGAATTTATAGTAATAATGTTATAATAATACAGTTTTATAAAATTAATCAGTATTATAATTGTACACATGGCAACTCTCTCTGTTCATCCTTCTTGTGACATACATATCATTATAAATTCCATAGTTAATAATATGTTAAATAAACTGAAAATGTTAAAATAAATATGAAGTTTTGTTAACAAGTTTTTTATTGGACCCCCACCACCCACTCAGAGAAATACAGCCTCCACTAACAGCTACAGAAAATAAAATCTCTCATAAATGGTCCTTCGAGCCGGATATGAACCAGTGACTTATTAATATTAGAGCAATGTTATTATATTATTATATTTATTATACAGCGTGGCAAATCGAGAGTTATAACCTGTTTGGTTCGAGAGGATTGTTTTAATGGGTGATAATTTAACTGTACTCACTTGAGTACCAGTGGAGGATGATAAGATAAGCATAAGGTTAAGTAAGTTTTAACGACCTCGGTGCTCTAGTGGTTTAATACACTGCCTTTCCTCCGATGGTCGCGGGTTCGATTCCTCGCACGGCACAAACATTTGTTCATGAGTATGATTGTTTGCGTCGGTCTGGGTGCTTTCTATGTATAATATGTCTGTATTTAGGAAAAAAATTGTATCAGTTATCTAATACCTATAACACAAGCTTTAGCTAGATTAACTTGGGTCTAGATGGCGCTGTGTGAATATCCTGAGATTATTATTATTATATTATTATTACTAGGTTGTGCCCCCGGCTTCGCTCGCGTAATTTATCCCCTTAGGGGTGGATTTTATCAAAATCCTTTCTTAGGGGATGCCTACGTCATAGTAGCTAATAAATAGCTAATAAATAAATAGTCATAGTAACCGATCGGGCTGAGACTTTGCATGCATTAGCATGCAAAGTCTCAGCCCGATCGGTTTAAAATTGACAAAGTTTCATACAAACTTTCATCCCCTATTTTATCTCCCTGGGGGTATAATTAATCAAAAACCTTTCTTAGATGGATGCCTACGTCATAACATCTACATGCATGCCAAATTTCAGCCCGATCCGTCAAGTGGTTAAGGCTGTGCGTATTTCGGCTGTCACATGATAACGTGATGTTCGTGCTGTTCATATATGTAGTCGGCGGTTACCGTTTACCATCAGGCCGTCAGTTTGTTGACCATTCTCATTGTAAAGTAACGCCACTGTTGATATAATGAAAACAAAACGTTTCAATATATATTCGAGATGCCACGTGTGTGGATACATTGGCACCAAGTTGTGTCTGGATCGTCCTCTCGTCCTGGCACGGCAGCAACACAGGCTGCAATTTTAAAAAGACGAAAATATACGAATCTGGAGGTGTCCTATTGGTTTTTACCATTTGCCGTGGAGACGTTGGGCCCATGGAGCCCGGAAACCAAATTGTTTTTAACATTAGGCGCGGCTCATCGAGGTTACTTCTGACCTGAGAGCTGGTAGCTACTTTGCCCAAAGGCTAAGTATGGCCATTCAAAGAAGCAACGCTGCCAGTATCTTGGGTACGCTGCCTCGATGTGCCGCGTTGGATTACAATGATTGTTTGTATTAAATAAAACATTACGTAAAAAAAAAGTATTTATTTTATAAACAGTTCATAAATATACATCTTTCAAAGTAGATATTGACAGATGGCGTAAACGTTTCAATTATAACATAATATATATTTTTATTATATTTATTTAATTAATTGTCACTTTGAGCAAAGCCTATTATTACTCACTAAACGATTACTTGAATGACGAGCGTGCATGGCAATAGTTGTTCATGTACGGGATTTTCATTTAAAGTTAGACATAGACACCTATATAAATATACATTGTAAATAAACTGGCTTTTAAAAAAAATCAATTGAGTTTCTTGCCAGTTCTTAATCGGAACTGTATACTGAACTGGACGGTAGGGAAATATAATTTAAAAAAATAATAAAAATGTACTACATAAATAAATTATTTTTTAATTTGAATATGTGAAAACTGTGTTTGTTACAGCCCATGCTGTAAATACTATAAATGATGTAGTGGAGTAGCTTGAAACAGTCATGCTCGTTATAAGTTCAAACTGGTGGCAGCGTGGTGCGCCAGGTCAATGTGCCCCATTTAATATGGTTGTATGCAATAATACCACCAGCAAAAGCAAATAGTCTAATTAGTATTTGTAACCCGAACAGACCAGTCCCCACAAGCAGTACCCGTTCACGAGTATGACGAATGAGCCAATCCGTCATACTCGTGAACGGGTACTGCTATGGGTTACAAACACTAATTAGACTATTTGCTTTTGCTGGTGGTCACACTATTCTCCCATATTTGAATTTAAAAATGAATCTGTATTATTGTAAACATCATCATCTCAGCTCGGAAGACGTCCACAGCTGAACAAAGGCCTCCCCCAAAGATCTCCACGACGATCGGTCCTGCGCTGCTCATATCCATAGCCTTCCAGCGATCTTGACCAGATCGTCGGTCCACCTTGCTGGAGACCTTCCCACGCTGAGTCTTCCGGTCCGTGGTCGCCACTCGAGGACTTTACTGCCCCAACGACCATCTGTCCCACGAGCTAAGTGCCCTGTCCATTGCCACTTCAGAGTCGCAATTTTTCGGGCTATGTCGGTCACTCTGGTTCTTCTGCGGATCTCCTCATTTCTGATTCGATGACGCAAAGAAACTCTGAGCATAGCCCTCTCCATTGCCCCCTGAGTGACTCTGAGCTTATTCATGAGGCCCATAGTTAGCGACCACGTCTCTGTGTATTGTAAACATGTATAACATTTATAGGAAAATAATACGAGCTGAGTTTCTTGTCTTCTTATATTGTACTTTAATTTTTAACATTCAAAAATTCATGAATTGCTGGTATATATTGTTTTCTAGTTGCTGATAAATTGCTCTGTATGAAATATATGCAGTCTGTGTTCGAGATAGGGGTGGACAGGTTGAAAGCGGGTGACGTCCACTCCTGAAGGAATTTTGATAACTGAAAAAATAATACGTCGTTAATACATTTCGGAGAGATTAATAATAATAATAATATCTCAGGACAATTCACACAGCGCCATCTAGTCCCAAGTTAAGCAGAGCTTTTGCCCTCGGCTTCACTCGCGTAATTTATCCCCCTGGGGGTAGAATTAATCAAAATCCTTTCTTAGCGGATGCCTACGTCGTAACATCTACCTGCATGCCAAATTTCAGCCCGATCCGTCCAGTGGTTTGGGCTGTGCGTTGATAGATCACTATGTCAGTCACCTTTGAGTTATATATATTTAGATTATTATTATTATACTCACTCTGGTAGCCCTCGTGTTGTCTGCTGAATACACCGCCATGTCCCTCTTCATCTCACCCTTAAGGTCTATGCCAATCAACACGGCCAGGTTGCAATCACGTTGTGACAAAATTGCTGATAAGGCATCCAAGACATCTGGTCTTTGTAGGAATTCCTAGTGTACAATTATATTTTCATTAATAAAAATAGAATAGAATAGAAAATTCTTAATTTAAATAAACTTAAATTTAGCTCTTTTGAATAGTCATACTATTTTTTAATCTACCGTTCATTTGGAAAGCTGCCTCATCACAAGATGAACGAGTAAGATACTCGCGTGTTGCTCTTTCAAATAATTGTTGTTACTTTACATTTTTAAGTTGAAGTGTGTAAATACAAACTACCAACTCTAATTCATTAAAGTCAAAATATTTGACTATCATTTTATATTAATTAATTTTATAACCATACTAGCTACTTGCCTCGGCTTCGCACGGGTGTACATGTATTATATATATAAACCTTCCTCTTGAATCACTCTATCTATTAAAAAAGACCGCTTCAAAATCTGTTGCGTAGTTTTATAAATTTAAGCATACATAGGGACAGATAGCGACAGCGACTTTATTTTATACAATATTATAAATGTGAAAGTAGGAATGTTTGTTACGCTTTTACGCAAAAACTACTGAACCGATCATCATGAAATTTTGTACACATGTTCTTGGAGGTATTAGAATGAACATAGGATACTTTTTATTTAAAACAAAAAACATATTTCTTATAAAAAAAATATCAACATTTTACTACTTCAGCGCCATCTAGCATACAGTAATGAAGTTATGTGAGTGAATCCTCTTTTTTTCAGACTACTCTAATGCTGTTTTCCGCAGCTGGCCTTTACAGCTTCACCGGACGATAGGGGACGAGTGCAGATGGCAATCCAAACCAAAGGAAGGACTTATAGAGCGGCTAAAAGCCAACTCCCGCCTGACGGACACGACTTTAGTCTGAAGGCACCGCTAGGGGTTCAAACCTCGGCTCAGGCCGTCGTAACATCGGTCTCCGTTTGAATTGGACGGGGGATCGATCGAAGGGGACGAGCGAATCCGCGGGTAAAGTTAGTAGGCTATAAATTACACGCGGGTGAAATCGCAGGCACAGCTAGTATGTAATAAGTGTACAAAATATGATATACCTGTACTAATATGGGAAAAGTGGGTATCAGCACATCGCCTGCAATTTTCAAGTCCTTCCTCAAGAGCTCGGCGGCGGTTAGTCCTGACACGTCACTGCGAGCTTTTGTTAGCCTCTCCAATTTACTTTTCCTAGAATAGAATCCGGTTGCATGAATCTGTTTGCTCTATGGCTGACTGGGAGAAAATTCCTCAAAGTGTTAAGTAAAAAAAAGGATGTCGCCACAAACAAAGCGGCAGATATTAGATACTACCTATAAAATAAAAAATGGTAGAATATCTAAAAGAAGATTATTGTATCTATTTAAATAAGATACTTGACATAATGTTTAATAAACAATAATAATCTCAGAACAATTGCTAACATTGTACCATGTAGTTTCCGCCTGGTGGATTTGCATATTACAAGCCTCCACTGGTGCCACACCAACGTAAGGGACGGTCCCTATCCCTGACGGACGGTCAAGTATTACGTAAACACTATATTGGGGGTCTTTGCTTTGCTTATTTTGAATGATGGGGGATAGGGGAGTAGATGATGATGATGATGATGATGATGATGATGATGATGATGATGATAGACGATGATAGATGATGATTACGTCATCGGTAGTTATTTACTTTTTTACATGCGAATGAATATAAATATGGACATATATCAAAAAAACAATCATTTCTAAAAATGTTTACATCTGTCTGTTTGTTCCGGCTAATCTCTAAAATGTCTGGTCTGATTTGACGGGACTTTTTTTGACAGGAGCCAATGCAATAAGGAGTAACTTAGGCTATTTTCACTTTTGAATAAATTATTTTATTTTAGAATAATAAAGTTAAATTCCACGCGGACGAAGTCGCTAGTACAGCTAGTCATCCATAAGACTGCTATCCACGCAGACCACAGACTACCTAAACGTATTTTCTTTCTTTCTACCTCGGTCCAAAGAAATGAGTTCTTACCTGTCACTTTCAGAGTCCCTAGGCTTGATTATATTCTCCAGAAATAATATAATTTCTACGTCTTTCGGCGTAGCTTTATTATAGGGCTTGGATAAGTTTACTGTGTCTAATATAATCGTACCTGCAATAATAAATACTTATCTATACATATAAATAAAATTTGAGTGTCTGTTTATAACATTGAAACAATTGTTTTTTACTACATGCATATGAATATAAATACTGTACATATACCAAAATAACATTTTTTACAATTGTCTGTCTGTCTGTTTGTTCCGGCTAATCTCTGAAATTGCTGGACCGATTTTGACGGGACTTTTTTGTAGTATATCCGCAAAAAAATTGTTCCAATTTCGTTAGTATTGAAATTACTGCCTTTACACCAGTGCTGTATATACAAGATGGCAAGTCGGCAAAATAACTTTCACCTCCAATCGATCCCCCATCCAATTCAAACGGGGATCGAAATTACGAGGGCTAAGCCAGGATTCGAACCTCTAGCGGTGCTCTCAGACTAAAGTTGTCACTCGGGAGTTGGTCTTCAGCCGCTCCATAAGTCCTTCCTTTGGTTTGGAGTGCCATCTGCACTCGCCCCTATCGACTGATGAAGCTGTAAAGGCCAGCTGCGGCTAACAGCATTAGAGTAGTCCGAAAAAAAACGGCAAAATACCACGGGCCCACAGTCAGAGAAAAATCTCTACCAACATTTATTATTATTTATTTATTTATTTATTATTAGACACTTATTAAAAAAAATGTTTTGTCTTTAATTTATTTACGTTACGTACTTACGATACACAAGTAAAAAAATGTATCAACATTTCAATGCAATTGTTTTAAACTTTTATATTAACATTAATGTAATTCTAGTAATGCTCTGATTGAACAGAGATTAAGTGCGTAGCGGTTTCTATGTCGATAGTCGCATGCCTAATCCTTGTTGTTAATTAAATATAAGTAAATCAATATTTATTTAAAAGAGCAACACACAAGTTTCTTGCTTATTCTTCTTGTGATGAATCTGCATTCCGAATAAGCGGTAGAATAAAAAAACTTGACTACTCAAAAGTGCTTATATTAAGTTTATTTGAATAAAGATTATTTCTATTTCTATTTCCTCCACTGGTGCCCCGCCAGCGAAAACCCTTAGTGCAGGTGGGTGCACCATTCCATTATCATCCATAACAAAAAAAGAACTTACTATGCAGCATATCACTGCAACCTGGGTATGCATTAAAAAAATCCACATCTTTAACGAATAATGATGACAAATCCTTTATCCTCTGCGCTATGAGTGTACAACAGCATCCTACAACCTCTATGGTTGATCTCGTATCGTCTCTGAATGTCCATTTAGACTTGTCTATTGGTCTGTGGTCTATTATCTCTGTCACATATGTATCTAAGAATTGATCCTTTGTAGCCAATACATGGTGATCAACCAGAGTAATCTTTGTATTCGTATTTGCTGATAGTTCCTTCAGATCAAAGTCGTTTCTGAGAAAAATTATTATTACATACATATATTAACACATTATGAGAGGGGAAGGTATTTCTAATAAGTAATTTTAACACGTTAATCGCCATGTCAGTCATATGTGTCTGACGCTAAGAAGTTCTACATGAGCCACATCAGACATATATGTCTGACGGACGCGATTAGGTAGAAGGCGCTGTGTTCAAAACAACAGGTTAATACTTGTTGTATGTTGTTTGGATGCGTCAGACATATAACACTGACACGACTTGTCGAGAAAAAAGTTTTAATATATGGCCATATTAGTCATACATGTGTGACATAAAAAATTGTGTTTTTCTAGGAATTTTGGCAAAAAAAACTGTATATATATATATTTATATATTTAGTAATACGGGTACAAAGACCTTCCCTGCTCATAATGTGTTAATAATAAATAATTAACCCTGGACAAATAACACAGCGCCATCTAGTCCCACTAGAGCTTGTGTTATGGGTACTAGATAACTGATATAAATATTTGAGACATTTTTTGTTGTGAATACATACATAATATACATAAAAATCACCCAGAAAGATACAAACAATCATACTCATAAATACAAATGTTTGCACCTTGTGAGGAATCGAACCCACAACTATCGGGAGTAAAGCGGTGTGACAAACCACTAGACCACATATATTTTATATTTTTAGCACCTTATGAATCCCATTTTTTTTAACCTTAGCTTCCGCCCAGGCAGGAAAAGGGATTGTTAGTAATGTGGATTGATGATCTTAGTACCATGACGGGTTGAACTCCACATGGTTCCCCCTGGATCCTTTGTGATAAATTCTTGGTGAATTTATCATGATGGACTAACTGACCTGACCCCATGCTCATCTTGTGGGTAAACCATTTTATTGTCATAAAAAAAAACTTTACCTAAAGACCAAGTGGCTTTTATTTATACCATGCTCTTTCAACAGGTATGATACTTCAGTTTTCAAAGCAAAATCTTCTCTGTCCACATTCAATATGGGTACAAATATATCATCTGTAGTATGTTCTTCTCTGTTATCTTTTGTGCAGACCTTACACTTTATCTGCTCATGTTGCCAGTGCAAAAAACAGGCATAGACAATTGCACTGATAGCAGAATCCAAATCACAGCTCTCATTACCAAAGACAATATTTAAATTGCCATAGCTTTTTGATCTCTAAAAAAACAGAATGTCTGGATTTAATGAAAAGACTGTATGTGTGATATAAATCAAACAATGTATATAAAATGGTAAATATTTATAATGCAAACAGTAGCAAGGCAAAACTGACAATAATAAATATGACAATTCTATAAACTAAGAAAAATACATTTGAAATTAGTACAAAAGAAAATATATAAAGAAGAAAGATTGCAACACAGAATATGCTTTTAAAAACCAAACTTTTATATAATAATAGAACTTTAGATAGTTTTATAAAATCTTTATACATCAATTACAGACACAGTATTTATGAGGTACAGAAAAAGTACATGAACAAGTAAAAGAAATGGTGGTGACTTTATGTGCTTAGCATAAAGCTACAGATAAATCTGCAGCATTGGTAGTCTGTTGTCTCCTGTACCTATACTATCACTACTCATTTCTAAAAATTTAATAATATAGTAATAATGAAATAATTTATTTGCAAAATATAAGTTACATGAAATATTATATAATGGCCTATGCATCTGTTATACACGATTTATGGCATGATGGTCCATAAACAGATTTTTTCGTGGCTGTATAAACCAATATGAGAGTAGCATGGCCTACCACAGGGTTGGCAAGAGAAACTGAATATTATTGATCATCAATATTTACCATATAGGCATGCAAATTATGTGAAAGTATTTGTTTTACTCAAATATTCTTGGACACTAAAAATTACCAAGTGACAGCCATTTTTTAGTTTGCGTTTGAATAATGTATGGGATCTCAGTTCTCTAATCTCCCTTGGAAGATTATGAGGCAAGCCTCCAAACTTTCTTCACATTAACAGATCACATGTCAGGCGCCCCTGACGCTTGCACTCGCTACTCTCAATCAAATAGCAGAAAGAATGGATTTGTTTATGTGTAGTCTGTGTGAATTCACAGACAACATTGTATGCTATATGTTACATTAACGAAAATGTATAATATAGTATTAGATACACTATTGTATTGGGCTTAGGCCTGTAATAATAGTCAAATAAGTAAATAATTCAACTATAGTTACTGTACCTAAATGAATACCAACCAATTCTCAAGACTATTTGAAAATAATAAACAATTTTACAAATATTATTTTATCTAAAATGTTATATTGTAAAATTTCATCATTTTACTAACCAACTTATCTGCAGTAGTTGTAAGATACTCTTCCATTCTGAAGTAACAATTATTTACGAGTCTTTTATAGTTTTTAGACTATATTTACATATATTTTCGTATAGATCGTTGACTATAACAAAATTCGTAACTATATACACTTTATTCTATTAACGAGTAAGTAAATTATTACAATATTTTTAATTCCTTTATATGAATAATTAAAAATAAAATTTACAAAAACAATTCAAAAATATTTATGTTTTTGACACTGACATTTGACGACAGCTGATTCTTTGATTGACAACAACGAATCACTGAATGATTCGAATATAAATCGATTAGGCTTTCCTAATCGATTAAATTGTATCGATTATATTCTACAAAAAGTCGATATGCTAGAACTATTTTAAATTTAAATGATATAATCCAGATTACTGAGATACATAGTTATAGATAATAAGGGACGTGGATTATGTTAGTATATCTACAATTACATATTTTAATATTTAATAATCGATTTCATTTCATCACCTACTGTTTATTTTCATAATGTGGCATTAATACACGTATGTGGCAAAAATACATACACGGGGCCAGCTAGTGTATATATACCTACATATATACACCATATTGACCTAAGTTAGGCAAATACCAACCTTTTCCCCTTACTACGCTTTAACCGCTTTTTGGTTTTTAACTCAATGGATCAATAACCATTGGGGCAATAAGTTGGCTAATTGTACATTTATTTTAAACTAGCTGTACCCGCGATTTCGTCCGCGTGGAATTTATCTTTAGTTTTCTATATAAAATAAAAGTTTTTTCTAAAATAAAAATTCCCTAAGTTACTCCTTATTACATCAGCTACCTGCCAATAAAAGTCCTGTTAAAATTGGTCCAACCATTTCAGAGATTAGCCGGAACAAACAGACAGATAGACAAAAATTGTAGAAAATGTTACTTTGGTGTATGTACCGTATTTATATTCATGTAGTAAAAAACCGTTATTTAAATATTACAAACAGACACTCCAATTTTATTTATATGTATAGATAATATGTGTAATAAAAAATAAATAAAAATTACACGTTTGCGCGACGATTCCTTCAGGTATATAGCTGTTTTCTTCAATATTTATATTAAATTATATTTTTACGCAATAAACTCGTAAATTTTTGTATTATTTCATACAGTTATTTCATTTTATTATACTCGCTCATTCGTATCATGTTTAATGTAGTGACTTTAATGTTTTTACTTGGTAAGTAGGTTTTATTTCTTTCTACCGTATACTCTTTTTCAACCGACATCAAAAATGTGAGATCTTATGCATTTTATTGTATTTTTTTAAAAGATCAAGTTTGACTTTATTTTGAGGAACTCGGTGGATTGTGTAGCGCCCGGCTTACTTCCAATGGTCGCAGATTCGATTCCTCGCATGTTCATGAGTACATATGTTTGTTTGTATCGCTTTGGATATTTTCTATGTATATTATGTATGTATTTACAAAAAAATATATATCTAAGTTTGTATAATAGTCTTACTATTACCCATAAGCAGATTTTGCAAAGCAACGTTTATCAATAACAGCACATAAGTAACTAGCAGACCCGGCCACATGTTGCTGTGCCAAAGGTTCTTGTTATAGCAATTATAAATTGAGATGTAAGCTATCCTATCTTGTTGGATCAATGTGCAAACCAAATTTGCAATCGGTTCAGTAGTTTAGGAATCCATCGCGGACAAACAACGTGACACGTAATTTTTATAATTAAAGATGTACTTACCCAAAATCTTTTGCAATATTTTTTTTTATACATCATTATTATTATTATTAAAATAAATATTCTTGCAGCACTTCACATTGCATGGTCATTAAAAAAACCACCAATCGAATTGAAACATCACAAGAAGCATATCGATTCCACAGCGTTTAATAAAAGCTGTAAAGAAATTCATTGTCCAGCTAAAGAGGACCCAATGTGTATCAAATTAAAAACATATAATAAAAGTACTGTTTATGTCAACATCTTGAACAAATGCGAAATGGAATATCTGAAATGTCACCAAGGTATATCACATTGACTATACTACATAGACTTACATGTTTGACAAGATGCCTACGGCTACCTTTTACCATCGCACCACTCGCCATCGACAGGGAATTCATTCCCACACGCTGGAACCTGTGAAGTGGGAAGTGGTCTCGGACAGTGGTCTCACACAGTCCATCCATCTCTTTTTCGGCCTTCCTCTTATAACCTTATAAACATCTCGTAATATGAATTTGAATGCAGAATGCTAATATTAAAAAAAAAACGTTATACTACCCTGTATTGGACACATACATACATACTCTTTTGTCTATAGTCAAAGTTAAAGTTGTCAATAATCTTCCTAAACTTATTATTTTTACCATCGCACCGCCAGCCGTCGATAGGGAATTCATCCCCACACGCTGGAACCTAAGTGGTCTCGGACAGTGCGGTTTCAGTGGAGCTTCCTCCCGCGTACACTTAGATTGTGGAATGAACTACCTGCCGAGGTTTTCTCGAGAGACTACAGCATGGGGTTTTTCAAGAAGGGTATATTAAGGTTTCTTTAGGGTCGGCAACGCGCATGTGACACCCCTGGTGTTTCAGGCGTCCATAGGCTACGGTAACCGTTTACCATCAGATGGGCCGTATGCTTGTTTGCCACCTACGTGGTATAAAAAAAGACAAAGATATTCGTACCTTGAATCTTGAACAGCTAGTTGCTCTTCAAGTGTTGGTGGTATATCGAATAAATGCAGATGTAGCTGTAGATGTCACTTACGAAATGTCTTAACCAAATTATACACTAGCTAATGCACAATATCACACAGTTTCAATAGTTCACATTAATATTTCAACATTTAGACATGTTCAATTAAAATACAATTAAGGAGGCATGTTAAATGAACATAGAGGTTCATATAAATTCAAATTGTATTTGACTAATAAATTCTGTCATTGTAAAAAAAATAAAATACAAAAAATTCAAAGTTCTAAAATCATTTATTCATGTAGGACATTTTAGCCGCATATGAACGTCAAGTTTTTTACATTATATTTTTTTTTTCTACCGTCCAGTTCGGTATATAGATCCAATTGAGAAGAACTGGCAAGAAACTCAATTGAATTACTTTTTTTCAAAAGCCAGTTTATTTACAATATATTGATAGATTAAAAGTTACGTATTAACATCATGTCGTTCGTATTTTATTAATAATATCTATTAAAATCTAGGTCATTTCACTCGGAATATCTCGCAATTCAATATTTATGACATCTACGAATTTTTCATTTTATAATTAACGACAGTCAACAACTATTGCTAGGCAACACTCACTATAGGTATCACATCGCAATATAGTTTTAGCGTCTGTATTGTTACCGCTATTATTTATGTTATGTTCAGCTGGTACTGGCAGCGACAGGAGGAGGAAGATTAAATAACGAGTCCAGATTGTTGTTATGTACATATTTATAATTACGAAATATTTACAATGAATATATAGGTATGTACAAGAAAGTGATTCGGTCTCGAATGACAGGCCTGTTATTTCATTCTTCTGTCGTAACTAGGCAACGGTGTTGCCGCGCGATTATAATTAATTCGCCACATAGTCTACGTTACAACGAGGTTTGCAATTGATGTCTAGACTGGCTGGTATGGCAAATAAAATATGTTCGAATATTTGAAAAGAGTGTGTTTTGTCATCTTTTCTGTCGTCGTATTGATCCGTATAACTTATCTATATTATTGTATATTGTATTAAATGTATTTTTATATTACTTTATCTTGATTAGAAATATATTTTGTTTATCTTATTCTATGTTGTTTATTGGACACCACTATAGTTACTTTGTTAATGTGAGGCAAGTACAGGGTAACTTCCCTCACAGACTTTGATATTATATACAGTATTTGACACATTTTTGATTCTAACACATAGCCCATGGAAAAAATTACCTGTGAAATGAATCAACGTGACACACACACATGCACACGCGTACATGCAAAGCAAGCTGCTTGGTAACTGAAAGAAGTAAGACGTAAGACCTTCTTCAATAAAACCTTCACAAATTTTAATTCCACGCGAACAAATATAAATTGACAATCAAAGATTTTTTTGTGTCTGCTAAAATCGAACTTGCAATCTCTCCGTTTAAAAGTTTCAACCCATATGCCGCGACGCCGAATTTACGACCTACAATTACGATTGGATTCTCATTTACAGGAGTTGAAGCTATTGTCGTTCCAATGAAACATTGCACCCATATTCATCACGGAAATGGTGGTAAGTACGTATACAAATCAGCCCCGGATCAGGGGGGGGGGGGCATACGGGATACATTCGTACGGGAGTACATACATAATACATGTACTCCCGTACGAAGCCGGGCGAGTAGCTAGTAAACTATAAATAATAGTGTTAAAGTGTTGATGTTGGGGGGCAAATTATGGGGGCGACAAATTCGAACTTGGCAGGTGAATACATAACTCATCATTTTTAACGCACATTTGACAACTTGACCAATGACAGAAGGACGTCAAGTAAATTATGTTCAATGCATTTGAAAATGAAGATATAACTATTAATGAAGCCACTATAATTATAAATAAATAAATAAAATTAATGGCAATACTAATTGGACAAATTGTTTATTAATAAGCATTTTACAAAATAATTACCATAGTTTTTTATTCGGTCTGTTTTTATTCAAAGAGATCTTAACTTTTTAAAAAAAATACTGTTAATTTCGATCTATAATATTGATATTGGCTAATTCCAAAGGCAAAGCCAAAGATGGAGAAAAAAAAAGTTTGACAATTCACCAGAAACTATGTTAATTTCATATCTTTAAATGAAACTCGCCATAAGTCAAAAACTGTATCTAAAAACTATTTAAATTATAAAATACCTAAGCTTCTACCAATTCGCTTATTTAAAAAAATATCTATAAAATAAAATGTCTTTCATTTACTCAGAACCCCGAAATATAGGACGAGCGAAACGCAGCTTCACTGATATTGGTATGTATTCTTAATAATGATTAGATACTTAATTTAATCAATAAGTATTTAGGTAGGTGTTGGTTTAAAAAATATATAGTTTTGTATAGTTGGCGATAATTTATTTGAGTTCTATTCTGACGCTCGATTTCATAGTTTGGTCGTCGTTATCTATTGTCACATTAACGTGATTTGAACTCAAATGAAATTATTAATAATTTAAAACTCCTGATTATATACGTTTTCTATCTATGCCCCGCTTTCCCTGACTAAAAAAAATCTGGAAACGCTGGTGTAGATCCAATGACGGGGTAGATATAATGAACAAATTTTGAATTCTTTTATGTTAGATAGCTCATTTATCGAATAAGACTAAATATTACTTGCCCAATTTAAAAAATATCTCATTTATAATAATAATAATACAACTTTATTGCGCACAGAAAAAATATGTAATCATTTCTCAAGACTATTCACATAGAGTCATCTAGATTCAAGTTAAGCAGAGCTTGTGTTATGTAACTTTCACATTAGTCTGCTCATATTATTTGTAGCGTGATATAGTTTATAGTATTAGTCGATCCAACACTAAACGAATTTTTCAATTTTATCCAGTAGTTCCTAATTTAACGCGCTTTACCAAACACTTCATCTTTACAATATTGTATAGATATATACTAGATTATTTTTTCGCAGATCATTTCTCTAATAAACTTTTTGTGGGCAAAATGTCTAAAATATAAATTTTTGGTAAAGAAAATAATAATAATTACGATAAGTCACAATATGTTTAATGATAATTATTATATAAGCGATCAAAATAGTATTGATAAAACGAGAAAAAACCTAAATTTCCAGACGATAAAATAGACAGTCAAAAAGAAACCACCGTTAAAGGCAATTCTGTGGTAGATGACAATACTGTAACAGGACAAACAGAGATTGCAACAGACGGTAATGGTGAAACACAGAGTAAAGAAAATGAAGAAAACGCTGCTAATAATGGTCAGTTAAAAGATACTAAAACAAAAACTAAACTTTCATTTTTACTAAAATGAGACAATCTATAAATATTTCCAGACGAACATATAGACAATCAAAAAGAAATCATTGGTGATTCTGAGGTAGACGAAAGTACTGTAGGACTTGCAGACACTGGAACTAACGGTAACAGTCAAGGCGATAGTGAGCAGGATAGCAATGACGGTGACAAGAGAGGTATTTTATTTATGAAAACTTACTACTTACTATAAGTTGTAGCAGATATTGGTGCAAGACTGGCAATATTTCATGACGCTGCACACATATGTTCTGGTAAAATTAATTTTATTGTTAACCTGAAATATCTTCTAATATTATAAACGCAAAAGTTAGTGAGTATGGGTAGGAATAGATAGTTGGATGAAAGATTGTTTGTTACTCTTTAAGCAAAAACTAACTCAACGGATTTTGATGAAACTGTATAGTAAAATGTTGCTTATTTGTAGCTTCTACATCAGAATAACACATAAGGTATAAATTTGATGGGGTTGAAACCGTTCGTTTGATTGTGGAAATTTAAAAAATAATACTATTTTTTTTATTATAGACTTAATATCTAATAACATAAAAGTATACGTTTAATTAACTAATTATATGACTGACCTTTCGCAGATGAACATTCTAATAAATATTTTCAAGAAAAAATGTTTCTTTCATACATGTTTGGAAAAGAAAATGAAGAAGATACTGCTAATGATAGTAAGTTAACGATATTTATAAAAAAAATATTTATTTTAGCTTTTAAAACATTCTGGCTTTACTAAAATGAGAAAAATATATCAAATTTCCAGACGATAATTTAGACGGTCAGAAGGAAATTACCAATGATGGTGATCCTACGGCAGATGACAGTACTGTAGGACCTGCAGGCATCGATATAAACAAGAATAGCCAAGAAAATGATGCAGAGGATGGCAATGATGAAAACACGGAAGGTATTTTATTTATAAATAGTTATTAGTATGAGTTGCGGCAAATATTGGTATAAATGTATATTGTGCATCTGGTCCAATAAAGGGTAAAAGTTATTAAATAAAACTCGAAAATTTAAAATTTCCAGGTGATGAGATAGACAGTCAAAAAGAAAGCGCTCAAAACGGAGATCCTGAGGAAGATGAGATTGGTGTAACGACACCGTCAAACGATAATGATCCAGGCATTAGTAAGGACAGTCCCAATGATGAAAATGCGGAAGGTAATTTTACTAATACCACAGATAACATAATATTACATACTAGTACTCAATAATTCTTTACCACTCTCCATTCGATCTGCTCAATCTCATGCAATATTTAAAAATCGTCTAAGATCTCATTATCTCTCTCTATAGCTCATGTTTTTCTATTTATCTCTGAAATCTTCCAATATGTTGTATATAAGTATGTATGTATATGTGAAAGTTCTCCGAGAAATCGAAGTCTTGACCGTCGGAAGTAGACCGATGTGCTAAACTGCTTGACCATCTAAGCCATCCAATATAGCATTATTCTATTAGTAAAATATGTTTTAACAATGCCTCAAATCATCTGATCCTTGTTTCTTGCTCGTTGTTATTCGAGTGGTAGAATAATAAATATGACTGTTTAAGAGTGCTTAGATTAAGTTAATTTGGGTAAAGATTAATTCTGTTTCTGTGATAACTGATAACAATGTCAAAGGTAAAGTATTAATTTACATAAATAATATTTTCATGCAAATTCTAGAAGGAAACGTAGATAATATAAAAGAAGAGAAGATAGAAAGTGATGGAGACGGTAATGAAATAATATCGCAGACGAAACATCCAGATTCAACATCGAGTGTAGAAAATTATACAGAAAAGAACCAATCTGGTGTTGTTAATAAATATGAAGAAGGTAGGTCACTTTAAACGAAGTAAGTTTTACCTGTTTTTAGTCTCACCTATTTCAGCCGCTAAGCAGCTTGCTTTGTAAGATGCAAAACTGCAAGTCCAGATATAGTAAACAGTAGATTTTGATAACCTTTTTCTTTAATAGCACAAATTATAACGTTCTTTTCTCACTGTATCTTCTTACCGCTCTCATCCACTTCCTCGTCGTCGCAGTCTTTAATTCTTAATTCTATTCTTAATCTTCATTCTATATATTGCTTGTAGTCTATTGGCCTTAATTTAATCATTCTTCGCGACACATATAATGGAAAGTTAACTAATCACTAGACGATGGCATCACTACATTCACTAGGAATTTATTGTCTCTAAGGAGAACGGTGTGGATATCAATCTGACGTGGTACGTTGGCACCAAAGGAGTCATAAGCCACTTTACTAATAGTTCCCTTCTCCCCACAGATGAAATATTAGATTATGACAGCAAATGTCCGACGACATGTCCCGCTCGCAGTGTCATGGTGTGTGGAAGATGCCAGCATGGTGTTTACAGGACTTTTCTGAGCATCTGTCATATGAGATTATTCCACTGCAAATATTCTTTTGAGAGTAAGCATTAGACATGTATCTTTCTGAGTCTAAATTACGTTACAATATAAAGTACTGGGGAAACAGCTTAAAATATAATATCATCCAAGCTTACACTGTACAAAATAGACCTATACGTGCAATGGCACGAATACGAAAGGGCCCTCTACTGGACACTGCAAATTGAATAACACAGGGCTAATTAGGACTTAGCTTAACAATAATTGCACTGATAGCAGAATCCAAATCACAGCTCTCATTACCAAGGACAATATTTAAATTGCCATAGCTTTTTGATCTCTAAAAAAACAGAATGGCTGGATTTAATGAAAAGACTGTATGTGTGATATAAATCAAACAATGGATATAAAATGGTAAATATTTATAATACAAACAGTAGCAAGGCAAAAGTGAAAATAATAAATATGACAATTCTATAAACTAAAAGAAATTCATTTGAAATTAGTACAAAAGAAAATATATAAAAAAGTGCAATGAGATTGCAACACAGAATATACTTTTAAAAAGCAAATTTTTATAGAATAATAGAACTTTAGATAGTTTTATAAAATCTTTATACATCAATTACAGACACAGTATTTATGAGGTACAGAAAAAGTACATGAACAAGTAAAAGAAATAGAGGTGACTTTATGTGCTCAGCATAAAGCTACAGGTAAATCTGCAGCACTGATGGTCTGTTGTCTCCTGTACCTATACTATCACTACTCATTTCTAAAAATTTAATAATATAGTAATAATGAAATAATTTATTTGCAAAATATAAGTTACATGAAATATTATATAATGGCCTATGCATCTGTTATACACGATTTATGGCACAATGGTCCATAAACAGCTCTTTTCGTGGCTGTATAAACCAATATGAGAGTGGCATGGCCTACCACAGGGTTGGCAAGAGAAACTGAATATTATTGATCATCAATATTTACCATATAGGCATGCAAATTATGTGAAAGTATTTGTTTTACTCAAATATTCTTGGACACTAAAAATTACCAAGTGACAGCCATTTTTTTAGTTTGCGTTTGAATAATGTATGGGATCTCAGTTCTCTAATCTCCCTTGGAAGATTATGAGGCAAGCCTCCAAACTTTCCTCACATTAACAGATCACACGTCAGGCGCCCTTGACACTCTCACTCGCTACTCTCATTCAGAAAGAATGGATGTGTTTATGTGTAGTCTGTGTGAATTCACAGACAACATTGTATGCTATATGTTACATTAACGAACATGTATAATATATAGTATTAAATACACTATGGTATCAGGCTTAGGTCTGTAATAATAGTTGTGTAAGTAAATAAATAAATAAATAATTCAATTATAATTACTGTACCTAAATTAATTTCAACCAATTCTCAAGACTATTTGAAAATAATAAACAAGGTCAGGCAGAGATAACATCTGCTGGCGAATTTTTATTTTTACAAATATTATTTTATCTAATAGGTTATATTGTAAAATATTATACATTTCATCATTTTACTAACCAACTTATCTGCAGTAGTTGTAAGATACTCTTCCATTCTGAAGTAACAATTATTTACGAGTCTTTTATAGTTTTTAGACTATATTTACATATATTTTCGTATAGATCGTTGACTATAACAAAATTCGTAACTATATACACTTTATTCTATTAACGAGTAAGTAAATTATTACAATATTTTTAATTCCTTTATATGAATAATTAAAAATAAAATTTACAAAAACAATTCAAAAATATTTATGTTTTTGACACTGACATTTGACGACAGCTGATTCTTTGATTGACAACAACGAATCACTGAATGATTCGAATATAAATCGATTAGGCTTTCCTAATCGATTAAATTGTATCGATTATATTCAACAAAAAGTCGATAAGCTGGAACTATTTTAAATTTAAATGATATAATCCAGATTACTGAGATACATAGTTATAGATAATAAGGGACGTGGATTATGTTAGTATATCTACAATTACATATTTTAATATTTAATAATCGATTTCATTTCATCACCTACTGTTTATTTTCATAATGTGGCATTAATACACGTATGTGGCAAAAATACATACACGGGGCCAGCTAGTGCATATATACATATATACACAATATTGACCTAAGTTAGGCAAATACCAACCTTTTCCCCTTACTGCGCTTTAACCGTTTTTTTGTTTTTAACTCAATGGATCAATAACCATTGGGGTAATAAACTCGCTAATTGTACATTTATTTTAAACTAGCTGCACCCGTGACTTCGTCCGCATGGAATTTATCTTTAGTTTTCTATATTAAATAAAAGATTTTTTCAAAAATAAAAATTCCCTATATTACTCCTTATTACATCAGCTACCTGCCAATAAAAGTCCTGTTAAAATTGGTCCAGCCATTTCAGGGATTAGCCGGAACAAACAGACAGATAGACAAAAATTGTAAAAAATGTTACTTTGGTGTATGTATTTTAAAAAACGGTCATTTCAATATTACAAACAGACAATCCAATTTTATTTATATGTATAGATAATTTGTGTAATAAAAAATAAATAAAAATTCCACGTTTGCGCGACGATTCCTTCAGGTATATAGCTGTTTTCTTCAATATTTATATTAAATTATATTTTTACGCAATAAACTCGTAAATTTTTGTATTATTTCATACAGTTATTTCATTTTATTATACTCGCTCATTCGTATCATGTTTAATGTAGTGACTTTAATGTTTTTACTTGGT